GGTGTATCTCATATGTGCAACCACACAAGCCAGTGTTTTGTCCCACGATTGCCTGCTGGATTAAGTGGCTTCTCGCTTTAGCGGGCATAGAGTCATCTTTTGGAGCTCACTCAGTCAGAGGTGCTGCCGCCTCTTCTGCTTTCATGGCTGGGAGAACCCTTGCAGACATCCTATAATCTGCTGCTTGGTCTAGAGAGTCTACTTTCCGTACCTTCTATTTTCGATAATTGTCCCATGCTTCTTTTTCCTTGCTTTTACACTCTTTAAAACAGCAAATATGAAGCTTCCTATCTTGCCATAAAATTTGGGATTATTCTAGCTTCAGTTACTGAATAATCTAAGTATTATTAAAGACAGGAGGTGAATATTTTCCCACACAATTTGTATCCTATCCCAGATACTTTCAGGTCAGGTGTATTTTTATTTCTATGGTTCTCGTAAGACATTATATTAAACTTCCTTTTTTCTGTTTGCTCTGGTTAGGTGATTCTTAATTTACCAATTTATGGCTATTTTCGATTTTGCAATTGTTTTATACTCGTGATATCCATGGGGGTATATCTGTGTATGTATATATCTTGCAGACACCCAGTCCAAGTGACTATACTTTCACGATATTTCTCTGTCTTTTTAGTGTGAAGTTTGTCTGCATGAGCCACGAGGATTACCCTACAGACTACTATCCATTGGTTTCCAGTGTCGATTCTGTTCTGGTTTACACGGTTGACTACACTTTTGATCAAAGAAAAAAAGTTACCTGCGCTCATTCCACATCCTTATGTATTTTTAAACAAATGGAGGTTTTTAATTACCTCCAATGGCCATGAAAGGGTATGCCCACCTGCCACGTCAACTTTTTTTTCTTTGGTTTTTACTATATGTATTTTGGCTGATGTGTACTATAGTCATTGCTGCCGCCCAGGAGTAATGGGAGTTTGAGCGCAGGACTAGTTTCTGTATTTGTATTCACTTTTGTATCACACAGCTAGGTTGCAATGCTGCTGCCCATCCCATGTGTTCCCTATTAAGGGTTAATAAGCATGTAGGGCTGTATATATAAAAAATACCCCTTTCTGTTTCATTAGAGATATTTTTGCCAGAAGCTCAAGGAAGCAAGGCGAATGGTTAGAGTTAGGACCCACCTAAGAGGTCTGCCTTGACATGGCAGGTGAGCATACCCTCTCATGGCCATTGGAGGTAACTAAAAACCATCATTTGTTTAAAAATACATAGGGATATGGAAAGAGCGCAGGTAACTTATTTTCTGTGGTTTTTACATTTTTGAGTACCTGCATCAAGAAAGAGGAGTAATATATTCTAAGATGTGTCCTGATTGGTTGATTTTTTTTCTCTATATATTTAACTAGTTCTTTGCTACTGGGAGATTCAGAAAAGAAAGTTTAAGCAAATATTTGCCTCCTGTCTTTAATACAATTTAGATTATTCAGTCACTGAAGCTAGAATAATCCCGAATTGTCCCCCTAGTCACTCCCAAATGCCCCTAAGGCCCCCATATTACCTATTTTTTTAGCTTTATTTTCTGCCCGGACCTAGCTCCTGGGCGCCCCCATCTTTGAGTGGGCAGATGAAGTCTCTGTGGGAAACGTCATCTGTCCACACTAGATAGTGCTGTCCCGTGCATGCCCATTTAAACACTTGGGCATTCGCTACAGGAATTTCGTCCATTCATTCATCAGAAAGACGAATGAATGAATAGAAATTTCAGACGAACAAATAAACTTTATTACAAGGAGGGAGCTACCGGCTTGCAGCTCCCTCCTTGTAATATGTAAAAATAGAAGCGGCAGGGAGCAGCACTTTCTAAGTCCTCCCTCACTCTATGGTGGTCAATATGACCCCCATAATAGCATAAAGGAGATTGAAATCTCCTGAATGCCCCTACTCGCTATGCTGCGAGTAGGGGCATGTCTACTAAACAGTGAGCAGCCAGTGCCTGCTCACTGTTGTCAAAATAAACACCCCCTCCAACAAATGGCCCCATGGTGGGGCATCTATTAACTAGCAGGGGGGACATAGTGTGCCCTCAATGACAATGGTATTTTAGGGCTCCCACCCATGAGCAGCAGGTGGGAGCCCTAAATTACAATAAGGGGGGGACCTTTTGTCCTACCCCTAGCCCCTACCCATGAGCGGCAGGTGGGGGCCCTAAATTACAATAAGGGGGTGACCTATTGTCCTTCTCCCCTGGCCCCCACCCATGAGTGGCAGGTGGGAGCCCTAAATGAAAATGGGGGGACCTATTGTCCTGTCCCCCTGCCCCCAATGCCCCCAAGCCCCTAGTCACCCCTCCCACTCAAATAAAATTAAATGAATCCCTACCTACCCCCCTCACCTTTAAAAATAGTGAGGGGGGAGACAATAAAACTAAATACCTGGAAAAAAATCATACTTTTTTTTCTAAAACCTTTTTTTCAGCCCCAAAAAAGGCCAAATAAAAAACAACATAATACCCTTCGAACTTATTAAATAAAAAAATAACCCGAGCACAAAAATCAGCCGGAAAACAAACAAACCTGAAGCTAAAAATGAATCCATCTTCACCCGGCGAGGGCAAGGCCCAGAGTGAGCTCCGCAGGGCGGGGAAAGGCTTATAAAGCCTGCCCACGCCCTGCAATTTGACTCAGAATGCTAGTCATTTTACACAGCGGGGGAAAGTTCTTTTTTTTTGATAAGTTCGATGGGTATTATGGTTTTTTTATTTGGCCTTTCTTGGGGCTGAAAAAAAAGGTTTTAGAAAAAAGAAGACTTCTAATGCTAAGTATGATTTTAATTTTCAGGTATTTAGTTTTATTGTCTCCACCCTTATTATTTTAAGGGTGAGGGGGTAGGTAGGAATTCATTTAATTTTATTTGGGTGGGGGGGTGACTAGGGGCTTGGGGACCCCCCCTTATTGTAATTAAGGGCCCCCACCCGCCGCTCATCGGTGGGGGCCGGAGGGAGGACAATAGGTGTCCCCCCCTTATTGTAATTTATAAGCGGCGGGTGGGGGCCGGGAGGGACAATAGGTCCCCCCATTTTCATTTAGGGCCCCCATCCACTGCTCATGGGTGGGGGCTCGAGGGAGGACAATAGATCCCCCCCTATTGTAATTTAGGGCCCCCACCCGCCCTTCAGTTTAATAGCCCCCACTCGCGCGGCATAGGTGGGGGCTTGGGAGGGGAGGATACTAGGGTTTTTTACATTTTTTTTAACAGTGAGCAGTTTAGTAGACATGCCCCTACTCGCGATATAGCGAGTAGGGGCAGAATTTACTAAGTAATTTTTACATATTAGTATATTTGGCTGAAAGACCAATCTTTCAGCCTTTGGGTAGATAGCTCCCTAATACCGTAAGAATTAGGGAGCTATCTACGTGCAGCACGAATAGGATCAGAGTTTCATTCATTCGAATGAAATTCCGATCCGAACAAAGCCATGCTCGTATTAATATTACATTACACAGGCTTCATTTTTAATATATAATTACATTATTTAGCTCATATCTGTTTAATCTATTATGCTATAAAAGGTATTATTTGTTTAAACCATATCTTCTGAAAATTTGTTTCCTATTGGCTGATCCAAGTTTTGGCGCCAATTTTAACTTTAGATATGCTTATATAAACTCTTCATGCCAGGAATGATGTCATATACCATTTTGAAAAAGCCTTAAAGGTGAAACGCATTAATGGTTTTAAATTGTGTATTTTAACAATAAAAGTCTTTTGGTTACCCTTTTTATAGGACCAATTTTCATTTTATTGGATTTTATATGCACTTATTATTATTTTTCTTCCTGGCACCTTTTATTCTTTTATTGTATCCTGACTCAAGAAATCGTAGGTGGGGATCATTCCACCAACGCTGTATTGATAGAGCAGTACTTTCTGCTCTACACTTGTGAGTATATTTTATATATATTTTATTACTCTATCCTTATATACTGAGAGCACTATTGCTATTTTTTTATTTTGGAGCACTGACCCTACCAGGCTGGAGTGACGAACACACCTCTCCAGTATATCCTTTAGTGGGGATTATACCGCTACACGCCCTTCACCCCAGAGCTGGTTAAAGCTCTCACATATGTGAGTGTATTACCTTCCTTTTTTAACCTTATCTATTTTACCATTGGATTTTACAATATTACGCTATCGGCTGTTTGTCGTATTCTCCCTCTTTTTGTCTCCACATATACGGATATTTTAACAATCTGGACGGATCAACTCCTGAGGACTGTACCCCTACCTTATCCAACATATTAGTGAGACTTTTATATGACTTTTTAACCTCCATAATATATTTTTTATCTGGACTGATCTATTTTTATTCTGTTGTCTTAAGCGAGATGTTTTATCCCTCACTGTTACGTATATAGGTTTATTTGTTGGTGTTTAATCCATTTAGACCATTTGATATGGTTTTTATTATTTTAGTCTACTGCTATTAGCTTTTTAGCGCAGCCCTTACCCCCTTCACATCTTTTTAGCTTGTTTTTTTAAAGGGTCTTGAGGGATTCCCTTTTTTTGGGTTGCTGCTTATTATTCCTGTTATTTAGCGCTGACTCTTCCCCCCTTGTGTATTTGTACATACATCTCATCATTCAAATGCCAACACCACAGACAAAAACATCCCTCTCTTTTATCTTCTATATATGTGGACCCACTACAGTATATGAAGACCTCACTACTGCACTAACTTCCTCAAAGACCATTCGCAAGGACACATAAGTTGGACTTTCTTTTATTTGGACTTTGCTTATATTTTATAATTATTTATTGTAGCGCAGCCTTTTTTATTGTTGTTTTTATTCAAAGACAAACACCTTAGAAAAGTGGTTCCACTGTCACCTTTCTGAACACCTGATTGTGTCATAAATAGTACATAACTCATTTAAAAACCAACAAGGTAGAACTGGGTTAGAAACTCTTAGTGTTGTGTGGGGATAGAGAGAAGCAGTGGCGTACACATGATCCATGGGGCCCCGGTGCGAAAATTGATCCGTGCCCCCCCCCCCGCGCGCTTACTCGGCGCGGGTCGGGGTCGCAACACATGGCGGCGGGCACCTGGTCGCAGGGGTTGCGACCCCGCGACCGCGGTATGCACACACACTTAAAGGACCACTACAGACACCCTGATCACATCAGCTCAATTAAGTGGTCTGGGTGCCAGGTCCCTCTAGTTTTAACCCTGCAGCTGAAAACATAGCCGTTTCAGAGAAATGGCTATGTTTCACTGAGGGTTAATCCAGCCTCTGGTGGCTGTCTCATTGACAGCTGCTAGAGGAGCTTCCGCGATTCTCACTGTGAAAATCACAGTGAGAAGACACTGAACGTCCATAGGAAAGCATTGAGTAATGCTTTCCTATGGGCGGTTTAAATGCGCGCGCGCCTCTTGCCGCGCATGTGCATTCGGAGCTGAGAGGCGGAGGGATCCCCAGCGCCAAGGGAGTCCGACGCTGGAGAAAGGTAAATGCTGAAGACACACACACACACACTCTCATGAACAGACGCATACACACTAGCTAACAGACACACACATTTACTGACAGAGACACACTCAGCGACAGACATACATACACACTCACTTACAAAACATACACTTTCACTGACAAACACACACTCACTAACAGACACACACAGTAACACACTCACTAGCAGACACACACCCAATAACACACAAACACACATACACTAACACACACACACATACATTCACTAACACACACACACATACATTCACTAACACAAACACACATACACTAACACACACACACATACACTAACACACACACACATACACTAACACACACACACACAAACACACACATACACAAACACACACACACACATACATTCACTAACACAAACACACATACACTAACACACACACACATACATTCACTAACACACACACACATACATTCACTAACACAAACACACATACACTAACACACACACACATACACAAACACACACACATACATTCACTAACACAAACACACATACACTAACACACACACATTTTTTTACATTTAATCCCCCCAGTCTCCTTACCTTTTGGAGTGCTGGGGGGATTCCCTGGGGTCCAGTGGTGCTGCTGGGCGGGCTGGCTGTCCCGGCGGCGGGCGCGCGAAGGAGCACTCAATGCTTCCTCTTCAGCTCCCTTGCGCGCCGCATAGGGATGCCGGTGCCGGAAGATGATGTCATCTTCCGGCTCCGGTATCAGTGCGGTGCGAGAGGGAGCTGAAGAGGAAGCAGTGAGTGCTCCCTCGCGCGCCCGCCTGCCGGGGATCAGCAGGGCCAGCCTCAGGGGGCCCTGGGGTGGCCGGCTCCTGGGCCCCCCAGGGGAAGAGGCTGGCCCAATGGCGTACATACCGGGTCGCAGGGACCCTGGTATGTACGCCACTGGAGAGAAGTCAATTTCTATAGGAGCTATTAATCACACAATACCAAAGAGGCCAGCTTAGTCAGAAGCAACAGATTTGACATATTCACATACTTGCATTCATTCAGCTATTCTGATATAGATTCTGAGCCTTTATCCTTGACTATTGTTGAATTTTGAGAAATGGATTGGGAATCAATGACCTAGGCAAATTATAGCCATCATGACCCTATTTTCTGAATGTTCTATCTTTCAAGTTTTACACAGTAATAGACTTATAAAAATATAGAATGTGACGGCAGATAAGAACCTTTTGGCCCATCTAATCTGCCAGATTTTCTAAATACTCTCATTAGTCCCAGGCCTTATGTTATAGCTAGATTAGACTTATGCCTCTCCCACCCTGTGATACCTCTACCACTTCAGCTGGAAGGCTATCCCATGCACCCACTACCCTCTCAGTAAAGCAATACTTCCTGATATTATTTTTAAACCTTTGCCCCTCTAATTTAAGACTATGTCCTCTTGTTGTGGTAGTTTTTCTTCTTTTAAATATAGTCTCCTCTTTTACTGTGTTGATTCCCTTTATGTATTTAAATGTTTCGATCATGTCCCCCGTGTCTCGTCTTTCCTCCAAGCTATGCATGTTAAGATCCTTTAACCTTTCCTTGTAAGTTTTCTCCTGTAATCCATGAACCAGTTTAGTAGCCCTTCTCCGAACTTACTCCAAAGAATAAAGAGAGAAGAGACAGAATCAAGAGATTTGAGACAGAATAAAGAGACAAAATAAAGAGATCTCAGACAGAATAAAGAGATGAGATGAAATGAAAAGTATGCAGTTTGCAATAAACTTTGTATAAAATAGTTCATTTACATTAAATTTTAATGGTTCAAAGAATGTCAGGCAAAATGGTTGGCCCTCACGCATGTTCACTTCATCAAATTTGGCCCTCTTTGAAAAAAGTTTGGAAACCCATGCTTTAGACAAACAAAAGGTTGTTCATAATGTAACAAAGGTGAATGAAGATTGTCTAAAAGAAGCTATGATTTGTGAAATTTCTCCACTTGGTTTACATTTGAGTAATATCAGAGAGAAAATTATTAAAGTGATTATATTGACATTTTCCAGATTCTTATGAATTCATAGCCAAGCAAGGAGCATATAAGCAAGATGATAGGCGTGGTTACAGGCTTTTTGCACATATGCAAGTATTCTATGCGGAGAAACATCAAGTCTAAGTATGGGGCTGTTTCGGCATCTGGAGTCTGTGCTGGAAGCATATAGAAAATTCAGGGGTATAGCCTGGTATACTTATGATGACCTTTTCAGACAAAAAAATTCAGTTTAAAAGCAAACTGTGAAGTGGGGTGTTAAAGATGTTGGTTTATGGCTTAGTACAATGTTACCACAGAGACAGATTTTGAGGTCTACAGAGGGTTCGATTGCGGCTGGTCAGAAAAAAGCTGCTTGTTGGGCTTTTAACGACTCCCAATGTAACTGGCTGCACCATTGTAGATACAGGCATGAATGTTCTATGTGCGGGGAAGCGCATCCTGCATTAAAATGTTTCAAGAAGTCAGGTCTTAACAGTAATTTTCAAAGCAAAAGCGGTGACTCCAGTGAAGCTGCTAAGCATGGTTCATTATTTAAAGGCCTACCCAAATCAAGAGAAGGCCAAAGTTCTTTATGAAGGTTTTGCTTTTGGTTTTAGAGTTCCTAGTTTTAAGAAGAAGTTTATTAATTTCCAACGACTTTGAATTATTAACCCAACTAAAGAGTTGGCGTTTAAAAAGATAGCTGAGGAAATGGTTTTAGGTAGAGTTGCAGGCCCCTTTAATGACGTTCCGTTTGATTGTTTTTGCATTTCACCGTTGGGTTTAGTACCTAAAAAGGAGAGTGGTGATTTCAGACTTATACACCATTTGTCTTTCTCAAAAGGGGATTCACTTAAAGGACCTACTCGTTTTCCTGGCACTATAGTGCCCTGAGGGTGCCAACACCCTAAGGGTCCCCCTCCCGCCGGGCTCTGGGGAGAGGAAGGGGTTAAAATCTTACCTTTCTCCAGCACCGGGCAGGGAGCTCTCCTCCTCCTCTCCTCCTTCATAGCGACATCATCGGCTGAATGCGCATGTGCGGCACGAGCCGCGCGCGCGCATTCAGCCAGTTAATAGGAAAGCATTTACAATGCTTTCCTATGGACGCTGGAGTCTTCTCACTGTGATTTTCACAGTAAGAAGCACGCAAGCGCCTCTAGCGGCTGTCAATGAGACAGCCACTAGAGGTTCTAGAGGCTGGATTAACCCTATTATAAACATAGCCGTTTCTCTGAAACGGCTATGTTTATAAAAAAAAAGGGTTAACCCTAGCTGGACCAGGCACCCAGACCACCTCATTAAGCTGAAGTGGTCTGGGTGCCTATAGTGGTCCTTTAATGACGAGATCGATATGGAGCAATTTCTGGTTCGTAATGCGTCATTCGATGATGCTATCGCGTGGGTTTTGGCGTGCGTCCAAAATGCTTTATTGGCTAAAGTTGACATTGAGTCAGCATTTAGGCTATTACCAATGCATGCTGAATGTTTTAATTCCTTAGGCTTTCAAATCAATGGACAATTTTTCTTTGGTAAATGTTTACCGATGGGCTGCTCTTTATCTTGTTTTTATTTTTAATTGTTTGCGTCCTTCTTGCAGTGGGTTGTTAAATTTAAAACAGATTTGGGATCAATTGTCCACTATTTAGACAATTTTATTTTTATTGGCAAGGAAGGCATGGATCAATGTTTTCGGTTATTGCAGGCTTTTTGTTCAATAGCGGAAGAGTTTGGCATACCGCTAGCAAACGATAAAACTGCTTCCTACGGTGTCGTTTTTAGGAATTGTGATAGATTCAAATAAAATGGAATGCAGGTTACCGTTTGACAAACTGCACAAAATGTCTATTTTATTACACCAGGTACATGGTGCTAATAAAGTGTCAGTTAAAACTTCAAAAACGCACAGTCCTACTGGCCTTTGCTACCAGAGTTATACCAATGGGCAGAATATTTACGAGAAAAATGTTCTTGGCAGTAGCGGGTAAGAATTGCCATATCTGCACATTAAGGTAACTAAAGAAATAAAAGAAGATATTGAGGTCCAATTGGAATTCTTAAGCAGTTTTAACGGTAATACACTATGGTTATCCAGTATGGCGGATAATTTAGATATGGATTTTTATACTGACGCAGCGGGTAGTAATGGCTTTGGAATCGACTGGAGAGGTAAGTGGGGAGTCGGGATCTGGCCAGAAGCTTGGAAAAGGGCAGGGTGGACAAAACATTTTTGCGAACAAAAAGCGAAGGGTATGTTGTGACAATAAAGGTGTGGTTGATGCCATTAACTCTCTCCATGCTTCCTCTCATCAGGTAATTTCAGTCATGAGGAGAGTAGTGTTGCTGTGTATGACTAATAATATTTGGTTGAGGGCAACACATATTCAAGGTAAGTTGCTGACGCCCTTTCTCGTTCGCAGTTTACACTATTCAGAAGCCTGGCTCCAGAAGCAGAGGTGGTTTTGGTGGTTATTCCAGCCCGAGTTTGGATCTGATATCACCAAAGTGAACAAAGTCGTATTAAGGAAATGCCTAAAGCTTTTAGGTTTAGGAGAGGAAAAGTTTTCTTCTCATTCATTTCGTATAGGCGCAGCCTCAGAGGCCAGCATGCAAGATGATACTAAGAGATTAGGAAGGAGGAGGTCTGATTGTTACAAGCTTTATGTACGCCCGGATTTCGGATAGTTGGGCACTCGTTCATCTTTTGGGCACAAAGAAAAGCAGCCGAGAAATCCTATGGCCCAAATTTGGCGGAGGACAAATGTAAGTTTTTTTTGGAAAGGAGTAAGGGGTTTAAGAATAAATTAGATGTTTGAGACTCTCGAAGATTGTGCGAATAACTTTCCTGGTCCAAAATGTACTATTATGTACATTGGAGGAAATTACACTGGTAATATTAGATCTTTGCAGCTTGTTTTTTTCCCTTAAGAATTTATTGAGTGAAGTTAAGGAAAGATTCACTGTTTTTAATATTTTCTGAAATCGTGCTGCGTCTAATCTGGACCAAGCAGTGGGGTTTGAAGGCTTTAGAAACAGTTAGGCATAAAGTTAATAGCACCATTCAGAAGTTTATGGCGTTTTTAAGAGGTATAAGTATTAGGCATGTGGATGTGGAAAATGGTGGTCAAGGACTTTATTTTAAGGATGGAGTTCACCTATCTGAGATTGGGATTGACATTTTTAATAATGGTTTACAAGAAGGAATAGAGAAGGCTGTAGGATTGTGGAAGGGGTCGCAAATAGCAGAGGTTTGCTGCCATTGCGGCTTAGGGTAAGATCGCCTCAAATTAAGGTTTAAGCAATCTGGCTGGCTCAAGGGCGGATTGTTAAATTTAAGTTTGGTGAGATGGTTATGGAATTAAGTTTAAAGTGTGTTGTAATCCTCTAAATGCCCTCAATAAAGCTATGGTCTTTTCAACCAATGTTAAATGGTGTTGGTTCTTATTTATTATATGGTATTTGGTGTATCTCTAAATATGATCATCTGAAGAACATGGGCCTGGATTAGGATATTCTTTACCTGTCCTGCCTTGTTGTTTGGAATCCTGATTGCCAGATGTGGAATTTACACTGAACAAAATTATAAAACGCAACACTTGTTTTTGCCCCCATTTTTCATGAGCTGAACTCAAAGATCTAAGACTTTTTCTATGTACACAAAAGGGCTATTTCTCTCAAATATTGTTCACAAATCTGTGTTAGTGAGCACTTCTCCTTTGCCCAGATAATCCATCAACCTCACAGGTGTGGCATATCAAGATGCTGATTAGACAGCATGATAATTGCACTTGTGTGCCTTACGCTGGCCACAATTAAGTCTCCCAATTTTTATTTAGGACATTAGGTCCCCCCCCCTTTATTCTAGTTTAGGGCCCCACCCACCGCTCAGGGGTGGGGGCCAGGGGGAGGATATTAGGTCCTTCCTTATTCTTGTTTAGGGCCCCCACCCACTGCTTCAGGTCTTTCAGCCTTTTAGTAGATAGCTTCCCAATACCGTGGGAATTAGGGAGTTATCTACTTATTCATTCTGGTCATTACATTGACTGGCTAAGTAACTTACATTTTATATGAATGTATGTTACTTGATGTAAGTGTTGCAAATGCTTACAGCTGAATCCTGGCTAGGTTTGTATACATTTTTCTTCTTTCACTGGGTAAGTATATTAGTACTTAGGCAATACTGTGCTTGGGAACGTTGGTACTTTGACACCTCAGAACTTTGGCACTACTACACTTCGGAAATTCGGTAATTTTGGAAATTCAGCTATTCGGAAGCACCCGAATGTCCGAATTACCTGAAATTCGTTTGAATTTCAATTGCACATGTATAGTTTCTGGTACCAAACAGAACCTTTCATAATTATGTACCAGGTTTTACTGTTACAATGGTGTATGCAGGTATCTGTTAGATTATATATATTATTACACAGTCTGCACTATGATATGTATTTTTATGTTTCCTTTTAAAGGGATACTACACAAGCACTAGGATTCTAAAGTAGGGAACCGTTTTAAGGTATATTTCTTTAAACACAGTGTCCTATAGTGCTATTAAATACAGTTTCCATCTAACATTATCTTAGCGCTCCAGCACCAGACTTTTTGGATTCTAATACTAAAAGATAAAATTATGGTGATATAGCAGCTTATTTATTAAGTGTTTACATATTGTTGTACAAAACTTACAATAAAATATTAGCGCTGGTACATTATCCATTATATATTATCTGTTCTATTATCCCTACCTCTTCTCACTGGTAAAATGTGGGTGTTTTTATATTTTACAATGTTACTTTATCTTGTTTTCTTTTATATTTCTCTCATTCTTTTTTAAAGCTGCTCCATCTTTATTATATCATGTGAACAATGATTGTCTATCTACCGTCTGTCCTAAATATATAAATATTGAAAAATCTCTTAAAAAAAAAACAAAAACAAAAAAAATCTGGTTAGTACTAGCTTCTTGTTTTACACACATAAAGACTCCAAACATCTGTTGAACTTTTGAAATTTGATACATACAAAATCTACCATATATCAAGATCTAAGCTGCATGAAGAAGAGAAAAAATAAAATAAAAATAAAGTAAGCAGAGCAAGCTGTTGCAAACAGCAGCTAAAGGATGCAGGTAACTAGTTGATAATGTCAAAGGAAGATCATTTTATTCCAACAATCCACATAAGTAACTCTAGAGAATATAGTATTTTTCAATGAAATATACAGAATAATAAAGAAAAATAGATACGTCAGTTTAGTGCAATTTACAAAGAAAGACAGAAAGGTATGCATTCCCTGATGTTTTACGGATTTTGAGTATTTGCTAAAACACTGATGGCCAACTTATAATTCCCAGGTATTGTTTAGCAAAAAAAACCAAAAAAAACCCTGCTTTGCTGTAGTTCTACAATAGCTGGGGATCTACATTTTGGCCACCCACGTACGAAAAATCATGATATGATCTTGCCAGTTTAATACCTGCAGATATTATGTAATGCTTAATGTCGTGGTTGGATGTAGGTGTTAAAGGACTTAAAGGAAAATAGTTCTATGATTGAAGCAAACAGCTTCAATGTAATCATAGAACTATTTTCCATATTTCAATTACATTGATGGATTGGTTTCCATACATCTTTAACCTTGAGTAAACCAATGCAATTAAAATAAAATAAAAATCTCACTCTAACTGTATACCTACCAAGCCAACTGCCTGTAAAATCTAGACCAGGTATTTCAAACAAACCGCACACTAGCCAGATAGGGTCTATAAAGTTTGAGTTTGTGAACATGTGAATGCATGGAAACAGAAGTTTATCTACACTGGATATGGCTGGCTGCATAGACACCCCATGAGGCTTCATAGTGCAAATGGTGTTGTGATAGGAGCAACATAACCCAGAGTTGTCTAGCTTAAAACCCTTGCAACCATTTTTTAAGTAATCTATTCTACCCACATTCTCACCTTCTATTATTTTTACTGTTGTGCACTGATGCCTTCATACAGATATCGGGTTGCTAAATTCACACATTAATGATTAAAGATTAGCGACTGATGAAGTTCCTTGTTGCTTAACTCTGAGAACTTGTACTGTGTGTTTTCTATCAATGCTAAAGAGCCGTATGAGATTGCATACACTCACACACTAGTTTGACAACCCTGAACTAGGCTTTTAAGACTCACCAAGGCATTGTGATCTACAGTAGACAGCTAAGAGCAACAGAAGTCATTGTTTGATTAACAGCAGTTGTGAACATTCTTAAACTTCCAAAAAGGCCAAAAAACATTTTTATGTGATTTTGAAACTTTAAAGATACAGAATTAGTGATAGCAAATGTATTATGAACATGATTTTCAAGTATCATTATCAAAAACAAGTTTTTCCAAGAACAAACAGTATAAAATATTGTAAAGTAATCCCTGAATCAAGTCTTTGTGGAAGGCCACGGTAATAATTGCACATATTACCATAACATCTATGAGTTTTCTGACCATTAACCCCTTACAATCCAGTGATATATGTGCCATGCATTGCAATATGCTTGGCACACATCTAGCACAAAACCTCTTAATACCTGCATTAAGCAAATGTCGTGAGATATAGCAATATCATACACTCGCAAAGAATGCATTTTAATTGGAGCGTTAGGTAGCTAGAGAAAGCCAAAATATGACCTATGAGGAGCTACGGTGGCTGGCTGAATGAATAGCATAACAACACCAGATGGATTAATTTTCAGGTTAATTGGGCTGATTGGTTTAAAGAGCCCCACATACTCTGTATTAAAAACATCGTACAATTTATAGCCTGCAGAGTACTCTGTGATGTTGAGAAGACCAAGGCTTGTACTGAAGGGTCTGGGAAGCCCATCATCTCCTGTATTAAGCACTGCTACAGCATACTGATCATTCACAAGCTGTCTCTTCCACACACTTAGACAACCGACCTGAAACAGAAATTTAGATAATGCAAACATTAATATAGAAAATAGTCACATTATGAGAAAGCTTGACAGCGTCTGAGAGTCAGATCCAACATTATTTAGCATATTTTCTCATCGATTCCATTTAATGGAATTGTTAACTGATAGATACATTACTCAACTTAACATTCGTTTTATTAAAAGGTTTTCCTGCTGGGAATTATGCTCTCAAGAGTAGTAAAATCATTTCTATATTGTGCTAGCAGAAAATGTACAGATGATAAAAACCAACAGTGTGTAAGCACTAAGAAGGTAATAAAACTCAGTTTAGCTGGACGAAACCACAGTGACACAAAAAGTATACACAGATATGAATAATGTTTACCAAAAAAAAAAAAAAAAAAGCTAAAACGGATTACAGCAAATCTGCAAATGAATAACTATGAAAAAATAGAAAAATATAGTGCAGACTATCAGGATTTTAAAATGTAAAAGTGGGGAATAAGGGCAAGAACTGGCTCTGGGTTTGCAAGGCTCCACCTGAGAGGGATATATCCCACACTGTATAGATAGAATCCAAATAGTGTGTTCTCTGAAGTCAGATGGTTCTATGTAATATAGGACAGAGAGGCAGAAACCCCTAGCTGCCAACATATTGGACTGCATGGCTGTTGTCCCAGAAAGAAGCCTCTTCTAAAGATGATGCACAAGAAAGCCTGCAAACAGTTTACTAAAGACAAGCAGACTAAGGACATGGATTTGTGGAACTATGTCCTGTGGTCCAATGAGACCAATATAAACTTATTTGGTTCAGATGGTGTCAAGCGTGTGTGGCGGCAACCAGGTGAGGAGTACAAAGACAATTGTGTCTTGCCTACAGTCAAGCATGGTGGTGGGAGTGTCATGGTCTGGGCTTGCATGAGTGCTGCCGGCACTGGGGAGCTACAGTTCATTGAGGGAACCATGAATGCCAACATATACTGTGACATACTAAAGCACAGCATGACCCCCCTCCCTTCAGAGACTGGGCCCCAGGGCAGTATTCCATCATGAAAACGACCCCATACACACCTCCAAGACGACCCCTGCCTCACTAAAAGGAGCTGAAGGTAAAAGTGATGGACTGGCCAAGCATGTCTCCAGACCTAAACCATATTGAGCATCTGTGAGGCATTCTCAAACAGAAGGTGGGGGAGAGCAAGGTCTCTAAAATCCACCAGCTCTGTGATGTCGACATGGAGGAGTGGAAGAGGACTCCAGTGGCAACCTGTGAAGCTCTGAGAGTTAAGGCAGTGCTGGAAAAAAAAAAATGGTTGCCACACAAAATATTGGCACTTTGGGCCCAATTTGGACATTTCCACTTAGGGGTGTACTCACTTTGTTGCTAACGGTTTAGACAATAATGGCTGTGTTATTTTAAGGGGACATCAATTTTACACGGTTATATAGGCTGTACACTTACTACTTTACATTGTAGCAGAGTGTAATTTCTTCAGTGTTGTCATATGAAAATATAAAAATATTTACAAAAATGTGAGGGATGTACTCACTTTTGTGAGATACTGTGTGAGAATCTCAACCACGCTAGGACATGCATGTCCAAACTCTGCATTGCACAGTGTCAGTCACATCATGCATAAACAAACGAATTTGCCATGGGCGTTCCCATTATATTAAAGGGATATTAGACACAAAAACAATGTTATCTATATCATGTCCCTGCAGTCTCATTGCTCAATTCTCTCCATTTAGGAGTCACACCTCCCTGCAAAGCCTTTAACACTTCCTGTAAAGAGAGATTGAATGTTCAAACTTCCTTTATTGCACAGTTTAATTAGAATTTCCTATCTCCTGCGCTGTTAATAACCTTCTAGTTATCAAAGTGCATGGACTTTTACAAAACAGTTTAATACGCTTGTTAAAAACATACTATATAAAAATATAACTTCTATGAAAGTTAATACCTTCATGACCTGTCTCCCCTGAATTCCAAGAGAATCTTGATTAATATAAATCAGGAGACGATTTTGTAAGAGGTCCTTGGCTTCTTCGGAGATTGTCCTTAAGTCATTAGACATAATAAGTGGTGCTGCCATAATGGCCCAGATGGCCAACTGTGCTTTAGATTGTTCATAACTCAGCCCATAGTCACCAGTGATGAGCTGCAAAGCAAAACATTTAAAAATAATAATACACATTGAATTATAACTACACAACTGAATGCAAGACTGAAAATAACTTGTAACTTTAATATTTTTACATTAGATGCGCCACAAAAAAATAAATAAATCACGCACAAACACACCACATTAAAAGAAATTCCCTGTTCCATCACTATCTTAGCTGGCCCTATTTTTCCACCAGCTCAGAATGCCATGGGCCATCTGATTTCCATTTGTGCTTGACTACTTTACTAGACCTTTGATTTGGGCCTCTCATCTCAATCGCCCCACTGCTGACTTTCCACTTCCACTATGGACCTCAGTGACTGTATATACTTTTAGTTGTGTTTTTGTTTTCTTCTTCTTACACTACCTACTTGCCAATCTCAAATGCTGCAAGCACATTTTTACCTCTCCACCAAGGGGCGTAAGCCCTCTAGATAGCAAAGAGGTCTAGTTGATGGACTGACAGAAGTTTACTCAGAAATTGGAGGGGTGTGGGGTGGGGAGCTGGAGAGCAAAGACAAAAACTTCATAAGGTGCAAGGTGGTGCTGTACCATGGTGCTGGTCATGCTGGAATGTGGGAAAACGCTCTTATTACTTTACTCTCTCTTTCCTGCTTTCCTTTCCTATAACATCCTCTTCCCTCTATCTAATTTCTTCTGTTCAAGAAAAAAAAAAATAATTGCTGGTTTGAGGGGACTTAATGTCCTTAATGTCATATTTGACAAATTGACTTTCCCAAAGACTATAACAGGAAGAGACCAGGAAATCACCACCCTTCTTTATGACCCTTGGCATATTTTGCTTGGTTCAGAATGAGACTATACACACTATTCCCAGTTATACAATTCCTACTTCTGTATCAGCAGGATGTTGTGTCCTGTTTCAACAGGTTTTTGATGGCCTTTTCTCTTTTACCCAAGATTGATAAAGCAAAGATAGAAGCCATATCCATCTCTGACCATTATCTTATGACACTGATGTTAACTCTACTTGGGGTTCTTCCCTATATGACACATTGAAGACTCCCTACACACCTAACTAGTCACCCCTCCCCTCGGACTCATCTAGAGGCACCCAAACTACATTGAAGAAAATCTACAAACTACATTGAAGAAAACTACAGCCCACAGACACTATTTCTTTAGATGTGGTGGTAGGTCCATGAAACTGCTGGCCGATATGGCTAATCCCAAAACTAAATCAAACAGAATGAGTAACTCCATTATCAAAGCAATGTTTTCTGTTCCTTTTTTCAATCTCTCTATGCAGCTTCACCCAATGACCATGCCCAAGGTCATCGATTTTTGAACGATACTAAAAGTCTTACATAGCAGAGGAATATACGGAGATTTTGCAAAATCCCTTAATTGCTCAGGAATTATAAGCTACAATTAAAGTCTTAAGAAAAGGAAAATCTCATGGCCCTGACAACATTACAATCGACTATTTTGGATTTTTTGCACTGCGTGTGATAATAAACATGCTTGCAGCACCACAACAGCATTGTCAAGCAGAATAAAAACATAAGAAATAAACAGTGGCATGGTATTATAAACATTTGCACAATTTTTGTAATACTGTAACACGATAACAGATGTGTTTGATAACAAGAAGGGGTCGATATGCAAGAGTATGCTTGTACCAGGAGCCTAGTATAATGTGTTAAACTGCACTCTGTTACCAACTAAGTGATAGATTATGTGGACGTGTCTACTAAAATGTAGCATGCTTGGGCAGGTGTGCCGGAGACAGGTCATGGGCGTAATTGAGGCAATGAGGTTGGCCTCGACACGTAGTGTTATACGAGTGCTATAGAACAGGTCTAACGTGTGTGGATTATGCAGGTAAGAAAAAGCTTTAACATGTATCAGACTACACTGGAGATTGCTTTGTCCTTCAATCTGGGGCTCTGGGAGAGGGTTGCTTGAAGCCTTAAGTAGAATAGTCCTGGGTAGGTGAGTCCACATGTCCAATTGAGTTGTAAGGTGGTATGGTGTGACCGGACACATGGGGTTGCATGTGTGTGGTCGTCTCTTTCATCCGACTCCCTCTGCTGGGAAACCATTGGTGCCCGCTGGTGGAGGGATGCTGCTGCCCAGGTGCAAGAAAGGGTGTCTCTCCAGCCACAGGTTGGTGTTGGGGCCTGCATCTCAGTGCCACAAACTCTGACTTCCAGAGTCTGAGTTTCCTCCTCGCATGGCGAGTGCCGGAGGGCTTGGTGGCCAATGTGGAAGAAGCTTCCAGGCCTTAGCACTGGTGGCCTTCACCCAGGTGGGCTATGGAGAGTGGGGGTGAGTGGGTATATTGGTGCTGTACCCGCGTGTGTCCCCCTCGCTCCCCGTGCCCCTGCTCACCCGTATTTGGCTTGTTTTGTTGCTTGTTCCGGGCTGCCTGATCGCGCTGGATAAGTTTTTCCCAGGCGCGTAGGAAGATGTCTAAGCGTTGCAGGGAATCTGTGGCAGTACTTTGATGGGGCCTGTGGCTTGGAAGCAGGCTTTGAGAATAGGGTGGGTGATCAGCCGCCATCTTGAGTGCGCAACGAGGGCAAGTGTTGTTGGTGCCATATTAGAGACTTAGAACTTGTTCCCAGGTAGATTGCTCCCAACTCCCTTCTTGGTGAGGTCCGGGATAACCCCCACAGGACCACAGGGGGAGGTTCAGGGCCCTGGCCGCACTCTTGGTGTGCCCGGCCGGGTCAGGTTCGGAGGATCAGCCACCTCCTCTACTGGGCCCCAGACTAGGCCTCAAGTGTCGTCTGTCGGCGAAAACAAGCTGACGAGAAGTCGTCTGTAGCCGCTTGCACACAAGGGTACCCAGGTGTCTCCGGGTGTAGATTGTAAGGCTGATGTGGCTAAAAAGTTAGGGCTTTTATGAGACTAGTGTGCAGCAGCCGATGTGAGTTGCGTCCTCTCGGCTCGGTGGTCAGGCAATGCCCCACCAACCTAATTCTTTTTTAAACCTGGACAATTAAAAAAAAAATACAAAAAATTGGAGCAGTTACAGGAATCAAACATGCTGTGGCGATAGTGGCCAAGATTAATTTTCCAGATATACCATTATCCTATCCCACCCATCTCAGACTTGATGCTGAGAAGGCATTTAAATGCATTCTCTGGCCTCATAATTTGGACTCTCAAACTTAACTATTTTGGACATAGATTTGTGGATTTTGTCACAAATGTTCAAACCAATCCACGATGTGGTTTATTCACAAATGGATTGTACTCACCTTATTTCTCCCTAGAACGAGGTGTCCGTCAGCTAGATCCTCTGTTGCCACTACTCTCGAACACTGCCATAGCTGCTGTTTTATGTACTTTAGACTCCCTACTGGCTTTTCAGGGAATCCCCATGGGTGAGTCTGTCCTTAAGATTTCAGCTTTTGCAAAATACATTTTATTGTTTGCCATTTCTCGGAGGATTGCACGGTCTGACGTTGGGGTTAATATGCTGGGACGTCCATTCCTGGGAAGACTGGCAACGATCTTGAATATTTTTCACTTTTGAATAATCTTTAACATTGTAGAATGATGGAGTTTATTTTTTTTGGAAATTGCCTTATAACCCTTCCCAGTTTGATGGGCAGCAATAATTATTTCTCTAAGATCCAGACCAGCAAACTGCTACAAATGTCAGCTTTTTAAAAAGATGATCACACTTGCTGATGATCAGTTAATTAAGGGCATTATGATTAACAGCACCTGTCTGCTACTTAATTCTTATGAAAGCAAAAGGATGTAGTCAGTGTCTTCTCCAGTTTAGCTTTAATTTTTATTAAATATATCATGACACTGTGTAATATGCCATGTGTTATTGTATTTACCCAATTTTTAGATGTGCTAAGGAACAGATGATAGTGATGCCCTGATATGTAAAACCATAGAGTTCACAGAGGGTGTACAAGTGTCTACACATATAGTAATATTAAAGATTTAGCAAGTGACATCACAATTAATTTCAAGAAACACATCACATTGAATAACCCACTAAATGTTAAATTAGCCGTCTAACAAAACCAGAATATACCAAAAAATAAATAAAATTTTATATATATATATATATATATATATATATATATATATAAAAATTTCTATAGTAGGTTAATGAATTACCATCTTACCATGTCTGGGTCATTCCAATGGCCAGGGCCTGCAACTGGCTGCAATGCATCCTGATTGGCTGCAAACCATTGAATTATTTTAACAACACTGGCCCAAGAATCCTGAATATCATCATAATTCCTCCACATGTTGCAAATACTGCCGAGCAAAGTGTAGTTCACCTGTTGAGTAATAAAAATTTATAAGAAGTAATAAAATAATTTTAAAATACATTTCAGAACATTTGTTCCATTTTTTTCCCCACTTTTATTTCTAAATAGAAGTATTTAGAGGCTGGAAGTAACTGGATCATTGTGGGTTATGTGAAGGAAATATGGACAGAGCTACCTGCACATAAAATACAAAAAGATGGCACATTTAATTGTAACATCTCTAGGGCATATCTTTAGTGTATGCAGATTTATAAAATGTGAGCCCTGCTAATGAAAAATATCAGCATGCGCCACCTAGGGTGGGGGCCCTGAATAAAAATGTAAGCCCTCCGCCCGGTTACCCCCCCCCAAAAAAAAAAAAAATAACCCCTGCCTACCACCCTCATCCGAAAAATAATGATGGGGGACCCTTATCTAAATACCTGTAAAATAAAAAAATAAAACTTACCATTTGATGTCTTTCTTTTTTCAGCCCCCAAAAAAGGCCAAATAAAAATCCATAATAACCGACGCACTTTAAAAAAAAAAAAAAAAAAAAAAATCCATCTACCTATGGAGGGCTCCGCGCAGACTGAGCTCTGCGGGGCGGGGGAAGGCTTATAGGGCCCTGCAATTAGGCTCAGAGCACTTTGATTGGTGGGTTTAAGCCATCCAATCAGAGTGCTCTGACAGGTAAATGAAGAGACTGACATGTTTTGTTTAGGTTGTTTTTTTTTTCTCACTGTTTAATAGACATACCCCTACTCGCGGTATAGCGAGAAGGGACAAAATTTACTAATACCAAGTAATTTTTACTTAGTATTAGTAAATTTGGCTGAAAGACCAATTTAGATCTTTCAGCCTTTTGGTAGATAGCTCCCTAATACCATGGGAATTAGGGAGTTATCTACTTAGCGGCTGCAAGAAAAGTCCCGAAGTTGCTGAAGTCCCGAAATGCCGAACGGCCGAAGTCCCGAATTTTGGAATGCCGAACTGAAATTTTTCCCTAAGCACATCCCTAGTTCTAAATAATCGACTTAAAAAGTTACAGTATAGTCACCAGAACAACTACAGCTTAATGTAGTTGTTCTGGTGAGTATAATCATCCACTTCAGGCATTTTCATTCAAACACTGCCTTTTCAGAGACAAAGCCATGTTTAGATTGTCTTCTTGCAGTAAGAACAATAAGGATGTGGAATTCTCTGCCTGAAGAGGTGGTTTTATCAGAGTCTGTACAGATGTTTAGACGGCAACTGGATGAATACTTGCAAAAGCATAATACACAGGAATATCAGTTTTAATATGTGTGTAATGGCACTCCCAGGCATAAAAGGGTTAAACCGCCGTTTAGCAGATCTTCCCTTCCAGAGACACAGGCACAGCTACTGCAGAACACCAATCCGCCGAATAGGAAACCATTTGAATGCTGTAAACAGCCAAATAGGAAAAACCCATACGAATAGGTTTACACTCCAAGCAGTCGAACTGGAACAGCATACAATAAACCCCCCCAAGAACTAGACAAAGCTCCATGTTGAGGGTCAAGCAGTGAACAGACAGAGCTGTGGGTTTATTGTTCTTATATACACATTAGTACCACCCACAGGGTTTGGGAACATAACCAATAAACACATACAATACACTCAGACACTCCCACATAAAATCCTCCCCTCTGCCTGTGATTCAATTACCTTACACATTGTGTAATGTAATTATAACAAGCAGAGAAATACAATTTTTCCACATTATTCATAACTTGAAAAGTATGCATCACATTCACATAAAACATTTTTCAGAATCAGCATACTCCAAATACAAACATATGTCAAAATCATCAAACTTGGTCCAGTGGTTCAAAAGATAGATTGTAGTCCTTTGTGACCAAAGGAAGCATGGCTTTTCTGCCCAAAACCAGTTCCACAGAGTCTTCTATCCTGGAGATAATTGGGAAGTAATCCAATTATCTCCAAGGACAGAGGCAGAACTCCACTTAACACATGGCAGCAAAAAACAAAACATATAACTGTACAGCCATTGCACAAAACAGGTACATTCAACATATCCCCAGATAGCTTAGGTCTGAGCGCTCATTATTACTGAATGGCGCTCAGAGCACACAAATACAGTTCAATTGCCATGGAGCCAAAGTCTTTCATTATACGAATGGGCTCCATGGCATAGCTATCTGGGGTATCACCGCTCAAACAGGGCCAGCACCGAATGACCCGGCTTTCGTGTCTTTGCAGGGGAAAATCAAGCGTTTCAACATGGGGCCATAGTCTAAAGGCAGCAGGCGGGCAACCAGGGTCCTCCAATGCACAGTGGCGAGATTGGTCTCGTCACAATGTGGGCTAACAGCTTATTGATCCAAGGAGAGACCTGACTACCATTCTGGCATTGATCACGAAATTGTGTGCAAATTCTAATTATAGATCATGCCCCTGCAGTCTCACTGCTTAATTCTCTGCCATTTAGGAGTTAAATGACTGTTTATGCAGCCTTAGTCACACCTCTCTGCATGTGACTTGCACAGCCTTCATAAACACTTGCTGTAAAGAGAGTCATCTAAGGTTTACACTTCCTTTATTGCAAATTAAGTTTAATTTAAATTTCTTATATCCTGCTCTGTTAATTGCTTGCTAGACCTCACAGGAACGTCCTGTGTGTGATTAAAGTTTACATTTACAGAGCAGGAGATAAAAAAAAAAAAAAAAAAATTTAAATAATAAAAAAAAGTTACGTCTGATTGAAAATAAAACCATTTTCTTTATGCAGGCTGTACGAGTCACAAGCCGGGGTGATGTGACTAGGGCTTCATAAACAGAAACATTTAACTCCTAAATCGCAGTGAATTGAGCAGTGAGTCTTCAGAGGTATGATCTATATACCAAAACTGCTTTGTTGCCAATGTTGTTTTGGTGACAATAGGGTCCAATTAATAGTTAACTTATCTTCAGAAGGATTATGATTATTTAAAGAAGTGTTTAATATAAGCTAGAGAAGTGTTGTGAAAAAGCATCACAATAGTGTAATTATCCCAACATTATGAATGGATCATCAGTAGCTGCCAACAAGTTGATACATTATATATTAGACTTGTGCAAAATGTGTTTCTGGCAATTCTTCCCAATTGAATTCATTTTAATCCATAGTTACATAGTTACATAGCTGAAAAGAGACTTGCGTCCATCAAGTTCAGCCTTCCTCAGAAATGTTGTTGCTGTTGATCCAAAAGAAGGCAAAAAACCTGGTCTGAAGTACTTCCAATTTTGCCACAAACTAGGAAAAAATTCCTTCTTGACCCCAAAATAGCAGTCAGATGTCTCCTTTTCTTTGCCTTAGATGAAATCTCCTTTCTTCCAGCCTAAATGTGTGACCTCGTGTCCTATGTATAACCCTGTTTATGAATAGATTTCCAGATAAAGGTTTGTACTGGCCCCGAATATATTTGTATAAAGTTATCATATCCCTCTCAGGCGCCGTTTTTCCAAACTAAACAGATTTAATTTTTTAACCTTTCTTCATAACTAAAATGCTCCATTCCTTTTATCAATTTTGTAGCTCGTCTCTGGACCCTCTCCAGTGCCATGATATCCTTCTTTAGAACAGGCGCCCAAAATTGCACAGCATATTCAAGGTGTGGTCTTACCAGCGATTTATAAAGAGGCAAAATTATATTTTCATCCCGAGAATTTATGCCCCTATTTATACATGACAAAATCTTACTGGCCTTAGCAACTGCAGATTGACATTGCATATTGCTGCCTAATTTGTTGTCTATAACAATTCCCAAATCCTTCTCGTGTGTGGTTATCCCTAATTCACTACCATTTAGTGTGTAAGTTGCTTGTGCATTCTTAACCCCGAAGTGCATAACTTTGCATTTCTCTACGTTAAATTTCATCTGCCATTTTAGTGCCCAGTCCCCCAATCTATCCAAATCTCTCTGCAGCAAAGCAATATCCTGCTCACATTTTATTACTTTACAAAGTTTTGTGTCATCTGCAAACACTGATACATGGCTTTCAATGCCTATTTCAAGATCATTTATAAATATGTTAAATAGAAGTGGTCCCAAAACAGAACCCTGAGGGACACCACTTACCACTTTTGTCCAGCCTGAAAATTTACCATTAATTACAACTCGTTGTACTCTGTCCTTAAGCCAATGTTCTACCCAAGAACAGGAATATTCATCTAGACCAATTTCTTTTAGTTTGAAGACTAACCTATTGTGAGGAACCGTATCAAATGCCTTGGCAAAGTCCAAGTAGATCACATCCACTGCAACACCCTGATCTATACTTCTACTTACTTCTTCGTAGAATGCAATTAGGTTAGTTTGACATGACCTATGTTTCATAAAACCATGCTGATTATTGCTAATAATAATCCACACCAAAACAAATTGCTTCACCTGGGATTTACCTGCTGAGTCTTATTCACCTCTGTTCAGAAAGTGTACATCAAAGCTATATATTTTAATGCATCTACAGGGAGTGCAGAATTATTAGGTAAGTTGTATTTTTGAGGATTAATTTTATTATTGAACAACAACCATGTTCTCAATGAACCCAAAAAACTCATTAATATCAAAGCTGAATATTTTTGGAAGTAGTTTTTAGTTTGTTTTTAGTTTTAGCTATGTTAGGGGGATATCTGTGTGTGCAGGTGACTATTACTGTGCATAATTATTAGGCAACTTAACAAAAACAAATATATACCCATTTCAATTATTTATTATTACCAGTGAAACCAATATAACATCTCAACATTCACAAATATACATTTCTGACATTCAAAAACAAAACAAAAACAAATCAGTGACCAATATAGCCACCTTTCTTTGCAAGGACACTCAAAAGCCTGCCATCCATGGATTCTGTCAGTGTTTTGATCTGTTCACCATCAACATTGCGTGCAGCAGCAACCACAGCCTCCCAGACACTGTTCAGAGAGGTGTACTGTTTTCCCTCCTTGTAAATCTCACATTTGATGATGGACCACAGGTTCTCAATGGGGTTCAGATCAGGTGAACAAGGAGGCCATGTCATTAGATTTTCTTCTTTTATACCCTTTCTTGCCAGCCACGCTGTGGAGTACTTGGACGCGTGTGATGGAGCATTGTCCTGCATGAAAATCATGTTTTTCTTGAAGGATGCAGACTTCTTCCTGTACCACTGCTTGAAGAAGGTGTCTTCCAGGAACTGGCAGTAGGACTGGGAGTTGAGCTTGACTCCATCCTCAACCCGAAAAGGCCCCACAAGCTCATCTTTGATGATACCAGCCCAAACCAGTACTCCACCTCCACCTTGCTGGCGTCTGAGTCGGACTGGAGCTCTCTGCCCTTTACCAATCCAGCCACGGGCCCATCCATCTGGCCCATCAAGACTCACTCTCATTTCATCAGTCCATAAAACCTTAGAAAAATCAGTCTTGAGATATTTCTTGGCCCAGTCTTGACGTTTCAGCTTGTGTGTCTTGTTCAGTGGTGGTCGTCTTTCAGCCTTTCTTACCTTGGCCATGTCTCTGAGTATTGCACACCTTGTGCTTTTGGGCACTCCAGTGATGTTGCAGCTCTGAAATATGGCCAAACTGGTGGCAAGTGGCATCGTGGCAGCTGCACGCTTGACTTTTCTCAGTTCATGGGCAGTTATTTTGCGCCTTGGTTTTTCCACACGCTTCTTGCGACCCTGTTGACTATTTTGAATGAAACGCTTGATTGTTCGATGATCACGCTTCAGAAGCTTTGCAATTTTAAGAGTGCTGCATCCCTCTGCAAGATATCTCACTATTTTTGACTTTTCTGAGCCTGTCAAGTCCTTCTTTTGACCCATTTTGCCAAAGGAAAGGAAGTTGCCTAATAATTATGCACACCTGATATAGGGTGTTGATGTCATTAGACCACACCCCTTCTCATTACAGAGATGCACATCACCTAATATGCTTAATTGGTAGTAGGCTTTCGAGCCTATACAGCTTGGAGTAAGACAACATGCATAAAGAGGATGATGTGGTCAAAATACTCATTTGCCTAATAATTCTGCACTCCCTGTATAATGAGATAATCATGATAGTTGTAATAAAGATTACCTTAGGTGGGAGACCTCCTTCATAAGCCGGCCAACTACAGGAGTACAAGATTGGTCTTCCTGTTGCATTTAAAGCAGAACTCATTTTAGGATAGCCTAAAGTACAAAGTAGAAACCACATTTAGAAATGATCACGACCCAACAGTTAATTAAACATAGGTTTATAAACCAATTACCCACTAGTGCATGAAATAAAAAAAATAAAAAAATTCAGTCCAGCGCTACCTCCGCCGCCCCCAAAAAACAAAACACGACCATAGATTTTAATATTATACAAAGTCAAAAGATATAAAGCTGATAGTATTAAAGGAACACAAAGAGCACCATAACAACTTAATTGAAATGAAGTTGTTCTGGTGCCAGGAAGTGCCTGGTGCTTCCTTGCCTGTAATGGTTAAACAGTTCAGGAACGGCTCTGCAACGCTGTTCTCTGCGGTCCCCTGCCGCCTGAAATTGAGCTGGAGACAGCACAGACAGGTGCCGCTGATTGGCTTCGAGCAGTCCTCCATAAAAAATAAAAAAGTTTTAAAAACAAATTTAATTTTAAAAATTTACATTTTTTTTTTTTTTTTTTTAAACTGTGAGGTATGGATTGTTCAATACACGGTTTAACACAAAATAAAACAAAAATTAATAAATGAAAAAAACAATTTATTTTTTTGAATTCAGTTAAATCTTCACGCAAAATTAAAAGTCAACCGTAAATGATAGCAGACCTATTGCTTTTTCTGTGTCATTTGAGTAACATCCATCGAATTTCAACATGTCAACTTCCCATGAAGCAAATGTGTCGGCATCAATCTTGATAGTATCCAGAGTAGTTCCAGGGTAGCCACCGCACGTATAGTTACCCATGTCACTGTAAATGCCCAGCTTTAGCCCTCGGGAATGCACCTACAAAATAATTTCACATTTACTCTTTTTTGTTTTCCATCTTGGTATAAAAATAAATATTTTTCTAAAAAGGTATATGTGTCAGAATGGCCATTAAAACCAGCCTGTGGAACCGGGTCATTAGAAATAAGTTCAAAAGAGGGAATGTAATTACTTTCAGGAAAATAGAAAAAATAATAAGTAAAATAATAAATAAATATAACAAAAGGAAGGCCTTTGGAGCTTCCCACATGAAGTTTGTATTGTTTTTTTTGGAAGTGTGTGAATATATTTATATATTTGTTATTTCTCAATGAGTACAGAAACGGGTAGGCAATTACAAAATCATAATTCGAGGAGATTGGTTAAAATGAAAGATTTGAATCAGTTTCACATGTTCACCATGTTTTTTTTCCTGGACATAACTTTTATTTCATCATATTCACTGACGGGCAGGACATGAAAATGTCAAGAAATATGTAGAATTGATATGCGTCAGGAATCCCAGTTGAACTATCACCTGATTTACTACCTGCAACATTTGACTTCTACAGGGCAGCACTTTCCATAGGTTTTCCATCAATTTGTGTAAGTGATAAGTGACCTGGAAAACATGGTGGCTATGGCATTCTTTGTTTCAGAACTATATGATGTGGAATATGGACTACTCTTATTTAATGTACATTATACATATAGCTGTAAGAGATATCTATCTATCTCCATATATCCACCCAAAAGATGCTCAGGGTGTACTCACAGGACTTTCTAGGGATACTTTAATTTAGTGAAAAAGAATATTCGGTTACATCTTGCAAAAGACCCACCAGGGTCAAAACGTTGATCTTTTTGCAGATGTAACTGAATATTTTTTTTTTCACTAAATTTAAGTATCACTAGAAAGTCCTGTGAGTACACCCGGAGCATCTTTTGGTTATAGATTCACACGGGTAGCAGCCAGGCAAGTTACTTATTATTTGTTCAAGGAAGTAAAGTGCCAAGCTGTGGGATTTTATTAATAATTATATACACACACACACACACACACACACACACACACATATACACATTATTCTACAAGGTTACACGTGTCACTTAACCGTGGTGAGAAATCATAGACAGTGCTAAGTAAAGTATCTGCTGACCATAGCTATACAGCAGGGGTCCTCAAACTCCGGCCCCCCCAGGTGTTGCTAAACTACAACTCCCATGATTCTCTGGCTATGTAATTCAAAGAATCATGGGAGTTGTAGTTCAGCAGCATCTGGGGGGGGGGGGCGGTGTTTGAGGACCCCTGCTATACAGCATATTACACCATAAAAGGAAACAAGTTAGGAGTTGTTGTTTTTTTGGGGGGGGGAGGGAGGAATAATGAAATGGGTATATAACCGGGAAAGGGGACAGCTGCTAATTGTGATTCATCTGTAATCATCATCAGACATACGTTTCATTAGAAAGAATTTCTGTTGGTAACATTACTTATTTTTTCTCGCTGTAACATAATAAATATAAAATATGTGTGTATTTAAATGAAGTCATTGGTTCATTTATACAATATTCATGCAGTGGCCATTGAGTCTTCTTACACTTTAGTTTAGTGAGAAGTCAAATTATCTAGAATAATTTTTCTAAAACAGTTTCAAAAGATATACTTGCAACAGGATTGCTCATGTCCTTATCAGCTATAAATATTATAAACCACTATAAAAAACATAAGCTATAAATGATCGGGAAGTAGACTTTTGTCAGTAATGTCCATCATACCTGAAGAGAGTCATGGTGACCAATATTGAAGGGTCAAGAAAACCAACATATGTAACTACACACAATTTTCTTAGAGTAGATCTATCACTTTTTAGTATATCACAAAGATATAATCTTTATAAAAAAATAAAAATAAAACTGCTTTAGAATTTCACTGAAATTCCAACACAATCCAGAAATACCATAAGACAACTTGTGGCCAATCCAAGCAGCGGTCACAAATGACTGCGGTGGTGGGATTCAGGCTTGGTCTATGGAGGATCCCACAATTATGTGAAATTCTCCATAGAATTCAGTGTTGTACTCTCAAGGCATGCGTGAATGTACAGCACTGATGCAGTTCCTGACAACTGAAGCACCGAAGAGGACATTCATCAGGAAGATTGCGACAGCCAAAAGGTCAGTAAAACTCACCCCTCCCCTGCATCCCGTGGCCACTGGAGAGAGAATATTATACATATACACACACACACACACACACACACACATACACACACACACTCTAGAATTGATGGGACTGTCTGCCAACCTGTGGTTGTTTCTTTTTTAGTTCTACATTTGAGATTCCTCAATTGAAAATAGCCCAGAACATGGAACTGAAAATGAACAAGAACAACACAAAAGTGCAACAAAAATGTTTCCAGAATACAACATACTCATAACTTCCACAGCTAAATAAGCAGGGAATATTACTTTATCCTTTGCCAGCTATCCAACCTGCAAGCAGAACTTGGAAAAGGCATCGCTCTCCGCAAGTGTGGCCAATGGCTGTGGAGATCATTACACAGCCTTATTTACAAAACTGACCTGGGCTCAGAACAGGCAGATATGATATGACTTTCAATGTGATGAGTGGAACTGCAGCTCCTGCTGGAACAGTCCCACCTCCAGAACAACTTGAGCTCATTCAAGTTGTTATGGGGCAGGTGTGTGTAAGCATCTTCTTACATTTAAAGGGTTACACAATTTTTCTATATATTAACCCAGACGATGGGGCTGGGACACTTTCAGCCTATCAGTGGCTGCGCGGCTAGGCCTTCCTCATGTTGCACTGCAGAGAAGAAGGTCAGCTAGGAGGAAGAAGCTCTGGACATCGGAGCCCCAACTTTGGGGTTTAAACATTGCCAAACAAATTAATCCCTCATGAAGGTAAGAAGATGCCAGACATTCCTGCCACCATAGCTTAAATTGGCATATGTTTGTTTCTTCAAAAGAACTTTTAATGATTCACTTGCACTTTAATGCACTTCCATTGTTGTCTATTGCCAAAAGGAATACTCTTTTTATTGTGCAACAGAGGGCAGACAGATTAACAGACTATATGATTTGCCAACTCCATAATTCTGGCAGAATCTTCCACAAAGAATTGCTCTATAGTTTAATTCAGGCATGAAACACAGGTGGTCAGTGAGGAGATGCCAAATTATTTTGTTTACAAGTTTAACTTCTGATCAGAAGGGAATATTAAAGGGAATATTTGCTAAAAAAAAAAACACCATATCTAGTTATTGAAGGAGTAGGGAATAAGACTTGGTTAAATTATTCCAGATGCAATACATATTTTTCTTTCACATGCAAAGTACTTAACTTCTGTTTCGCATGTGAAAATATTTTTGTATACTCACATAATCTGCAAGGGCTTTTATACCACTGGGAAACCTGTCTGGATCAGGCTCGAGTTTCCCATTAGAATCTCTTTGCTTCTTAGCCCAGCAATCATCAATAGACAGATAGACATATCCAAGCTCCCGCCAGCCTCCATTGGCCATCTTGTCAGCCATAGCTTTGATTAAGTTTTCACTAAAGCAGAAAAAAAAAAAAGAAATTTTACAGTATTATTTTACTTCTACTAAAATTCATTACAAGATTACCCATTTTTTTCATTTACCATAATAAGAATCAGTAATGGCCAATCTTTCATTACAACTGTTGTGGAGTACAAACTCATGTAGTGAGGTTCATTTTTTACTAGGTCAACATCGAGTGGTATGATGCTCGAGATGGCCTACTGCCTACCTGCCATCTGCATCAATGGTCCACACCATTATATGGTTTCATTCCTGGCACAATATTAGCTTATTAAACTTTTGTTTGTTTTTTCCTTTTCGTTCAGATAACACTATGCTAGCTTCCCTTGACAACATGTAAATGTGTAATTTTTTTGTAGTTTTATTAAAGAAACAAACAAAAAAAAAACCACGGCAATCCATATTCTCAGTGCCTTTTTGTGCTTTGACCTGGGATGGTTCTGATCTGCATGTGTGGTTTTATTTACACACACGGCAAATCATATATCTGTATGTGATATGTTTATAATTAAACCAATATATAAAGTGTCATTAAAATGCATCTTCACAACCTTATCTAAATGATGACCAAATTCCGAATAATGACCTTCTTTGATGTAACCTCTCCAGCAGCAATTGCGCAAATTAGAATCTTCTCATAGTTAAAGGACCACTATAGTGCCAGGAAAACATACTCGTTTTCCTGGCACTATAGTGCCCTGAGGGTGCCCCCACCCTCAGGGACCCCCTCCCGCCCGGCTCTGGAAAGGGGAAAGGGGTAAAACTTACCTTTTCCAGCTTGGGCGAGAGCTCTCCTCCTCCTCCGCCTCGTTCCCCGCCCGGCTGAATGCGCGACGCGCGTTGCGCGGCGGATTCAGCCGGTCTCATAGGAATGCATTCATAATGCTTTCCTATGGACGCTGGGTGCTCTCACTGTGAAAATCACAGTGAGAAGCACGCAAGCGCCTCTAGTGGCTGTCAATGAGACAGCCACTAGAGGATTAGGGGGAAGGCTTAACCCATTCATAATTATAGCAGTTTCTATGAAACTGCTATAATTATGAAAAAATGGGTTAACCCTAGAAGGACCTGGCACCCAGACCACTTCATTAAGCTGAAGTGGTCTGGGTGCCTAGAGTGGTCCTTTAAGCATTAGCCATTGCTTTCATAAGAGAAAATTCATGGAAACTATAGTACTCTCATACAGAGTGAAAGACAGCCTCATTGTCTCAATGGGGGCTCCCATCCTGTTTTATTAAAAGGGCCTTCGCAAGAAATAAGTAAATACCTTAAAGGGACTACATAGTCACCAGAACAACTACAGCTTAATGTAGTTGTTCTGGTGAGTAGAGCAAGTCCCTGCAGCCCTTTTGCTTTAAACACTGCCTTTTCAGAGAAAAGAGTGTTTACATTGCTCTCTAGTTACACCTACAGTGGCCACTCCTCTGATTGAGACCCCATGCAGCACTAAAGTTCAGCATCTCCACGCTCTACATGGAGATGCTAAACTGTCAACATAGAGATGCATTGATTCAATGCATCTCTATGAGAAGATGCCGATTAGCCAAACCGGCATTTGGCTGAGATCATCAGTTCTGATGAGGTAAGTCAAGGAGGTGGATTGGGGGTGGGGCCAGCACCGGCAAACCAGCGCCATGCTGGTAATGAGTTAAGTTGTATTACTTTTTAGGAGGTAAGGGGGGGGGGAGGGGGCCAAGCCACCAAAAATGGTGGTTTTAACAGTGTTCCTTTAAAGCATTTCACCTCAGACTTACTATTCTTCTATTGTTTCTTCTCTTACTCTTTCAGAATCTGTTCTCCCCCCCCCCCCTTCATTTCTGAGGTGTTTCTCTTAGAAACATAAGGCAAAGTAGGGACTGTTTTGTCTTACGTATTTTTCCTACACCTGACAATTATGACAAAAAGGTCCACTTCCTTTGCCCAGCTGACAAAGGGTGAAGTTTGCTTTAAGTTCCACTGCCTAGTCTAACTTGCCAAGTGTAGAAAAAAAATAAAATAAAAATAAGATATGCATAACAAAGTTATACTGACCTTCTGCAACTGAATACAAAGGTTATACAGAAGATGTATGTGTTGTGGCAACTACAGGGGTTAAGAGAAATAGCATACACTAAATAGAAGAGAATAAAAGAAAAATTCTGAAATAGAACATCGCCACAGTGAGTATCGAATATGTGGACTCAGGAGATCTAGGGATTATTCTGGAGATCTGAATAATTGTCAGAGCATTAGTAGTTTGCTGCACATTGTTTTGTATTAAAGGAAATATTTCCCAATATTGTTAGACAGATTTGATTTGACTTTATATTTAACAATTATGAATGGGCAAGTTTTAGTTAAAGGAACAATGGGCACCATTACAATAACGGATACTACCAAAACATTTCCCTGGGTCTCCGTTCCCCCTCCTCTCCATGTGGTTCCAGCAAGTGCCTCTCTCTGCCCTGTCCACAGACTGTCACCGAGAGCCCGGTCATATTACTTCATGGTTCTCACCCCTTTCCCAACGCCCTATGAGAGCACTTTTTGGAATGGAGTTACATTCCATCAAAGGGAACAATTGTTACCTGTGAGCCAGTGGGAGTCCCTTTTCCTCTACCTACCAGAGACCCCATTAAATGGCCAGCATATGACATGCTGGGGATCTGAATAAATGGCTGCACTATGCTGAATAAAACCAGTTATTCTTCCCAACATTATGTGTCGTCTGATATATGGGGAAAGGGGTTGTAATCACTGAATTGCTTTTCTTCTAGCGGAGAGGAAATTCTAGCGGATATATTCAGTCGGGATATAGGGGCTCCACTACAAACATCAACTGAATGAAGTTATTATGATGCCTCAAACGTTTAGGAATTACAGTTAGACGTTTAACTCCAAAGTCTTGAATCCAGCACCTTTAAACTCTGACCCTGTCCTTCCGCATTTGATTTGGTCTTGAATCAAGAAGGGGTCAATCATTCGCTTCCCATTCCCAAAATGGCTTGAGAACTGTATGTTTGCTGGATTCATTCATTTGTGGTTAAGTAGTTCGTCATCAGTTTAACCCCTAAAGGTAAGCTGGTACCAGATACCTCTTGGCATCATAATTTAAGTCTGACAAAGTTGTTCTGGTACCCAGAATGTTCCTTTAACTCATTATAAAAAAAAATATATACTTCACACATAAAATTTACCTGATACAGTTATCGGGATCATTTTTGCAGTCTATGTTGCATCTGTATCGCTCCCATGTCATCCAGCCCATTGGCGGTGTCTTCACTAAGCCATTGTCCAAGGCAGTGCTTAACATATACAAGGCCAGGAGGAGGCCAAAGCTTAGAAGATGCATTATTTTTTATGAAGGCGTATCTTTTCAAACTGCAGAAGAAAATAAAATCCATTTATTAATGAAAGAGTTCAAGAAGTACTGTGTTCAGCCCGTATGGGAATGTTTTGTAAAACTTCTGCCGATTTTGTGCTTACTTTGACCGATTTCTTTGATTCTGCTCCAGCTTGTTTGGTTTATTTTAATTTTTTTACCAATACATTAGATTCAAGGGAAATTCTACTAAAAAAAAAATATTAAAAAAACAAACCACACACACACACACACACACACACACAACCACATTGTTATATACTATGTTGTGTTTTTTTGTTCTGTTTTTCTAGCAGAATTTCCTTATATCTATATTATTTGAAGACCAGAGGAAATCGTGATGGCACATCCTTATTTGTTGAGGGAAGTTTTTTTATATGTTGTTTCATTATATCCACTGTTTTGCAGTTGTGATTGTCACATTGTGTATATTTTTTCGTTTTACTGCAATGTTTCAGGTCTAATATATTACTACACAATCCAGTTTTGTGAGGGTTTGTTTGTGCATTTTCACTCAGGTCTATGAGATGAGTATACACAGTCAGAACATACAAATCCAGTCTTTAAGTTTTATGTCTGATTCAGAATATAGGAATTTTGTCTATTAGGACAAAATCCCAGCTATACACAACTCTATGACTTAAAAATATTATTATTAATTTATTTAATAGGACACCACTGCTATTGCACAGTAGCCTTTTATCACTTGGAAAAATAGCTAGCAAGAGTCACTGAAAACAAATTCAATTTTCAAGAAAATATCATCGCTGTGATGTGTTTCATGGATTTGAAACACTAATATTTGTGTTCAGCAGAGCCGAGTAAAACAGTACACCCCCATGTACAGGTTTTAGGGTGTCATGGAAAGTTACATGGTTAAATATAGTGCTAGCACCTTCTCTGAACTTTCAGCCTGGGTGGTCAGGCAGGTCCCTCAAATAATAATTAATAAAATGACCTACTTACCGTATATACTTGAGTATAAGCTCACTGTCTAAATCTCGCGAGACCCGCGGCCGTCAGTTGCCAAGGGGTTACCGTGGCAACCCTCCGCGTGGCACGCAGATCGCGAGATTTAGACAGTGAGCTGAACGGAGCGGAAGTGAAGGGAGCAGACCGGAGCTGACAGTGAGCGGAAGGGAACGGAGGTGAAGGGAGCTGACAGGAGCTGCAGGAAAAGGTAAGTAACAGCTTGCTGCCAGCCCTCTCTCCCCCACCCAACCCCTCTCAGCCCATGCCACTGGACCACCAGGGAATGAGACAGCCCCCCTCCCTGACCAGGTAACAAGCAGGGAGAGGGGCCAAAAAAACATTAAACAATATTTAAAAAAAAATATGAAAGTAATTAATTATATTAAAATAAAAAAAATATTAAAAATAATATGAATGCCCTCCCACCACCCAGTTTACACACACACACACTACACAAACACACACTCTGCATCATATACACACAGGGTGTGTGTGTATATAATGCAGAGTGTGTGTTTGTATGAATGCAGTGTGTATATAATGCACCCACTGCATTCACACAAACTCTGTATTCATTAAATACACACACTGTAAATAAATATTCAATTAATGTAATTTTATTGGGAACTAATTTTATTTAGAAATTTACCAGTAGCTGCTGCAATTCCCACCCTAGGCTTATTCTCAAGTCAATAAGTTTTCCAAGTTTTTTTAGGTAAAATTAGGGGCCTCAGCTTATATTCGTTCGACTTATACTCGAGTATATACGGTATATAAAAGATAGAGAGAATATATATATATATATATATATATATATATATATATATATATATATATACACACATACATACATACACACACACTATATATAGAGAGAGATTACACACACACACACACATATATACATACACACATATATATATATATATATATATATATATATATATATATATATATATATATATATATATATATATATATATATATATATATATATATTAGGGATCGACCGATTATCGGTTTTACCGATATAATCGGCCGATATTCTGTATTCTCGGCAATATCGGTATCGGCCAATTCAGATACCGATATTGCCGATAATACCTCCTAGGACTGCCAGGCTCATTACAAGCCCGGCGGTCCTGGGGGGGGGCGGAGAGCAAGCGCTTACTCACCTCCCAGCAGCTCCTCCAGCTCCCCAGTGCAACTCTCGCGAGACCCGCGGCCGTCAGAGCGTTGCCATGGATCACCATGGCAACGCTCCGCGCGACACGCTGGCCGCGAGAGTTGCACTGGGGAGCTGGAGGAGCTGCTGGGAGGTGAGTAAGCGCTTGCTCTCCGCCCCCCCCCCCCAGCTCAGCCAATGCCACTGGACCACCAGGGACTGTCATATCCCCCCTCCCTGGCCAGGTAACAAGCAGGGAGGGGGGACAACAAAAATAAATAATAAAGTAAATATAATTTTTTTTTTTATAATTTAATAAAAAATGCCCCCTCACACACTGCATTATATACACATACACTACACAAACACACTGTGTATATAATGCAGTGTGTGTTTGTGTAGTGTGTGTATATAATGCAGTGTGTTTGTGTAGTGTGTGTATATAATGCAGTGTGTGTTTGTGTAGTGTGTGTATATAATGCAGTGTGTGTTTGTGTAGTGTGTGTATATAATGCAGTGTGTTTGTGTAGTGTGTTTATATAATTCGGTGTGTGTTTATGTAGTGTGTTTATATAATTCGGTGTGTGTTTATGTAGTGTGTTTGTGCAGTGTGTGTTTGTGTAGTGTGTATATAATGCAGTGTGTGTGTTTGTGTAGTGTGTTTATATAATGCAGTGTGTGTGTGTGTTTGTGTAGTGTGTTTAATGCAGTGTGTGTGTAGTATAATGCAGTGTGTTTGTGTAGTGTGTTTATATAATGCACACTACACAAACACACTGCATTATATACACACACTATACAAACACACACACTCTGCATTATATAAACACACTACATTCACTATACACACACTACACAAATACACACACAGTCTGCATTCATTATATACACACACACTTTGCATTTAGTATATACAGCATTCACTTTACACACACTACCCACACACTACACAAACACTCTGCTTTCATTATATACACACTACACTAATACACACTGCATCCACTACACACACTAGACAAATACACACTGCATCCACTACACAAACACACATTGCATCCTCCACACACACTACACACACACAATGCATCCATAACACACACACTACACAAACACACACTGCATCCACTACACAAACACACACAGCTCCCCTGTCACACTGCATCCACTACACGTGGCATGTATATTTTGTGCATTTACCTTTAGAAATAGTTTTTATTTTGGTAAATGTACAGAATATCGGCAAATTATATCGGCTATCGGCCTGAAAGTTCACAGAATATCGGTATCGGTATCGGTATCGGCTCTGAAAAATCAATATCGGTCGATCCCTAATATATATATATATATATATATATATATATATATATATATATATATACACACATATATATATACACATATATATATACACACACACACACACACACACTATATATAGAGAGAGATTACACACACACACACACACACACACACACGGCCTAGTCCCCACATCGCAATCGCCGGCCGGACGTACCAGGTGCGTCCACGGTCATTAACGTCCTTTTGTCAGACGTACCTATTATGTCCGAGGTCGGGAAAGGGTTTGAGGCCTCGTTCCTGGTGTTAAAAGAATACTACAAAACAAGAGAGTTCACTATAGAGTCAAGAGTGGTGCATAGAGTCTCCTGCCCTGAACCCACATTTAAAAAAAGTAAAACCATTTAGAATGGCTAGACTTCTTACTTGGTGACCGTCCCTTCCTCCGCTACCAATGAGTGGAAATTCATAACCAGCAAGTTCAATTTACTCTCTTAAATTAAGCCCTGAACAGTCGTAACTGCATTTGTAATGGAGGTAGGGAGAAGCTATTAAAAATGGTCTGGCTCCTTACAATGGGTGAGGGTTTGTGGGGGTGGTGACAGGGCACTCCTGGCACAATAACCACTGCAGTGAGCGGTAGTAATTATGGTTCTTTGAGTGTTCCTTTAATGTGGAATGTGAACTGAAGAACAGCGCTGTGGCGCTTAGTACTGGTCATCACTGCTCCCTTGACAAAATTATGCTACTACAGCACGAGCAGCAAGAGATCTGTGTTGATCAGTGTGGCGAAAGTAACCTCGCCACTGGTTTTTGGAGGAGTCTGTTTGCCAGCCTCCTACCCTGTGACTGTGGCCCCTTTAATTTATTTTGGCTGAGAGACCCTAACTGTGCCTATTGGGACTGTGAACAATGGCTCTTCAAACTTTCAAAGTAGTCGAAGTGCCGAAGTGGCCGCCATTTGACATTCGAGCACATGGCGGCGGCGATCTTATTTAGTCGAACATGTTCAGCAGTGTTTTGCAGTCGAGTTAATGGAACTCAAATCGGACATGCAACGGCACGAACACCGCTGGAAAGTTACCTTCCAGGAAACCGACAATTCAAACGGCGTTCGGTTAGTTGAAGCCCATGAACAAGGGACACACATTGACTATACTCATTCACCATTCCGTTCGGTAATTCGAACAGTACTTCGATTGTTTAAAATAGACTGGCCGCACAGCCTTATTCTCTGGAACTGTTCTGGGCATGAAACCATGCTGCAGTCGGTCAAGAAGAGACTTCCAGGAATTTCCTGAACCCCTTCTCTGATCTGGGTGATTTTTGGATATGTTGTTCACCCAGATCAGGGCTATCAGGGGATGTGTTGTATTTTGGGCTTTGTTAAAAAAAAAAAAGTGTGGTTTTTCTGCCTGGGAATAATTAAGTTAAAGCATTATCTACCTTAATTATATCACAGGCAGAGGGGAGGGATTGTGTACTGTGTGTGGGAGTGTCACCTACTGTACAGCATTATTATTGGCTTGTAACAGTTGTCATCCTGTTCCCCACAAGGTCCACGTGGGTTTTCTCTTGCATGAGGACTTGCATAAAAGGCCAGCTGTGGCTCCCATTAAACAAGATGCTTTACCCCTTCATGAAGTCTTGGCTCATGTTTTGGGGATTGGAGGACTACACTCTGGGGATTGCTTTAATCACTATTCTCTCCAGAGTATAATCACTAGCTCTTCTAAGAGATGTTCCTGCTACGCTCTCTGGAGTAGGAGAGGTTTACCCACTGGGAGCTGGATCCTGGTCTTGAGTCCAGGGTCGGTGGAGGACTGCGAGACCCCAACCAAGCTGCGGTGGTTCGTGGGGTCTACAGTGCTTATGTTGTCTGGTGGAGTGCTTGGAGCATCGATTGAAGGAGGTACCCAGTCGGGGTGCCAGGCGGTCCTTCACAATCAGTGTTAGCAGCAAACCAGCGTAATGTGCATTCACTGCTAATTACGGACAGGTGACCTGGAAGCTTAACCCCTTAAGGACACATGACATGTGTGACAGGTCATGAGTCCCTTTTATTCCAGAAGTTTGGTCCTTAAGGGTTAAAGGAACACAAACATGTATTCCGGATCCTATAGTGTTTAACCCTCCATTTATTGAATCAATGCATCTCCATGTGGAAAATTCAGCGTCTACATGCAGAGCGTGGGGACGCTGAATGTCAGAGCTGCCTACTGTGCAGCCCTGAGCCAGAAAGCCCCTCTAGTGGCCATCTGGAGGTGTCCCTAGGGGCAATGTAAACACTGCCTTTTCTCTAAAAAGAAAAAAAGTGTTTACATAAAAAAAAAAAAAAACATGCCTGAAGGGAGCTATTATACTTACCAGAACAACTACATTAAGCTGTAGTTGTTCTGGTGACTATAGAGTCCCTTTAAAACAGAGTACACATTATGAACACTTTATGGAATATGTGAAATAGCCATGATTAAACAGAGCTGGAGCTTATGGGCAGCAAACTGTTTTATTCTGGGTACACCCACTGTTTCCCAGATTTGCCTTTTCAGTCAATAGTGAGGAGTCCTGGCTCTATTTTACAGACACATGGGGGTCTATATTGTTCACATTTCTTTTTTTTTTTCTCCTTTTCAAAGTCAAAATATAAGTGGGACATCTTTTGAAAAGGGGATTTTAACCCAACACATGTGTTGTATAAAATGCTATACCTGCAGAGAATTAGGTTCCAAAATCTTTCCTGACTGACCACAGAGAGTGGAATCCTTTACTCACAATATACTGACAAAAACAAATTATCTAAGAAGCCGGATTTACTTGCTTTTTGATCCTTTACAGGTGACTCACAGGTAGTTTCAAATGCAACAGTCCATCAACTCTGCATTGAACAAGTAAACAAACATGTCTCGTGAGGCTTTGTCTCCAGATGGGGGAAAGCACCTTGGTCACATGATTGTGTAGTTCTGGTTTTTAATGAAGAGTATTTTTATTATAGAAGTGTAGAAAGAGAAAGTAAGGGATCTGCCATTACATGCATTCTTTTATTCATGGCTCTAATTATGATTACACATTCTCTCTCACATACATACATACATACATACATACATACATACATAATTATTTATTTATTTTTATTTCTTTATACATTCACTGCTAAACACAAATATACACACCAGTCAAGCCATAAGACTTGCTTTTCCCACAGAAATCTCACTTTAACAGTGCTTACACTACTGCAAGGGATTCTGGGTAGGCGTATCCAAATGAGCTCAACAAAGAATCACATTTTTGCCTCATAATTCCACTTTATACATGGATTCCTTGGAGTATGTGTCTGCTGCATACAACAGCTTTGAAACACAACTCAGGAAGAGGAGCAAAGCCAGTGAACCACTCACGGACAGCTGTTTCGTTGTTAATGCAACTCATCAGAATGAGGTTGGTTACTGACTTGCTATGGAGGCTTGGCGTTACTTATAAAGTACATACCAACAGAGTTGGGGTGGGGAAAAAAGTGTGGATGAAACCCACACACACACACTTGTGTCATTTAGGACCATCCTATAAGAGTAGAACATATGTGGAGCCCAAGGTATATATTATAAACATAATATATTATAAATATATTGTAAACCCAAAAACAATTATAAATAAAAAGAAAAGCATACCAGACCTAGTGAGAAGTAGGACAAGAGTGAACCAATGAGCCCCCAATGTTTTGGCAAAATGCCTTTATCAGGCTCCCTTGATAAAGGCATTTTGCCAAAACGTTGGGGGCTTGTTGGTTGACTCTTGTCCTTCTCACTAGGTCTGGTATGCTTTTCTTTTTATTTATAATTGTTTTTGGGTTTACAATATTTTTTGGTATCTCATACAGCTACTTTTGAATACTTGTATTCAGTGATTTATGCATTGTGTAGACTGCCTATAGGTTACTGTAGAACTTGTAGGTGTTACATTGTACGTCTTTTTCATTCATTGATACAGTTAATGAGATAGCCTATTACTGTGACCCAATTAATAAAAATCTTTTCATATACATTTGTGGTTGTGCCCCTTGGTTAAGCAATAGATGTAACTTTTTTGGCCTTTATGAATATGGCCTTATACGAGTGAGCACCCATGACTAGAAGGTCCATTGTTGCTTGGCTATTTTCTGTTTCTTATCAACACGTTTGAGTGTGCCTACCTGTTTTAATTTGTACACACATATACTCACTGACAGACACACTGATAGTCAAACACAGACTACATGACAAACAGACTCTCGCTGATTTGACAGACACACTCAGACACTCATATGCACACACATATACTCACAGACAGAAACTCATATACACACTCACAGACACTCACATACACTGACAGATACACTCATACACACACTTACTAATTATTATTATTATTATTATTATTATTATTATAATACAATTTTTTTACCCAGGGTCGTTGGGGGTCCAGTGGGGCTGCAGTATTTTCATTAGAGGTGGCGAGGGAGCTGTCATCTCCCCGCTCTGCTCCCTCGCGGTCCATCTACTGAAACCAGGAGCCGGAATATGACGTCATATTCCGGCTCCTGTGGCATCAGCAAATGGCACGTGAGAAAGCAGAGCGGAGAGATGACAGCTCCCTCGGATGTCAATACCGGCGTATGTCGGGGGGGGGGTCCATTAAGGTGGCCAGCAGGCCTGCCCTGGGTCCCCCATGACAGGGAGACTACCGAGGACACCCAAGTGGGTGTTTGGGAGCGGCAAATTTTGCTGCCCCCTTGTTAGTGCCGCCCAAGGCAAATGCCTAGTTTGCCTTGGGCTAAATATGCCACTGACTAGATTGTTAGGAATTCAGGTTTGTATTCTTAACATTATAGTGTCTCTCGGTCCCTTCCGAAGCAGCAAATAATGGGTTAAAAAAAACCTTTTAACACTTACCTGATTGGCCTCCTCTGACTTAAGCGATGGGACCTAATGCACATGCACATTAGGCTTTCCTACAGGGGATTAAAAGACGCTAGGAGTCCTTATGCAAAATGTGAGATAGTCCAGCGTCGTTTCACGGAGTCAAATTCCATGAAACTGCAGGAATCGCCTCTAGTGGCGGTCTGGTAGACAGGGTTCAAATAAAAAGGACACTACACCCAGACCACTCCAATGAGATGAAGTGGTCTGGGTGGCTATAGTTCCCTTTTAAATCGTTCATTAACTGTTAAACCTCTGAAGGCAAGAGGGCACCAGGGACCTTTTGGCTTCATTGAGATGAATAGGTTAAGGTGCAAGTAGGGTCCCTTTTCACTGTTGGTGAGAATGTCCCTTTAATAAGGGATATGCTGCTCAACATTGTATTTTAGCACTTCGTATAATGACTTAAATGCCAGTTTATTATATGCTTATACGATCCAGCGTACCAACAATAAAACCATGTGAATGTTAACCAAAACGCTATTACTCCTTGTTATTCATTACCTTTCTCCTATTGATAATGAAAAGTTTGGCAACAGTTTATTTTGGAGTACAGTATTCTAATAATTTATTAACTTATTTTTAGGTTTACTTTTATTTTTTTCCCCATGAATACTTGGGGACAAAATGCCAAAACAAGCTAAAAGAATAAATTGAAAAACTCAAACTGCTATTTTTTGGGTGGCTTAGTTTACCCTTTTATTTTAGATTATAAAATACAACACACTGACAGAAACGGGAGCCATACCTACTTTTGCAAAATCTAAATTAGCTTCATTACACATCTAAAATCTACATAAAACAGGCAAGGAATACTAATCTAATAGAATAAAAAGGAACTACATTAATACTGCAAAATATTTAGCAGATTATACCTGTTCCCAGCGTTGGTGTCTCCCTTCCCTGCAGCAGGTGAGCTGAAACTGTCTTTGCAAACCTGATTTAAATGCTTTTAAAAAACAGGAACAGAATGAAGTATCACAAGACCTGCTTAGAACACTTCCTATGTACACACCGCCTTTAGTGTGTGGGAAGGTCTAAGTTGAATCGTTACTGCCACCTGCTGTACAGTTTATAAAATAACACCACTGCCAGCAAGCAGGATTACAGTTTATTATTTTAATGACATGTCTAACATATCTAATAGGAGCATGCATTGAAATGTACAGCTGACAAAATATTAAAATGTTATTAATGACAGGTCAACTATAAGTGACAACATCTCCCTAAGCAATGAATTACATATTGTAATTATTAGATATAAATTGTTATTATAATGAGCACTTATATAATGCCAACACATTCAGTAAGGATTTACAATTAAAAAACAGGGATATTTAGAGAGGTGAAAAAGGCCTTGCTCAAACCAGTCTGCAACCGATATTTGCTGCTGTTCACACTATATCTACTAAATAGGGATTTGGAAGTGAGGAGGGGTCCTTTAAGGAGAACAGGAGGGCTTTCCTACTCGCGCCTCTTTATTTGTAATCCATATTTAGATAAAAACATTAAACATGTATGGCTATGCAGTATTGCAAAAATACATAGATGTACTAACTACACATGAAGGGAGTCAAAAGAAAGAAAAACAAAAAAGACAAATGTGCCCAAAACAGCCAGGGTGGTTCATGATACTTGTATCCATACCTACACCACCAGTCAAGTGAAAAACCTATACGTACTTTAAAACCCATTTCTCTCACGAGTAAAACAATGAATAAAGAATCAAATGGCCACTCAAAGCATCACAGCTGTAGTGGTTATGATGCCAGGAGTACCCTGGTAGGTTTCTCGCTAATGGAGCAAACCCATTGAGCAACGCTTTGCCCCTTTATGGCTAAAAGTGTCAGCTGGCGACTCTCAGCCAGTGATTAACAACCTGTACCATGAAAGTTGCACAGGATTGACATTAGCCAGCCTTGAACTCCAGCGCTAGGCTGGCTGATGACACCCCAATGACACTGGGGAAGGTGGCTATAAGTAGGGTGGGGTTCAGGCCCGTACTGGCCATCGGGCATAGGGCCGCGATGGCCGTGGGGCTAAGGCCAGCAGGGGATCTCCCCGGCCGGCCCCTGCAGGGCCAGCGCTATCCGAGCGCCGGCCCTGCTGTGTGCCTCTGTGGGCCGGTGGGGAGATCAAAGATCTCCCTACCGGCCCACAGACAGGGAGATGCGGCCGCCGGCTAGGTGAGGGAGGGAGGGAGGGAGGAGAGAGGACCCGGCGGAGCTCTAACAAGCAGCTCCGCCGGTCCTCTCGCGGATCTCGCGAGAGTGAACTCTAACCTGCAGGTTAGAGTTCACTCTCACCACTGGACCACCAGGGAAGGCAGCATGGCACCCCACCCCCCAGGCAGAACGGATCTCCTCCTCCCCCCCTCCCAGGATAAAGGTAAGAAGGGAGGGGGGGGGGGATAATTTTTTTAAATTTTTTTTAAAATTTTTTTTATTAGTAAAAAAAATATATTTAAATAAAAAATACATTCACTCACATACACAGCCCCCAGACACACACAGCACCCCCAGACACAGCCCCCAGACACACACAGCACCCCCCAGACACAGCACCACCCAGACACACACAGCACCCCCAGACACACACAGCGCACCCAGACACATACAGCGCACCCAGACACACACACAGCACCCCCAGACACACACAGTCCCAGACACACACTGCACCCAGACACACACAGCACCCCAGACACACAGCGCACCCAGACACACACACCAGACACACACTGCACCCAGACACACACAGCACCCAGCACAGACACACACACAGCACCCAGACACACACAGCACCCAGACACACACAGCACCCCCAGACTCACACAGCACCCCCAGACACACACAGCGCACCCAGACACACACAGCGTACCCAGACACACAGACCCAGACACACACAGCACCCCCAGACACACACAGCACACAGCACACAGCACACAGAATGTGACAGCAGATAAAAACACCCTCACACACAGCACCCCTCTTACATACACACACTGCGCCCCTCACACATACAATACGTCCAAATATATATAAATATATACATACACACACACACACACACATACTACAGCACCCCTCACACTGCACCACTACACACATTACGCTCCAGATACACACTAGATCCCTTACCCTATATGCACTCTTAATCCTCTACACACACACACACACACACTGGGTCATTTACACAGTAGATCTCCTACACACACACTACATTCCTTGTCAGCAAACACATACAACATTCTCTAAACACACCCTCTCTGCAACCCCTACACACACTACGTCACCTATACACACACACTTCAGCCCGTATGCACACACTCGCTGCATCCCCTATAAAACTATGCCCCCTATACACACACTCTCTACAACCCCTAGCCACACATATTACACCACAAACACAAATTAAATTGACCTATTTATACAATACCACACCACACTCTACACACACGCAATCCCACAAGCAGGCTCCAAACATATGCACCATGCACTTTCCTGGCCCTTTTGTCCTCTGGTATCCCACTTGTGGAGACACCAGAGACAATTTAAAAGCAAACACAGCGCAAGCATGTTATTAAATTTGCTTGCGCTGCGCAGAACAAATTCAGGGCCTTTTTCTAATGCCAGAGCTCTTCAGCAGGGCTCTGGGCATTGAACCAACATGCTCACTTTGAGAGGGGTGTGTTGTCATTAGTGATGACAAAACACACACTCTCTGGCCCCGCCCCCTTCTTAGGGGGCAGATCTGATTGAAAAATGCCCGGGCCTAATTTTTTTCCCAGTCCGGCCCTGGTGGGGTTAATACTAATAATATAATTTAAAGAAACAGGCAACTGAAATATCATGCAAACAAAATACACATTACTTCCTATTTAAAAGACAGCACACTCTTGAATTGCAAAAATATATTTGTATAGTTGGCAAATCAATGTCTTGCAGTGATATATTTGTATATTTGGCAAATTTGGCAAATTTGGCAAATCAATGTCTTAACCATGACAAGTTAAGTCAAGCTTGCAGGCGTGCAGAGTGCCTCGTATAGCCAAGGAAAAAAAGAACAATGTGCTCTATGACAACATGCATGATGTCCATTGACATGGGTACAGTTTTACATCAGCTGAATAACAGTGCATACTTCCCAACTGTCTCTACTAAGGTGGGACAGTCCTTATTTTGGGCCCAAACTCCTCTGACCTTCTTTTCTATGCCAATGTCTCCCTTGTCCAAGAGCTCCATATTTGTTGGTGTGTCTGAAGGTATTACAGAGCTCCACAGCAATAATACCCACTGTAATGTGTCAAGTGTATTTAGGAATCAGTCTGTAAATAAGATACATTCGTGTTCCACATTACATTTTACTTTCATACATTGTTATTAGTGTCACTTAAAATTTCTCAGAACAGTCCACCACTGGCCACACCCCCATTCACACCCTTAAAATCAAAGTGTCCCTCATTATTGAAAATTCGGGCGGTATGTCACAGAGTGGACTTCATGCATGGTGGTCACTGAACCTGTGCAGCTGCATTTGTCAGTGTAATAGGATTAGTTATTCGCCAGTGTGAGAATTCAACGGGAATTTCAAACTGAAGGCCGGAGTAGTTAAAAAGAAAGTATTTCTGACTAAAATAATTTTTCCAGTTTGGCTATTTTGACATTAAATTAAAACTTAACTTTGAATTATCACTATATAACCTTATAAACCTGGGTGCTCAGCCTTCATATAACTGGTCCATGGCATGCAGAGCTCTGTGACAGTCAGTGCTAGCCTGTCACTCACATAGATGCCAGCATTTGAATAAAACATTTATAGAGACGAGTGCGCATATATGCACAGACACACACAGATAGACTCAACGAGATCCCCCACAATGACTAACACACAGACACGCAAACAGAGGTAGAAAGACTGACATTCACAGATAAACACGATGACAAATTCACAGGAACATACATAAAAATAATAAAGAAAACACCTTTTTAACTATCTCTAGACACTTGCCTCTGGAACTGGGAGAGGCTACACTGGCTGTAGTGCCAGCTCTGGAATTCAGGACTGGTCCTGGGACAATTTTTTGTCTGCACTCTTGCTTGTTTGTATAGCACATTGCAGTCAGGAGAAGTTCCCAGCTACTGTGGTCTGCCTGCTATAAAAGGCTGGCAACGTCTTACGTGCTAAGTCTACGCTCAATATAACAAGTCGGATGAAAGAATCAAGGCTATGGAAATCCCCTATATAACATAATGCTGTAGTTTGCATTTTTGTACTTCTTGGTCTTATTGTAAAGATAACAAAATCCCCCTCCACTAAAAGTAGCACAATGGCGTCAGTGCATCCCATACTCCCCCAGCAAGTGTGGGAAACATCTGTTGGGGAGGTAAAACCAGTGACAGGGAGCAAGAGAACCGTCTGTCATATCTAATGATGAGGATTTTATTGACAGATAGGGAACATATTTTTTAAATAGCTTTCAATTAAAACCTATACATTTGCAAGTATTTCTGCTAGCACAATGTACAGATGAAATTTAATGATCCTTAATATATACTTATTTTATATACACTTTAATAAAATACACATTTGTGTATATAGAGAGAGAGAGAGAGAGAGAGAGAGAGAGAGAGAGAGAGAGAGAGAGAGAGAGAGAGAGAGAGAGAGGCAGCTAGATAGATATGTAGATAGATAGATAGATGGAAACAAATCGCATGAATTGAGTGATTGAGTGAAACTATTTTCTAATTAAACATTTTCCTCCTTTGATACTGGGCTGCAGGTGCTTTGGAAACTCCTGGATTTACTGTACCCAATCAATCTAAGTTTGCCCAACAACAAGGTTATGGTGCCAATACTGGAATGTAGTGGCTATGGTGCTTTGATTGTCATTTTCATTGCATTGTGGGGAATTGAAAACCAGAATGCAATAGTCACACTAAAACAGCACACCTCCCAATATTGACATCACATGATGTAAGACAGAGATTGGGCAAAAGGTGGTCCAGTGATGTTAATTGCGTAAGCGGCATCACTCAGGGGGTCAAGTCCTCAATTGTGTATTTAGAAGTAATTAGGACTCTTCAATTCTGCCACTCTTTACCAACTATCAACAACTCAGTATTATAACCCTCTTAAAGATCCACCTCCACATACAAATTTGTTGTTTAGGCACCTTAATCATAAGTATGAAATCTGGACAAATCTGGTGTCACTGATAATGCTCCAAGTGAGAGGTCATGTTTGGAATAGGGGAGGGAGCACCCAAAGAAGAAGCATGGCCTGTTGTGAAAGCATTGCTGGCTGACTGACTGCCTGTATAGCCAGCCCCACACAAGTGAGGGTGCAGACTACTTGTACCTCTGTACCTCTGCTCTGGCTCTTCTCATTGAGTCAGAGTGTTGCCATGGTAAACCATCGCAACATTCTGATCACTTCCTGGGTCTGGAGGGAGAAATACAAGTGATCTGCAAAGAAGTCCATCCATAAAGGAATCCAATATATCTCAATTAAAATATTCTAATAAGAAATAAACAAGTGATCTGCAAAGAAGTTCGTCCATAAAGGAATCCAATATATCTCAATTCAAATATTTTAATAAGAAAAATATAAAACACATTGAAAAAAACAGTTCTTTGAGTGTTTATTGAGTGGTTGACCACCCATTGTTTTTATTAGCCCTCACACCACCAGCTATAATATGTAGGAGGTGCCATATATCTAGATCCTTTCTGGTTCATGGGGGATTTGAGGGGCCTTCCTTTGCTTTCTTCTATGGATTTAATTTAGTTTTATGTATTTTTATTCTGGCTGATTGTGCTCCCTGAAGACACATAGCAAAATGCAGGTGAATTTATTTTTTGAGATGTGTTCAGACTGAATCCAATATAAATCCTGTGTGTGATAAATATAGAAACCTATTCTTTGGGAAGTGATTATTTAAAAGCAGACATGAGAATGAATTATGTTAATTTGGCTGAAATGCAACCAGAGCTGCCTTTATTAAATGTGTGAATTGCAAATTTGTTTGAAATCTAATAATTTTTTTTTTCGAATTTGAATTTTTTATTGATTTTTTCGAATATGCGAACTTGGGGGAAAAGAAGAGGGGAGACAGGTTATCTGCATTCGCGTTGAAACAGCTGTACAGTTAGACAGTTATACCATTATACCATTATACCATTATACAATTATACATAGGCTCTTAGGTTTATGTACATTTCCCCGCTATTCGCCATTCGCGTGTAAATAGTTGTACGGTTATACAGTTATACCATTATACCATTATATCATTATACAATTGTGCATGGGCTCCTAGGTATGTTTACATTTCCCCGCTATGCGGTTGACAAAGGTTTTCCCTGGCATATCTCCCACTGCGTGTTGCGTGATGTGAGCTGGGGCGTTTGCTTTTACACCTAGTGGGTGGTGGCGACGCCACCTTTTGTGGGCCCTGGTGGATGGTTTGCTTTCTGCCCACTAGTGTGACTATAGCTTGTCTACAGCTTCCCGCCCTCATACCTCGGGTGTCGTGCTAGCCTTCCAAGTCTTGTGTGCCTCAAATATATGAGTGCGTATCCCAAATTGTGCCGCTGTCATGAGTTCGTACTCCCAGTTTTGTTCTACCTGTTTTATCACATCCTGGATAGTGGGGGGTATTGTTTTTTTCCACAACCTGGATATCGTCAGGTTTGCTGATATGAGGGTGTGATAGAGAATTGTCCTAATGTGCTTCGGAATGCCCTTGGGCAACATAAACAAGATGCATGTTTGTGGGTTATCTAACCTGGGTGTCGGATGCATTTTTTGTAAAAGTTGGGTCACCTCCATCCAAAATGGGCTAAGTTTGGCGCAGGACCACCAGATATGTAGCATGGTCCCCACCTCTCTCCCACATCTCCAGCATTTGTTGGTAGTGTTTGGCCACATCTTTTGGAGTTTGTCTGGTACTAAGTACCAGCGGTACAATAGTTTGCGTTGTAGTTCTAGGTGTGTGTGGCATGCTGTGAGTCCCTGGTGCGCCAAGTATGCCCGGTCCCATGTGTCTTCTGGAAATGTCTGTCCTAGCTCTTGGTGCCACGCCTGTTTGATCTTATCTAGTGTTTGTGTTCGTGTTGCTATCAGCTCCTGGTATCCCCAGGATAGGGTTTTCCCCAGTGTCTTTTTGCCCACACAGTGTTTTTCAAATCTCGTCATATTCAGTTCGTCTTCCCCTTCGTCTTCAGCGTCTAGTTTACTTGAGATGTAGGACTTTAGTTGCATGTAAGAGAATATGACCTTATTGGGCAGTGTGTATTCCTCCTGGATTGCCGGTAGTGATTTCAGTCGCCCCCTGTCTATCACCTGATATATATGGTGTATCCCCCCTTTCACCCATGTCTCCCACGGGAAAGTTGGGATGTCCAGCCCTACTGTTTGGATTGGTGTGGCCATGGGAAGCGTTTGCTTTGCCACCAGTTTATCTCTTATTTTGTGCCATATTTGTAGGAGGGTCTGGGTGCTGGGCAAGAGTTTGTCCCGGGCGTGCCTAGGGCAGTTTTCTTGCCATATCAGTGCTCGTAGGTCCCGTCTGGGTGCCCAGTGCGCTTCTATGGCTACCCATTGCGGTGCCTTGGCGGGGAGGTTTATTTGTGTTATGTTATGGAGGTATGCTGCTCTATAGTAAGCCGTTAAGTTCGGGAGGCCTAACCCCCCCCTGCGTACTGTCTGCTGTAGCGTCCCTGCTGCTACTCTTGCTTTTTTCCCCTCCCAGATGAAGGTGCTGATGGTGTGCTGCATATTTTTGAGGTATTGTTTTGGTAGGGGTATCTGTAGCGTACGAAAAAGGTATTGAATTTTTGGTATTAACGACATTTTGACTGCTGCTATGCGTCCTGTCCATGACAGGTATTTTCCCTTCCATGCTTGCATGGAGTCTGTGAATTCTTTGTGCATGCGTACATAGTTGTGGTGGAATAATTTAGCAGGGTTTTTTGTAAGTTTGAGGCCCAGAAAGGTTAGGTGGTCGTTTCTCCAGTCTAAGGGGAATGCCTCTCTCAGTCTGGACGTGAGGTTTGTGTCTAGGTGCATCCCCAACGCTTGTGTCTTGGTGACATTCAATTTGTAATATGCTACTTCACCATATGTTTCTATGTGTAGCATCAAATTTGGCAGGGAGATTAGGGGCTGTGTGAGTGTGACTAGGATGTCATCTGCAAATAGATTGAGCTTGTACTCCCTGTCTCCTATTGTGATGCCCTGTATGGATGGTTCCGCCCTTATCGCCGCTGCAAGTGGCTCTAGTGCCAGGATATACAATAGTGGGGACAGGGGGCACCCCTGCCTGAACCCATTCGTTATGTTGATTTGTTTGGACACGAATCCTGCATTAAGTACCCTTGCTGTGGGGTGGGAGTATAGTGCCTTTACCCCATTTATAAATGAGCTAGGGAACTTGTACTTTTGGAGCACTGCCTCCAGAAAAGGCCAATTAAGGCGATCAAAGGCCTTTTCTGCGTCCAGGAGAGTAAGACACCCTCCGTCCGGTTTCGTCTCAGGCTATGTATGAGGTCGATCACTTTCCTCGTGTTGTCTGATCCCTGTCTACCTGTGGTAAAGCCCACCTGGTCATCATGTATCAATGTAGGGATGATGTGTTTTAGCCTATTTGCCTGTATTTTGACGTAGATTTTTGCGTCTGTGTTTAGTAAGGATATTGGCCGGAAGTTTTGACTACATGTGGGTGGTTTGCCTGGTTTTGGAAGTGTTATAATGTGGGCTCCTAGCATGTCTGTCGGGGCTTCTGCTTTACGGGTGATGGTATTAAAGGTGTTTGTTAGGTGTGGTGCGAGAATGGCGGCAAATCGTTTATAGTACGCGTTGGTAAACCCATCGGGTCCTGGTGCTTTCCCCTTGGGGAGGCTCGCTATTAGCTTTAGCACTTCTTCCTCCGTGATAGGGGCTTGTAGGCCCTCCCTCTGGTCCTCAGTAAGGCCCGGCAGTGAGATACCCTCCAGGTATCGTTCTATTTGTGTTTGTGACGGTTGGGGGGTATTTGGGTCCTGACCCAGGTTGTACAGGGTCGTATAGTAGTCGGCGAACACGTCGCTGATGTCTTTGGGTGTAACCCTTTTTTCCCCTTCTGAGTTCAATATGAATGGGATTTTTGTTTGTGCGTTCCTTTGTGACAGTCTCCTCGCTAAGAGTTTGCTGGCTCTATTTTCCTGGGTGTAGTGGGCTGCCTGAAGCTTCCGCATTTTGAACCCCATTTTTACTAGGTCATGTTTTTTGCCTTCGTCTATTACTCGTTTAATTTGTTCTAGGAGCTGTGGGGTTGGTGTTAATTGGTTCTGTTTGGTTAGATTGTAGAGGGTAGTCAGCCATTCTTTTCTTTTTGTTTGGGTTGCCCTTTTTATTGCACTTGCTTTCCCTATAAGGAGTCCCCTTACAACTGGTTTGTGGGCCTGCCACAGTGTTTCCGGTGTTATATCTGGAGTTGTGTTCGTGTCAAAGTAGTGGGAGAGGTCGTCTTTTACTGTGTCGCAGTATTGTCGGTCTGTTAGTAGAGATTCATTTAATCTCCACGGGCTTCGGTGCTTGTAGTCATATGCGTCACATAGCTCTAAGGTTATTGGGGCGTGGTCTGACCACGTTATAGTACCTATCGTGCAGGACATGATGTGATTGAGGTGGGCACCTTTTATATAGTACCCGTCAATACGCGAGTATGTGTTATGTACCTGAGAGAGGAAGGTGTAGTCCCTCTCCCCAGGGTGTTGCAATCTCCATGCGTCATAGTAATCGTGTTCTTTGAGCAAGCGTACTAGTGGTTTGCATTCCCTCTGGAGGGTAGCTGATCTGGGGGTGTTTGGCTGTACTGTGGTATCCCACTTGGGGTCCAGTATGTGGTTGAAATCACCACATAATATAGTGATGCCCCTCTGGACCGATTGCACTAGTGTGATGACTTTATGTAAGAAATTCCTCTGATGCGTGTTGGGTGCGTATAGGTTGACTACCGTGTATTCCAAGTTGTTGATTTTGCATATCATGATAACATATCGTCCTTCTTTGTCTATGGATACGTATAACGGTTTGAAGGACACATCCTTGCTGATGAGGATGGATACCCCTTTTGTTTTGGACGTGGAGGTGCTGTGGAATTGAGCCGTGTATTGCGCCTGGGCTAGGGTTATTGGTTTTTTGAGGTGTGTTTCCTGCAGGCACACTACATTGGGGCATTCCCTGCGCAGATCTCTTATGAGGCAATATCTTTTTACTGGGGTGTTTAACCCTTTTACGTTATGACAGTGTATCTTCATATTTTAATGTGTGGTGTTGAAATATCTTGCTTTTGGCTTTGGGGGTCAGTGCCTGGTATGCTACCCCTCCCTGGGTCCTATGGTCTCCATCTCGGATAGTTACTGCGTGGTCTCCAACCTGTCTGGTGGTGGGGGCAAGGGTGGGATGGTGTGCAAGGGTAGAAACAGTCGTGCTATCCATATGCATGACCTTTGGGGTAAACAGTGCAACATAAAACAAAACATACAATATCACATTATTACAATTGAACATTTCCCACTGAAGGGTGGGGCACCCGTTATGTGGTGCCAATGGGGTGCGTGGTGAACCCTGATGAATGATGTGTGCAGTGTTGCTAGGTGAGCATGCTATGCCCATTACTCGCTGTCTTTTTGCCTGCGTGTGGTTTGTGGCTAAATTGTGAAAGATGAGATGGGTGTGAGTTCCAGCGTGTCTGGGGCGTAGCGTCTAGACAGGCCTGTATATAGGTCTGGGCTCCTATCAAGTTGTTGTGAGTGAGTGTTTTTTTGTTTTTTTTTCTCTCTCTCTCTCTCTGTCTCCATTTAGTGTGCTGGGCATTGACATATGCCATGTTAATGGTGTGGCTGTGTGTGTTGTATAACGAATGAGAGGATGTGAGTGTGCGTGCCTTGTGTGTCAGGTATACTTGCGGCCCAGTGTCCGTCTGCTCCCTCTTGAGTCTCTGTTAAGTCCCATCTCTTGCTTGGAATCCCTTGTTGGGATCATTTTTTGGCCCTCTTCCACTCCGGAGACAGTCTGCGCTGATCTGCAGCCTTAGCCCCTGCCTGGGTTGGTTGAATGCCCCAGCTGCGCAGTAGTTTGTGGCCTTCCTCTGGCGTGTTGACCGTTGTCAGTGTGCCATTCCTCCTGATCAGCAGGCGGACCGGGTATCCCCACCGGTACTGGATGCCATTGTTGCGCAGGGCCTCTGTGGTCGTTTTGAATTCTTTCCTTTTCTGTAGTGTAGCCGCTGACAGATCCGTGAAGATTTTTATGTGGGTGAATTTTTGTAGCAGATCTTTATGCCCTCTCGTGGCCTGGAGAATTGCCTCTTTTACGTGGAAGTAGTGGAGGTGGGTTAGCACATCCCTTGGTGTGTCTTGCGGCAGGAACGCTGGTTTTTGGACCCTGTGGTACCTGTCCAGGATCAGCATGTCCGCTGGTAACTCGGGGGTCAATGCTTTGAAGTATTCTATGAGGAAGGGGAGCAGGTCTTGTTGTGACACCTCCTCCGGTATGCCTATAATTCTCAGATTTTGTCTTCGAGAGCGGTCTTCCAGATCCATGATTTTTCTTTGTGACTGGTCCAGTAGCTGCTGCAGGTTGTGCATTTGGTCTGCCAGCTCGTTATGAGCAGATGTCTGCTCCTCCACGCGCTGTTCCACCCGCGCGGTCCTGTCCCCCAGCTCCTGCACGTCTTTGCTGAGCTCCCTCAGGGTGCTTTGGATGGACGCCAGAATTTTGCTGGACATGTCCTCCAAGCATGTCTGCAGGAAGTCCTGCGTCACTGGTAGGTTGTGGGAGCTCGTGGGTGTCCTTAGCGGCAGTGTGTCGTTCCCGCCGTCGCCATCTTGGGCCTGGTCTAACAGGCCTGTAGCTTTCGGCGTCGATGCTCGGGCCGCAAAGAACTCCGACCTGTCAGATTTTTCCGCTTGCTATTTGTGCTTTGGGTGGGACAACGTTGGGTGAGTCGGGGGTCTCGGTTTTTCCTCGCAGGCAATGCTTTTTATGTCGCTTTTAGGGCTAGCTGGGAGCGGAGCTCAATCCCGTGCGTCCATCCGCGTTGCCCGCTAAGCCACGCCCCGAAATCTAATTATTTTTTGACAGAATTTTGTTATCTAGACAGTATTTGGATTTTAGTGAATTTATTCATATTGGACCGAGCTTAGGAAATATAGACTGTGACGGCAGATAAGAACCATTCAGCCCATCTAGTCTGCCCAATCTTTAAAATACTTGCATTAGTCCCTGGCCTTATCTTATTGTTAGGATAGCCAGCGGCATACATACCGCGGTCGCAGGGGTCGCAGCTGTGACCGAGCCAGTCACTCCAGGGGGCCCGGCTGTCGTGCGGACCCCCCCCCATGCTGTCAGGGCCACCCGATGGATATGGATTGTAAGGGGGCTCGGTCAGCGCTGGGTGCTTTAACAGAGTGACCGGGCCCCCTGAGATTATATCATCACTGCTGGGAGGAAGTGACTGCACGTCACTCCTCCCAGCTAACACTGAGAGCCGCTCAGGAGGAAGAACAGGGAGTCAGAGTGGGAACTCTAACTCCCATCCACCTGAGCCACCACTGGACCCCAGTCACCCTCCTGCACCTAAAAGGTAAGAAACAGGAGGGTGACTTAAATATTGTGTGTGTGTGTGTGTTTGTTTGTATATGTATGTGTGTATGTGTCTTTGTATGTGTGGATCGGTTTTGCACCGGGGCCCCATGGATTGTGTGTACGCCACATGCATGCTTAAACTCCTTTACTGTGTTAACCTCTACCATTTCAGCTGGAAGGCTATTCCATGCATCCACTACTCTCTCAGTAAAGTAATGTCACGTATTCATCCGTTTAGAAAAATGTGATTAATGGAATTTACTGTACAGACAGGAAAAGTTGTGCCGAGCAGCAATCAAATCCACAGGAGGGTTTGTGCTGAGCAACAATTATGCAAATAAGAACCTAGTAACTGCCTTTGGGGTCAAAGGCGATTACAGCCCATCAGATCCAGAGGAGGGGTATTTAGGCCCAGTTCTCATCCTGCTTAGTGCCCTGTCGCAGTTTCCCTTTTGGTTGTCCGAGAGCGCGTTATTGATTCTAGTTATTCTGGCATTTTGACTTCCCTGTTTTCTGGTATCCCTGACCACTGGCTTTTCCTTATCGTTGTGTCTCTGTGTCCCTTGACCTCGGCTATTCCTGACTATTCTTTGGTATGTTAGTCCGGCCATTCTAAGGTCCGATATATGTTACCTATTAGTCCTCTGTGTTTCAGAATTCTACGTGCTGGATCATACTGTAATCCTGACATTACGACATGGCCATAGATCCTGTAGAATTGTGTAAGCACATAGCTGCTTGCGAAAGGAAACTAGAGGAGAATGATCACCGCATGGACCAATTTGCCCAGGCTTTCAGTACGCTTCTTGCCCGTACAGTGCATCTGCAACCTGCGGCTGCTCCTACTGTCTCACCTCCGCCTTGTGTACCTCCGCCTATAGTATACAAGGCACCAACTATCTCTCTATCTCCTCCTCTGCATTTTGATGGTAATTTCCAAGAATGCCGGGGATTCCTTAACCAAATAGAGTATTTGAGGCCTCACCAGGATCTTTCCCACAGACAGAGCTAAAATTGGTTACCTGATGAATCAATTAAAAAGTAAAGCTTTAGCTTGGGTTAATCCATTATGGGAGAGTAATAGAAGTGTGGCACACAATTACCAGGAGTTTATTACGGAATTCAAACTTACGTTTGAACCTTTAGGCAGAGAGGATGATGCCTCTACTGCCCTGATGCATATCAGACCGGTCTATCTCGGGATATGCCATAGAATTTCTACCCTAGCTTCCGAGGTAGACTGGACTAACAGTGGGTTAATCTCTGCATTTAAAAAGGGATTATCTGAATCTATGCTTGATGAAACAGCTTAAGGAATTTATCACTTTTGTCATGCAGATTGATAATAGATTGAGAACCAGAGAAGCTACTAGAAACAAGACCAAACACATGAATATGCCTTTAGCACCCCACTTCTCCAAACCTATTGTCCCTGAATTTCCTGTACAGTCCGAACCCGAACCCATGCAGTTGGGGGTCACTAGACTGTCGGAAGCAGAAAGACAATATAGGAGAAAAGAAGGCCTATGTCTATACTGCGGTAGGAAGGGACATATGAGAATCAATTGACCCATATGTCAGGAAAACTACCGCACCTAAGCACCTTAAGGAGACAGGTCCTCTGGAAAGGATAAAAATGGGTTTCTCCATGATATTTCTATTGCCTTTGAAAAGAAGAACTTTTCATGCAAAGCCCTGGTGGATTCAGGTGCTGCTGGAAACTTCATTGACGTTCAATTTGTTAAAGGTAATACTATACCTATCAAGAAGAGACTATCACCCCTAGCTGTTGATGCTATTGATGGGAGATCACTCTCACTCTCACAACCATTGATAATGCATGAAACCTTACCCATTAATATTTCCATTGGTGCCTTACATTACAGGTTATTGCATCCCCTTCCTGTCAGATCATATTAGGCTTTCCATGGCTTAACAAGTATAACACTCATATTGACTGGGCTAATGGAGAAATATTAGAATGGGGTAAGGATTGCTATGAAAGGTGTATATTGAATGTCACCAAAAGAGTGGGCACTATTGAATTACCCACTAGTACACCTCAAAACCCGGAAATCCCTATACAGTACCATGACATTAAAGAAGTATTCAGCAAAAGTCAGTCAAATACTCTACCTCCTCACAGACCATATGACTGTTCCATTAATTTACTACCCGGCGCTATGCCACCTGAGGGAGCAGTCTATGCTCTGTCACCTCAGGAGAGTAGAGTAATGGAGGAATATATTAAGGATTCATTGAATAAAGGCCAAATACGAAAATCATCCTTACCTGCTGGGGCAGGATTCTTTTTTGTATCTAAAAAGGACAGTGAGTTGCACCCATGTATCAATTACAGAGCATTGAATAAAATCACCGTTAAGAACGCCTACCCCCAGAGGCGGCTCTAGACTTTTTGAGGCCTTAGGCAAAAATCAAATATGAGGCCCCCCACGCGCGATCAAAAAAATAAGCAGGCGATATTAAAATTAACTGTATAAATTGCATATTTTAAGGCAAACATTAATAAACCTGACAATCTCAGTATTCACAAAGTTATTTTTGTTATTAAATTATTCTACAAAATATCAATCACAAACATTGGGTATAGATAAAAGGTTTGTGCCTGACTACTCAGTTATTCTTGTTGGTGTCTCCTAAAACTGAAATAAAGTTGTCAACAGTGTATTAACCCCTTAACGCCGCTACGGCATTCTATGCCGTCGCGGCTTTAAAGGGCTTTAAAGCCGTTGCGGCGGCATAGAACGCCGTAAAGGCTTTGAGCCCCAGGGGATCGCAGCTACTTATCTCCGCCGCGATCCTCTTCTGGAGGGCTGCCTGACAGCCCAGGCAGCCCTCCCCAGGCAAATGAGGCCCCCGGGGGCCATGTGATCGCTCTCAAAGAGAGATCTGCCAGCAGGGGGGCTGTCTGAAATATCAGACAGTCCCCCTGCTGGTGGAAAGTGTAAAAAAAAAATTAAAATAAATTAAATTAAAAATAAATTTAAAGTATTTATATATATATATATATGTATATATATATACATATTATATATATGTAAAGTCATAAGTAATGTATTTTAATATTAATATAAGTATATATATTAGTATTAAAATACACTTAGAATGACGTTACATATATATAATATGTATATATATATTATATATATAATAGATATATACACATATATTATATATATATATATATACGTATAATTACAATAATAAATAAATAAAATAATAAAAAAAAAAAAATATTGAAACAAAATTTTGTATAAATTATATATTCATAAGTAATTTCATTCTAACTGTATTTTGTTATTAATATATATATATATTGGTAACAAAATACACTTAGAATGGCATTCTATATCTATCTATCTATATATAAAATACAAATAACCTCAAATATATATATATATAGATAAATATATATAATTACATAAAAGATTACATTAGTATACACGTAGAATTTAAATACCTATAAATTCATATATGTTAAAATTCTACGTGTATATTTAAGTAATCTTTTAACATAATTATGTGATTTGATTAATTAAAATTTTAATGACATGCCTGACAACTCAGGGAGAAAGTGCAGAGAATTTAATTCGCAAGCTCTATATTTGACCCTGTAACTCTCCAAGACACCATAAAACCTGTACATTGGGAGTACTGTTTTACTCGGGAGACTTCGCAGAACTCAAATATTAGTGTTTCAAACTGGTAAATTGTATTACAACAATGATATTTTAAGTAAAAGTGACGTTTTTTGCATTTTTTACAAACAAACGGCACTTTGATGGACTATATTATTGTTGTAACATGTTTTACTGTTTTAAAACACTAATATTTGTGTTTAATGAAGTCTCCCGAGAATAACAATACTCCCATGTACAGGTTTTATTGTGTTTTGGAAAGTTAGAGAGTCACATATAAGGCTTGCATTTCATTTTTTTGACATTGAAATTTGCCAGATTGGTTATGTTGCCTTTGAGACCATATGGTAGCCCAGGAATAAGAATTACCCCCATAATAGCATACCAATTGCAAAAGTAGACAACCCAAGGTATTGCAAATGGGGTATGTCCAATCATTTTTAGTAGCCACTTAGTCACAAACACTGGCCAAATATTAGTTTTTTTGCTTTTTTCACACAAAAACAAATATGAATGCTAACTTTGGCCAGTGTTTGTGACCAAATGGCTACTAAAAAAGACTAAACATACAACACGTTCAATACCTTGGGTTGTCTACTTTTTCAAATGGTATGGGGGTAATTCTCATTCCTGGACTACCACACCGTCTCAAAGGTAACATTACTAATCTGGCAAATTTCAATTTGAAAATGGAACGTTCTTTATTTGACCCTGTAACTTTCCAAAACACTATAAAACCTGTTAATGGGGGGTACTGTTGTACTCGTGAGACATCGCTGATTACAAATATGGGCAATTTTTTGCAGTAATACCTAACAGTATTATGACATTTACAGCTAAAATGTGAGGCGGAACTACATATTTTTTTTTAAAATTTACATTTTTTCACAGTTTTTTTAAATTTTATTCATAATAAATTATGTTTCATATATAAATATTTGATATGAAATGAAAGCCCTGTTTCTCCTGAACAAAATGATATATAATAAGTGTGGGTGCATTTAACATGAAAGAGGTGAATTATGGTTGAACAGACATATAGCGCAAATTCCAGTTTTTGTTTACGTTTTGTTTTGATCAGAACGTGCACTATTGACTCCGTCCTGAAGGGGTTAAAACAACACTATAGCATCAGGAACACAAATGTGTATTCCTGACCCTATTGTGTTAAACTATTTAGCCCCCACCCCCTCAATGTAGCAATAACGTACCTTATTTCTAGAGCTGCACAAGTCCGCCAGTGCTGGATCCGCCCAATTGGCTAACATAATCTAAACTGATGATCTCAGTCAATCACAATGCTTTCCCATAGGAAAGCATCAGATTGGCTGAGATCTTCAATTTTGATGTCAGCCAAGGAATCAAGTCAGGGGCGGCTGCCATGGTTAATTTTCTTAGTCATAAAAAAACAAAACATTTCTTACCTGAGAGAGATGACATGAGAGGGACCTCACGATTTGGTGTCCAGTGTCCATGCAGCCCTGAGCAGCTTGAAAAAGATTGAGAGACGGCTTACTTGTCCACAGTCTCAAGACAGCTGCCTTCGCCCTTTACAGGCTTCTTCCTGCAAAATAATAAAAACAGATTTTTGAAAAAAGAGACACGACTTAAGCAGTTTTAAAAAAAAATGTTCTCTAAAAACAAATAAATTAAATATATATATAGATTTTCTTAATTTTGTCTTGACGCCAATTAATACTTTGGTTTAACCTTCTGATTGGGGCACCAATGATAGGTTGAGAACATCATCTGAGAGCTCAGCCTAGAAGTAGTTCCCCAGTCACAAAAACAGAGTGAGAAAAATATGTGTGCCGTGTGTGCATGGGCATGTTTCCCACTCTGTTTTGTGATTGGCTGAGCCAGCCAGCGGCTTCCTGATTTAACCATTAAACTACATTGGAAGTAGTGAGATAAAAAGGTTTCTTACCTGAAAGAGATGAAATGAGAGGGACCTCGCGTTTTGGTGTCCGGTGTCCATGCAGCCCTGAGAAGCTTGAAAAGGAGACTGAGAGACGGCACAGTCTCAAGACAGCTGTCTTTGCCTTTTACAGGCTTCTTCCTGCAAAATAATATAAAATGTTTTTTGTTTGTTTTTTGATTTTTTAATACGATAATACTACAGTAATACTATACTGTAATTATAACATATATTACATATTATCATATTATTGTTAATATTAAGAATTAATATATTATTAATGATTATAATAATTTATATAATTATTATATATTATATAATATATTATAAATATAGTAAATATAATTATATTATTAATATTTAATATTGTTATGTAATATTGTATATGATATACCACCATTATTCTGTGAAAAGATGGGGGAGGTACGGCTCTCCTGCTTTTTTCTCTCTTCTGCTCTGCTCTCCTTCCCTTTATTTTCTTTTCATCTGCTCTCCTTCCCCTTTTCTTTATTTTCATCCGCCCTCCTTCTCCTTTATTTTTATCTGCTCTCCTTCCCCTTTTCTTTATTTTATCTGCTCTCCTTCCCCTTTGTTTTCATTTGCTCTCCTTCCCCTTTATTTTTATCTGCTCTCCTTCCCCTTTATTTTTATCTGCTCTCCTTCCCCTTTGTTTTCTACTTTCAGCCTTTCCCTTTTTGTATTTTTTATCTGCTCTCTTCCCTTTCTTTTTATTTTACTCCGCTTCCTTCCTCTTTTGTTTTCATTTGCCCTCCTTCCCCTTTATTTTTTATCTGCCCTCCTTCCCCTTTATTTTTATCTGCTATCCTTCTTTTCTTTATTTTTATCTGCTCTCCTTCCCCTTTGTTTTCATCTGCTCTCCTTCCCCTTTGTTTTCATCTGCTCTCCTTCCCCTTTATTTTTATCTGCCATCCTTCTCCTTTTCTTTATTTTTATCTGCCCTCCTTCCCCTTTATTTTTTTATCTGCCCTCCTTCCCCTTTATTTTTATCTGCTATCCTTCTTTTCTTTATTTTTATCTGCTCTCCTTCCCCTTTGTTTTCATCTGCTCTCCTTCCCCTTTATTTTTATCTGCTCTCCTTCCCCTTTTCTTTATTGTATCTGCTCTCCTTCCCCTTTGTTTTCATCTGCTCTCCTTCCCCTTTATTTTTATCTGCCATCCTTCTCCTTTTCTTTATTTTTATCTGCTCTCCTTCCCCTTTTCTTTATTTTATCTGCTCTCCTTCCCCTTTGTTTTCATCTGCCCTCCTTCCCCTTTTTTTTAATCTGCGATCCTTCTCCTTTTCTTTATTTTTATCTGCTCTCCTTCCCCTTATTTTTGTTATCTGCCCTCCTTCCTCTTTATTTTTTTGTCTGCCCTCCTTCCCCTTTATTTTTTTATCTGCCCTCCTTCCTCTTTACTTTATTTTCATGTGCTGTCCTTACCTTTTTCTCTCTTCTCTTCTGCTCTCCTTACGTTTTCTCTCTTCTACTGTGCTCTCTTTTCTTCACCAGCAGCTATTCTTTCTTTTTCTTCTCTTCTTCTTGGTACCGCAGGCGGGGGAATGCAGGGGGAGGTCATTGTGTCGTGACGTCATCGCTAATCAGCATGCGGATTGGCCGATTAGCAGGTTAGTGGCAGGAGGAGGGGTGGGGACTCACTACACCACGGAACCCATGTGAGAGGGTTCCATCTCAGCAATGCGGATGCGGCCGCCGGCCGGGCATGAAAGGTTTTTAATAATTAATTTTTTTACCACAGCGGCTCTCTAATTACATGGTTTAGGCGGCCGCGAGGCCCCTTTTAGTGCGAGGCCTTAGGCAGCCGCTTAAACCGCCTATTTAGAGAGCCGCCTCTGCCTACCCCATTCCTCTTATTGCTGAATTATTTGATAGACTCCTAGGCGCTAAAGTATTTACTAAGCTTGACCTTAGAAGTGCTTACAATTTAGTGAGAATCCAGGAAAACCACGAGTGGAAGATTGCATTTAATACCAGAAGTGGACACTATGAATATCTAGTGATGCCATTCGGGTTGTGCAACACTCCAGCGGTTTTCCAAGATTTCATAAATTATGTACTTAGGGATTACATTTACTCGTTTGTCTTGGTCTATCTGGATGATATCCTTATTTATTCTCCTGACATTCAGACTCACCACAATCACGTTAGACAAGTTCTGCAGACTTTGTTAAAAAATCAAATTTATTGTAAATTAGAAAAACGCATCTCTGACCAATCTGAAGTACAGTTTTTAGGATATAATATCTATGCCTCGGGGGTTTCAGATGGATCCTAAAAAGCTGGAATCGGTCCTACAGTGGCCTTCACCCACTGGGTTGAAAGCCATTCAAAGGTTCATTGGTTTTGCCAATTATTACAGAAGGTTTATAAAGGGATTTTCTTCAGTAATAGCCCACCTCCCCAATATGACACACAAGGGGGTTAGCAGTAGCATATGGTCTAAGGAGGCTATAGAAGCCTTTGAAACTCTCAAACAGCGGTTTGCCTCCGCTGACATATTGATATATCCTGACACCAGTAAACCTTTCATACTGGAGGTTGATGCATCAGAGACAGGGGTAGGGGCAGTTCTCTCCCAGTCCATTGCATCCTTGTGGTTACTTCTCTAGAAAGTTGTCTCCTGCCGAGCACAATTATGATATTGGCAATAGGGAATTGTTGGCCATTATTCTAGCTCTCATGGAGTGGCGAAATCTTTTAGAGGGTTTCAAGGACCCCCTTTTGATCATTACCGATCACAAAAACCTGGCTTACATAGGAGACGCTAAACGATTGTCTTCTAGACAAGCTAGGTGGTCTCTGTTTCTTTCTCGCTTTAATTTTCTTATTACTTATAGACCAGGTTCTAAGAATGTCAAGGCCGACGCCTTATCCAGACAGTTTGATACTGAGTCTATACAAGAGCAAGAAAAGTCCCATATCATTCCCCCGGAATGTATCATTGCTTCCACTATCCTTTCATTGTCCTCTCCGCTGCTTGGCTCCATCATGGAGGCTCAGTCTTAGGCGCCCTGCGGTAAACCTCAGGACAAATGGTTCGTTCCATTAGGGGAAAGGGTTAATATCATGAAGGTGTTTCACAACGAGGTATCTGCCGGCCACCCGGGTATTAATAAGTCCACTTCTGCTATCATGAGATCATTTTGGTGGGATTCCCTCAGGAAAGATGTTAAGGAGTATGTGCAGGCCTGTTCTGTTTGTGCGGTTTCTAAAGTTCCTCATAAACTCCCTTGTGGCTTGTTGCAACCTCTTCCCATTCCTGAGGTTCCGTGGTCCCACTTGTCCATGGACTTCATTGTCGAACTTCCTAATTCTAAAGGTTTTCCCACGATTCTCATGGTTGTGGACCGTTTTTCTAAAATGGCTCATTTTATCCCACTCAAGAAATTGCCGTCATCTCAAGACCTGGTGCTAATCTTTATACGAGAAATTGTCTGTCTGCATGGCATTCCTCACAATATAGTATCATATTGAGTTTGTGTCCTGGTTTTGGAGGGCTTTCAATAAACAATTAGGGATTGAATTGTCTTTTTCATCCTCTTACCACCTCCAGACTAATGATACAGCTGAGAGGGTTAACCAGTCTTAGGAATTATATTTGCGTTGTTTCGTTAATAGCACTCAAGACAATTGGTCCGAATTACTACTATGGGCCGAGTTTGCTAGGAACAATGCTGACCATGAGTCCTCTGGACATAGTCCATTTTTTGTTAATAATGGCCGACATCATACTGTCCTCCTAGCTGTTTTTTCTGACACAGCTATTCCTGCTTTGGATGACCGTCTTGCTTCTATTTGTGATACCTGGGTCAAAGTTCACTCTGCACTGGGGACTGCGGCTGACCGTTTTAAGCATTATGCTGATAAACGGTGAGGTGCCAACCCTGTTTACCAGGTGGGTGAGAGGGTTTGGTTATCGTTAAACACAACATCAGGCTTAAAGTCCCTAGCATGAAATTTGCTCCCAGGTTCATTGGGCCTTATCGTGTCCTTAGAAGACTCAATCCCGTTTCATACTCTCTGGCCCTTCCAGCCTCATTGAAAATTTCTAACACATTTCTTGTCTCCTTACTCAAACCTCTTATTTGCAATAAGTATACTGTCCCAAGTGTCCCTCCTCCTCCCTTGGTTGTTTCTGCACAGGAAGAATATGAGGTATTTTCCATAATTGATTCCAGGTTTTCTCGGGGCACTTTACAGTACTTAGTGGATTGGAAAGGTTATGGACCAGCCGATCGTTCTTGGGTTACGCGTCTGATATACATGCTGGCCGCAAGATTCGCTATTTTCACGCCAAATTTCCTCTCAAGCCTGGTCCTGCCTGCCCGGTGGGCATTCTTCAGGTAATGTCACGTATTCATCCGATTATAAAAATGGGATTAATGGAATTCACTGTTCAGACAGGAAAAGTTGTACCAAACAACATTACTGTCCTGACAGGAAAAGTTGTGCCGAGCAGCAATCAAATCCACAGGAGGGTTTGTGCTGAGCAGCAATTATGCAAATGGGAACCTGGTAACTGCCTTTGGGGTCAAAGGCCGATTACAGCCTATCAGATCTAGAGGAGGGGTATTTAGGCCCAGTTCTCATCCTGCTCAGTGCCCTGTTGTGGTTTCCGAGAGGGTGTTATTTATTCTGGTTATTCTGGTATTTTGACTTTGGCATTGATTTTGACTTCCCTGTTTTCTGGCATCCCTGACCCCTGGCTTTTCCTTATCGTTGTGTCTCTTTCTGTGTCCCTTGACCTCGGCTATTCTTGACTATTCTTTGGTATGTTAGTCCGGCCATTCTAAGATCCGGTATACGTTACCTATTAGTCCTCTGTATTACACAATTCTATGTGCTGGATCATACTGTAATCATGACAAGTAATACTTCCTGATATTATTTTTATCCCACACATACTTAAACTCCTTTATTGTGTTAACCTCTACCACTTCAGCTGGAAGGCTATTCATGCATCCACTACCCTCTCAGTAAAGTAATACTTCCTGATAGTATTTTTAACCCCTTCCCGCCGTTATGGCGTTCTATGCCGTTGCGGCAGCATAGAACGTCGTAACGGCTTTGAGCCCCAGAGGACCGGCGGTACTCACCTCCGCCACGATCCTCTTCTGGAGGGCTGCCAGACCGCCCAGGCAGCCCTCCTCCGGCGAATGAGGCCCCCTATTGCTGGCTGTGGATCTGCCAGCAGGGGGGCTGTCTGAAATATCAGACAGTCTCCCTGCTGGTGGAAAGTGTAAAAAAAATAAAAAATAAACATGTTAAAATAAATCAAATATATTTTTATATATATAATATATGTGTATATATCTATTATATATATAATATATATACATATTATATATATGTAACGTCATACGTAATGTATTTTAATATTAATATAAGTATATATTAATATTAAAATACACTTAGAATGACGTTACATATATATAATATGTATATATTATATATATAATAGATATATACACATATATTATATATATATACGTATAATTACAATAATAAATAAATTAAATAATAAAATAAATAAATAAAATATTGAAACAAAATTTAATATAAATTATATATTCATATGTAACTTCATTCTAACTGTATTTTTTTATTAATATATATATATATTGGTAACAAAATACACTTAGAATGACATTCTATATATATCTATCTATATATAAAATACAAATAAACGCAAATAAATATATATAGATAAATACATATAATTACATAAAAGATTACATTAATATACAGGTAGCATTTAAATACCTATAAATGCATATATATTAAAATTCTACGTGTATATTTAAGTAATCTTTTAACATAATTATGTGATTTGATTAATTAAAATTTGATTGACATGCCTGACAACACAGGGAGAAAGTGCAGAGAATTTAATTCGCAAGCACTATATGTGACTCTCTAACTTTCCAAAACACCATAAAACCTGTACATAGGGGGTACTGTTTTACTCAGGAGACTTCGCTGAACTCAAATATTAGTGTTTCAAACTGGTAAATTGTATTACAACGATGATATTTTAAGTAAAAATGAAGTTTTTTGCAATTTTTTACAAATGAACGTCATGTTTATGGACTATATTATTGTTGTAATATGTTTTACTGTTTTAAAACACTAATATTTGTGTTTAGTGAGGTCTCCCAAGAATAACAGTACCCCCCATGTACAGGTTTTATGGTGTTTTGGAAAGTTAGAGAGTCACATATAAGGCTTGCATTTCATTTTGTTGACATTGAAATTTGCCAGATTGGTTATGTTGCCTTTGAGACCGTATAGTAGCCCAGGAATAAGAATTACCCCCATGATGGCATACCATTTGCAAAAGTAGACAACCCAAGGTATTGCAAATGGGGTATGTCCAGTCATTTTTAGTAGCCACTTAGTCACAAACACTGGCCAAATATTAGTTTTTTGCTTTTTTCACCCAAAAACAAATATGAACGCTAACTTTGGCCAGTGCTTGTGACTAAGTGGCTACTAAAAAAGACTAAACATACCCCACGTTCAATACCTTGGGTTGTCTACTTTTTCAAATGGTCTACCATTAAGGGAGTAATTCTCATTCTTGGGCTACCACACCGTCTCAAAGGTAACATTACTAATCTGGCAAATTTCAATGTGAAAATGGAACGTTCTATATTTGACCCTGTAACTTTCCAAAACACCATAAAACCTGGTAATGGGGGGTACTGTTGTACTCGTGAGACATCGTTGATTACAAATATGTGCATTTTTATGACATTTACAGCTAAAATGTGAGGCGGAACTACACATTTTAAAAAAAAAATTAAATTTCTCACAGTTTTTTAAATTTTATTCATAATAAATTATGTTTCATATATAAATATTTGATATGAAATGAAAGCCCTGTTTCCCCTGAACAAAAGGATATATAATAAGTGTGGGTGCATTTACTATGAAAGAGTTGAATTACGGTTGGACAGACATGTAGCGCAAATGCCAGGTTTTGTTTACATTTTATTTTCTTCACAACGTGTACATTTGGCTCCGTCCTTAAGGGGTTAAACCTTTGCCCCTCTAATTTAAGACTATGTCCTCTTGTTGTGGTAGGTTTTCTTCTTTTAAATATGGTCTCCTCCTTTACTGTGTTGACTCCCTTAATGTATTTAAATGTTTCTATCATATCCCCCCGTCTCGTCTTTACTCCAAGCTACACATGTTAAGATCCTTTACCCTTTCCTGGTAAGTTTTATCCTGCAATCCATGAACCAGTTTAGTAGCCCTTTTCTGAACTCTCTCTAAAGTATCAATATCCTTCTGGAGATATGGACATTGGATAGGACTCTATCAAATATTCTGTACTCTGCCCATGGGTTTTTACGTCCAAGATGCATTATCTTGCACCTATCCACATTAAATGTCAGTTGCCACAACTCTGACCATTTTTCTAGTTTAACTAAATTATTTGCCATTTTGCGTATCCCTCCTGGAACATCAACCCTGTTACATATCTTAGTATCATCCGCAAAAAGACATACCTTACCATCAAGACCTTCTGCAATATCACTAATAAAAATATTAAAGAGAATGGGTCCAAGTACAGATCCCTGAGGTACCCCACTGGAGACAAGCCCATGCTTCGAATATACTCCATTGACTCTGTTGCCTGTCACTCAGCCACTGCCTTACCCATTCAACAATATTGGAATCCAAACTTAAAGATTGCAGTTTATTGATAAACCATCTATGTGCAACAGTGTCAAAAGCCTTACTGAAATCTAGGTAAGCAATGTCTACTGCACCACCCTGATCTATCATTTTAGTTACCCAATCAAAAAAAATCAATAAGATTAGTTTGGTATGATCTCCCTGAAGTAAAAAAACTGTTGTCTCTGATCTTGAAATCCATGTGTTTTTAGATGCTCAACAATCCTATCCTTTAACATGGTTTCCATTACTTTCCCCACTACTGAAGTAAGTCTTACTGGCCTATAGTTGCCCGACTCCTCCCTACTACCTTTCTTTTGAATGGGCACAACATTCGCTAACTTCCAATCTTCTGGGACTACTCCTGTTAACAATGATTGGTTAAATAAATCTGTTAATAGTTTTGCTAGTACACCACTAAGCTCTTTTAATAACTTTGGGTGTATTCCATCATGTCCCATTGACTTATTTGTCTTTACTTTTGACAGTTGAAATAGAACCTCTTCCTCTGTATACTCACATGTAACAAATTACTCATTTGTCCTTTTTCCTAACTGAGGCCCCTTTCCTTCATTTTCATCTGTAAATACTGATCAAAAATATTCATTGAGACAGTCAGCTAGAGCTTTATCCTTTTCTACATACCTTCCTTCTTTTGTTTTTAATCTAACTAATGCTTGTTTTACTTTCCTTTTCTCATTTATGTATCTAAAAAAGGTTTTGTCTCCCTTTTTTTAAATGACTGTGCTATTTTCTCTTCTATGTGTGATTTTAAGCTCTTATAACTTGCTTAGCCTCTTTCTGCCTAAACTTCTGTCTTCCTCACTCTGTTTTTTTTTTATAATTACTAAATGCTAACTTTTAGTTTTTTACTACTTTGGCCACATCTGCGACGTACCACAGTGGTTTCTTGAATTTTTTGCTTTTACTGACAAGCCTAATGCAATTTTCTGTTGCCTTCAGCAGTGCAACTTTTAAATAATCCCATTTCTCTTGGACTCCATTTAAATTGTTCCAGTCTGATAATGACTCCTTTACACATATTCTAATTTTAGAAAAGTCTGGTTTTTTTTTTTACAAAGTCTAAAACTTTTAGGGTTTTTTGTGGTGGGACTCAGTCACTGTTCTTATATTAAACCACACTGACGAATGATCACTAGATCCTAGACTTTCACCTACAGTAATATCTGATACCAAATCTCCATTTGTTAACACTAAATTTAGTATGGCCTCGAGCTGGCTCCTCAACAACTTTTTTTAGAGACAATCCCAGTAGGGAGTTTAGAATATGTGTGCTCCTGGCAAAAAAGCTATTTTGGTTTTCCAATTCACATCAGGAAGATTAAAGTCACCCATGATGTTAACTTCCCCTTTCATTGTCATTTTAGCTATTTCCTCAACTAGTAGATTATCTAACTCTTCTATTTGTCCTAGGGGCCTATAAATCACACCTACATGAGTTACTGTGTGATTACCAAATTCTAACTTAACCCAAACGGACACTATAGTGCCAGGAAAACTAGTATATTTTCCTGGCACTATAGTGGTCCTTTAAATATTCACATTGGTTAAATAGTGAAATGATTAAAGGAACACTCCAAGCACCATAACCACTACAGCCTGTTGCAGTGGTCATGATGCCAGAAGAGTCCTGGCACCCTCCCAGTGTAAATAGTCTAACCATTTAAAGGACCACTAAAGGCACCCAGACCACCTCATCTCAACAAAGTGGTCTGGTTGCAGTGGCCCTTCAGTTTTAACCAGGCAATGTGTGGCTACTGGCTGTCTTCCTGACAGTAACTAGAAGCACTTCCATGTGAGAACCGATTCAAACGTGGTGATTTGTTGCGCATGCACACAAGCCTTCCAGCACATACCTATTGGAAGCAATAGAAGAATTTGCTGAGTTCACCTTGAGATAAGTGCGACGAGGTAAGAAAGGTAAGTAATACTCACTTTTCAAACCCTCACGAAGGGGGAAGGCACACACAAACAGTGTTCCTTTCAGAATGTGGGGTACATTGGCATTTGCAGACAAAAGTGTCTGCACTGAGCTAACCCCAAGAATACACTTATTGCATAAGATAATTCAGTTGACACTCTCAGCAAGCTGTACAGCAGTGATTAGTTTAGTGGAGCTAATGTCAGCTCCTTGGAGGAGCTTCTGGCTCCAAGTAGGACAACACGGGGCACAGGATGGAAACCAGGTAAGTTGTCAAACTGTTCTTTAGTGATTTGACTACTTACTCTTTGAGGACACCAGGGTTATTTTTGTAGGCAGAAAAATATAGCAGATCTGGCAACCACCTGGTAGGAATTAATAGAAGTTAATTAACAAGCTATGAAACCTGAAATTGGGCAAAATTTGAGTCGATCCACGGATAATGTAGATCAATTTTGTTTAACTCATATTGGTTTAATTTGCATTTAGATTGTTATTCCAAGCACTCTGATCACATCAGTAATTTGAAGTGGTCATGGTGCCTGTAGTCTTTATGTTCAGAGTTTCGCTATGAAAGCCGGACTTGTAAGACCACCTCTGACAGTATCATTGAAGTGTCTTTAGCTATCTTGGAGTGTTTCAGGTGACTAATGTTAATTCTGTGCATATTGAATGTCTGATGTCAGCATAGCCTCCCCCCAACTTTTATCACAAAAGGCAGCGTGCACATTGAAAACACAACACAAACACAACGGCAGTCTGTAGACATGAGAGCGAGTGCGTCTTATGACACATTTGTGCTATGCTTGATGGAAACTGTTCCTTGGTGCCCCCAAAAGCAGAACTCCGGGGACCTAAGACAGGAACGGACCCGAAAATTAGAAATGTCCTTCTTAAATTGGGACTGTCAATGGGTACTTGGTTATGCCTACTCAGAGCCCATCCCTGGCTCTCACAACTGTCTCCCTATCAATGCCCCTGGTGTCCACACTGGAGGATATATTAATCAAAGCAATACAGGTGCTATACTAGGTGAAAAGGGCTACAGTTTTGGGAGACATTCTATTGTTTCCAAATGGTGGTGATTGGTCCATAATTAGGACTCTGCCTCAGAACAGATAACTTTCCAGGATTTGGAAGATGCAGATATGTTACTGGTCTCCAGTATGCATAATGCGAGCACATCTTTAGACACGCCATGCTATGCTGAGTGCATTAGCACTGTTTCAGAGAATATTTCTGCAGTGCTCCCTGCATGGTCTGCCCTAATTTGTCATAGACACTGTCAGTCAGCCTGGCATATATTCACACCAGGCTGACACACTCATTCTGTAGCTGGCCCCATCCCCATTCAAAATTGAGAGGCCTTTTCAAAATTCAAGGTGCAAGTACATTCTGTCGGTCAGCCTGGAGAGCATTTCTGTGTGAATCCTCAGCCTGTCAGGACTGGGTTATTGTCCTCCCCCAATTAACATTTTGTATAGTTGAAAAACTTTTCAAATATGACCCCAACAGGGGTATTAACTAAAGTGAGAATTCAATGTTTAGGTCAACGTATCTGAACTGGAAGTATAGCTAACTCACAGATTTATTTACAAAGATGTGAATTTAAAGTGAATTTAACCCCTTAAGGGCCACTAGAGGCACTTCTGGGGCCTTAGCAGACCTTTGGTCCGCTAACTGACACTGGATATCCTCACGCTTTGCATGAGGACATCCAGTGTCAGCTAAAACCCCATAGGAAAGCATTAGGTCCCCCCCTCCCGCCAGCTGTTGTTGGCAAGGAGAAGCGGAGGCGGAACTTGACCCAGCGCCAAGAGACAGAGAGTCCAGTGAGTTTAATTTGCAAGCCCTATATTTGACCCAGTAACTTTCCAAAACACCATAAAACCTGCACATGGAGTTATTGTTGTACTCGGGAGACTTTGGTGAACACAAATGTGTTGATGGTGATATCATCAGTGAAAGTGCAGTTTTTGTGTGAAAAATGCAAAATAATAAAATATCAACATTAATTTTGGCCAGGGTTTGTGACTAATGGCTACTAAATAAGACTGGACATACCCAATTTTGAAAAATCTGAGTTGTCTACATTTGCAAATAGTATTCCATGATTTTTATTACCCCAGCAGATCCTGCTGATGCTATTGTATCATACTAAAATGCCCCCTCTCTCTCTACAAAAAAATCTCTTACTAAACATCTGCTTAATGCAGCCACGTCTCTGATCTCCGCTTGGTGGCGTTCGAAGGAGGTGCCCACCCTACAGCAAGGTAGATGAAATGTATTAAATGGAGTCTATGTATCCTCACTTTAACTTTAATCTAGATTAGGGTGTGTTTCCTGGGGTACGGCTGGGCCATTACTGTAGCAAAGGATGGCAAACCTTGATTCGTGGCACAGAGCCGGGAAAATATACAAACCTTGTATCTATATATTTTCGTGCATGTGTTTTTAGAAAGTTCAGACTTTTTCAACCAAGAGTGTTGATAACTTATGTCATAAGAATCCATTATTATTTAAAAACTGTGGATCAGATGGCATTTTATTTATGTGAGTTATCTTGTTAAAACAAACTTTCTTTGTTAACCAAAACAGAAAAAAACTGATTCTCCTGAAATTTTTAAAAAACAACAACATAATAATATAATATAATTATGAAAGTTACAAACATGGTTGAACAGACATATAGTCAAATCCCAGGTTTTGTTTTAGTTCAGAACTTGTACAATTGCCTCTGTCCTTAATGGGTTAAAGTGAATTTCTAATTTAAGGCCAGAACGGACGATCGGAAAGCATAGCCAACAGATATTTTTTTTCCTAGTTCGACTATTTTAACCTTACAAAATCCTGCAAGTCATTTAAGGAGCTCCAGCATTTAAAGTTATTTTCTCAGAGCTGAGTGCTCTTAAAGGGCAGGCAGGTAATAATATATAAATTTACCCCAGCTGGAGTGCAGCTCCCTATCAAGCTGTGGACTCTTTCAGTACATTATATATATATACCTAATACACAGTACTGCGATATAACAGCCCAGAACTGCTGCCATTCCGAACCCTGTGGCTTGCCAGCTTGGCACACTAATAATCAGAGTAATTCAATGGATTCCGGGTCCATCTGGTGCGCTGCGGTCCTTCAGCCGCTAGATGGCGCTGTGAGCGGTACCGGCTTCCAGCTCACTCGGAGAGGCAGACTAAGGAAGCGGCGTCTGACCCGCCAGGTAATGAGAGAGTTCTCTGTGCCAGTCTTTTCTATTCTATTATTTTATGTGTCTGGACATTGCTGCTCCCCGCCCTATAATGGCTCTCAGGCCGGGGAGAAATGCCTCTTTGGCTGCTTATTGACATGTTGGGCTTATCATGAGCAGCTGAGGGGTAATGCTTTAAAATAGTTAGTTTTGCCGCCCCTGGCATGTGATGGGTTAAAGTGGTCCTATATAAAGGTGGGAAGGAGTGATGCCAGGCTCCTGGTGGGGCAGCTGGGGTGTGTGGTGCCCCTTCCTGTCTAATTATAGAGCTGGGGACCATTCAGGAGAGAGGGGGTGTAAAAGCACAATATGTAAGGCTATACTAGTTACTAGGTGGGGGTAACAGATTGTTGATCCAAGGAATATGTGGAAGACAAGTCTTACTTTTTAAACCTAGTTCTGCAACTGTGGTCTAATGGAAGGAGGAAAGCTGTGTTAAAAGTATGTAGGAATTGGAAAAGTGATGCAATATGTCACTTACAAGGTCTACAAATTCAAATAAACACTTACATTGCTTTGCTTTTAAACAACTGTTATTCATTAATGTGGGATTTTAAATGGACATTATAATGTTAGGAATTCAGAGATGTAGTTAATTAGCACTAATTGAATGCAGTGCCCCTCTAAATTAAAACTTGGTGTTTTTTTTTTTTAAAATTTCTTATTATTAATGTGGCACTGTCACCGTCTGGGGACTTGGCGTAATTTGCAAAACCCCAACCGTGACATTGCGGCTAGGGAAAAGATGAGTTATAATTGCCTGAACCGGTCACTTGCGGGCTCTGCCGTCTTCTTCCTCCGCATCCTCTTCAGCCCCTGGCTCACTGCTGTACGAGAGTACAGTATTGAGGTCTATGACAACTGCAGAATCCTCCATAGATAAAGCCAATTCCCTGCAGCCATCACTGGTGACAGCTGATGGATTGACACTTCTAGATGGCGATGGCTATGCCCAGTGTCTTGCAGTGTCAGGGGTAGGAAAAATACTGAGACAAAGTAGTCCCTATTTTTTCTCTGTATATCTGGTTGGAATTTCATTAAAATTCCTAGACCGTCAACATGAGTTCCATCTTTATGAAATACTACTATTTTTTTTTTTTTCCAGAGGGAGGTGGCAGTGGCCCTTTTTACTTTTCCACCTTGGTGTCTCTGCCAACTCACCTTCTCGGAAGTGTTTCTTCTAAAAATTTTCTTTTCTCCTCCCCCCCCCCCTCCAAATCTTTCTTATATGGCAGCATTGGGGACAGGGTGCTTGGTAAGAACTGTGCTCGTCCAATCAAATGTTTTCATAGAGAAGAATTGTATCCCATGCTTCCCTATGATCAGCTATTGGTGATGCAAATGTTACATAACTGAATTAGACTCTGTTCTCATTGCGGAATCTCATTTTGTGGTGGTCCGGCAGACATGCTAGAAGCGTCTTTATCCCTGCCCACCCCATCATGGTGTCATACCTCCCCCAAATACTAACAAACTTGGCAAAACTACAACTTCCATTATTCTTTGCCAGCCTTCCAGCTGGTAGAGCAATATGAAAGTTGTAGATCGGCAACAGGGGCAAGTATTTTGGCCTGTTGTAAGCTAAACAAAGCTTCATGGGTTCATCGCTATAAATTTGACTTTAGCTAGAACTGCATGTGTTGCACAAGCCATTGAAATTTTGTTATACCTGACCTTGACTTCAGATTAATTATGAATGACACAAATAGGCTTTGCAAATTTGTCACTACAGGCAATCTATAATTAAGTGTTGCATCTTTTTCAGGTCATCCCTGTAAAAATCACTTGGGGGGGTGGGGGGGTTTAGGAAAACAAGGTGATTTACTCTATATGGTCAGGATTGTTGCATGGGTATTAAATAGAAAAAAAATAAAAATAAACCATAACAACCAAAGCACTAAAATCACTACATCTAAAGGGGAATACATGTGTTCCCCCTTCTGTCTCAGAATCTGTTTTCCCAACGGCATTCAACTCTGTCCACATTGCGAGAAATGGCTGGCTAATGCTGCTCTCTGCTCCTCCCCACTGCTGGTGCTATCCCTACACGCTGTGCAACAAAACTCACTTTATGCAGCTGCTAGTCGGCATCACCATACAGCGGGCATAGTGATCAAGCAACACGGCTTGTCTCTGGCAGGGCTACACAAGAAAAAGAAAAAAAAAATACTGCCTGGCATCCAGAACTAAATTTTTCTGGTGATTAACGGCTTCACTGCTGGAATTGTGTATACTCCATTTAGAGGGCATCTAGAATCCTTGTGTGTGTGCATACGTGCTTTTCAACATTGCAAAATAGATGTAGTTTTCATATGCAGTTTGTGCCATGTGGAGTCTCGAGCAGAAGAGCGGACACTACTATTAGAGCGGATTGTTTGCTGGGATGTCCTGCAGCTGCACAGATTGGTGATATTGAAGGACCTCCCGACTGCCTCTGCTTAATGTAGCTGTTCTGGTGATCTCTCTGATGGCTAAAACTTAATGTAGTTGTTCAGGTGAGTATAGCATGTCCCTGCAGGCTTTTTTTTAATGTAAACACTAGCTTAAGTATTTTGCATCAAATGAAAACCAGTTGGAGTTATCCTTCCATCATTTTGCAAATTACTGCAGCCATTATAAGCAGGATGGATTAAACTAGCAAGCACCATAACTTCTGCAGCACACTGTAGTTTTCATAGTGCCAGGAGTAAATGAATCCTCTACCCCCCCCATCCTCCCCATGTAAGTAATCAAACTGTCTTAGAACATTTTGACTTATAACCCTGTTAAATTTCTATTAAAGGACCACTATAGTGCAAGGAAAACTTACACTTTTTTTTTTTCTGGCACACTGTAGTGCCCTGAGGGTGCCCCCACCCTCAGGGACCCCCTCCCGCCGGGCTCTGGGGAGAGGAAGGGGTTAAACTTCTTTCTCCAGCACCGGGCGGGGAGCTCTCCTCCTCCTCTTTGGCTGAATGCGCATGCGTGGCAGGAGCTGCACGTGCATTCAGCCAGTCTCATAGGAAAGCAGTCATAATGCTTTCCTATGGACGCTTGCATCTTCTCACTGTGATTTTCACAGTGAGAAGCACGCAAGCGCCTCTAGTGGCTGTAAAGAGACAGCCACTAGAGGCTGGATTAACCTAAACATAGCAGTTTCACAGAAACTGCTATGTTTATAAAAAAAAAAGGGGGTTAACTCTAGCTGGACCAGGCACCAAGACCACTTCATTAAGCTGAAGTGGTCTGGGTGCCTATAGTGGTCCTTTAATAGAGAATGATATAAGAACGTCTAAACACAATATGCTGTAAGATCTGATTGAAAAGCAAACCGTTGGCAGATCCCTACCTTTACCGCAGCCTTCTTTCTGGTGTTGCAGTGCTTATCTCGTAAGGCGATAAACTGATGCTTAACCAATGAGCTTACACTGTTATGAAAATAGTTCAGCACAGGAGCTTGGGACAGTGTGACTCTAGGCACCATAACTACTTCAATGAAGTGGTTATCGTGCCTAGTGTTCCCTTTTTTATTTTCAGGTAGTTTTTGTTTTATATATGGAGTCAAACTAGTAGTGGTTATTCAGGTCCTGTGGAAGGCATCCATTTGCAGGATAATGACATGATTTTTTTTTTTTTTCTTTCACACCTTGCAAACGTGTTATTTATAGAAATAAGTAAACACAATAGTAAAAAACCCTCCTTGGGAGTGTTTTCACTTTAAACGCACATTCAATTTAAGGCACTGGAGCATATTTACTGTTTTTAATATAAAATTGTATTAATATTAATTAACATTTGATGGTTACTGAAATAATTTATGCTTTAGCAACCACCCACCCTCCCCCCACTATTAAAGTATACAGTGCAAGGCCATAGACTTTATGTAAAGCAAAACATCACTTTGAGTGCTGGCTTGAGCTACAGAGTCTCTTAAATTGGCAACACACTTCAGCCATAATAAAATAACTTTATTTGCAATGCATTCTACATGCATGGAAACACCCTTTGTTTGTTCTGAAAATACTGTGTCCTGGACTGAATTGGAACTATCCTGTCCAAATATCTAGTTTCCCTATTTTATGAATCTCTGACTGTAATCCTTACATGGACAAAAGTATGGCTTCGTTTTTATAATTACCATTCAGTCATAAACCTATGATAGATTAATGGGTTAGCCAAAGGGGAAAAATAAAGTATTTTTATGTGAAATTCTGCTTAAAGCTATGGTACTTGTACACTAAAGGCCCATATATAGTGCTTTTCTAAGTAATGTTTTTCATCTAGACCGCTTCACTCTGGCTCTACCTCTTCTATCGTACTATCATCAGTATTTACCCCTTATCAAAATGACTCCGATCTCTTCACTTGCCCATTTTTTTTTCTGCTTCCAACACATGATCTAAAAAAACAAACAAACTGGCTGTTAACTTGCAATGATCAATGTCTTTCATTTCACCTGTCAGTGGTTTTAATGTTGTGGATGATCAGTTTCAAGTTTAGAAAGACTCTCTTCTGCAGCAAATCTTGGACATTACCGACCAGGAATATCCGCTTTAAACCTGTATTCAGATGTTGTTATAATCTGAAAATGTGTTTTGCTCGTAGAATCTGGGCTCCTTTTCAAAAGTTGTTGTGGAGAACATGTCCTATGTTCCGAGTGACAGACCAACCAGGCAGGACGACATAAAGAAAGGATTACAGTTCATCCAGTAAGTATTAATGTATACATATCAATTCTCCTGTTGGAGAGGACTGGAAGCAGGTAAGTTGTCAAACTGTACTTAAAAGAAAAAGTACTAAAAGACCGCATGCACAGTTGCCAGGGGAGAACTTTGCACTGCATTAGATGGGCTGCTACTGATAGAGTGGCAAAAGAAAATGAAGTCAGACTGGCTTATCAAGTAAAAGTATACTATAAGCGAAAGTTGTTTTGGTACTTAAAAGGCACCCAAATAATTTTAGTTTTATTATGTTTGATGTATAGAACAAACCCCTGCAGTCTTTCTGCTTAAAGAAACACTCTGGTGCTGGGAATACAAATGTGTATTCCTGATGTCACGCCAAGTGTGCATAATTGTTGCAGTATGGAATATTGTCATTTTAATGTGATTTGTGTAGTGCGTACATGAATTGGCTACTTGTAGAGTTAGTATGGTCATTGTTATTGTAGAGGATAATGTCAGTAGGGAATCTTTTAACGCATATAGGAATATGATAGAGGTGTGAAATGTTAAACATAAGTTGCCTCCGAGTCTAGAACAATGTAAGCTAGCTCGCTAGTTTACCATATGTCTGTATCTCCTTTTAGATAGTTGGTTATTTTTTATATGCTAATGGCTGTTATCTTTCAGGAAACCATTGTGCTCCACTATCAAATCTAAAAGAAGCGTTCATAACCCACACATGAATAATCATGACTCTTGTGCATATTTAGAATAGAACACTGCCTACAAAAAGAGTGTGTAAATATGGCTAGTGCAGTTGAAGTAATTTAAAAGGAAATGTGAAGTCCATTTTATTAGGACACGTGTAGAAAGTGTTACATATGTCTGGAATGGGAAAACTACTACAAAATCAGATGCAATGAGTATCTGTGGCAAGCACAAGAAGAAATAAAATCAAATTTCTATTTGGTGGATGGGTGTTGTGTTCCAGACCAACATCAAGCCAATGACAACTTGGAAACCTGAGATGAATTCAGGAGGTATAAATCGAATTGATGGGCAAATGTTAAAGGACCACTATAGGTACCCAGGCCACTTCAGCTCAATGAAGTGGTCTGGGTGCCAGGTCCATCTAGGGTTAACCCTGCCTGTTGTAAACATAGCAGTTTCAGAGAGTCCCCGGCGCTGGAAAAAAGGTAAGGGATTAACCCTTTCCTCCCCCTTCAGCCCAGCAGGAGTGGGACCCTGAGGGTGAGGGGGACCCAAGGACCATATAGTGCCAGGAAAACAAGTGTTTTCCTGGCACTATAGTGGTCCTTTAAGTGTGCTTACTAGGTGCCAAGATCTTATTTTGAGTTGATGCCATCTTTCCTTGCAAGAGACCCCCACCCCAGAGCAGAAAATACTGATACTTTACCATCTAAGGGAGTGGTTAGGTTCTTTGTTTATTTCTTCTTTTGATGATTTTAATTTTTTTTGGTGCAAGTAATTTGTTTGTCATCTATTTTCTTTCTTTTTTAAATATGACTATTGCTTGTTCAGAATTAATATTCCTTTAAGTTCTTCCTTTGTCTGGTAAAGACACTACTTACTGGAAGAGACAAATGTATTTGGGTTTTGAAATTGCATAGATTTGTACTAAATTGTATTTGGTGTGTGTGTGTTTTTTTATTCTAATTGCCATGGGGACCAAGGAACCCCATTTATAAATTGTATTTGGTAGCAGTGTTATAAAATAGTAAAATGTATATTCTGGTGTTAAGGGCAATTTTTTATCACTTCCGGTCTAGTGCTGACAAATAATGTATTTTAACCCTTTCACCACCAGAATGGCTGTGTGCACACTTGCAGTAGGGTGCATTGTGAAACCTGAAACTAGTGCCTGTGTGGGCATTTAGGTCCCCAGTTTTTCTGAAAAGGCAGTCTTTACATTAAAAAACTAGCAGTGACAAGCTTTAGGGGACAACATATATATATTTTTTTTCGATACATAAATGAGAAAAGGAAAGTAAAACAAGGATTAGTTAGATTAAACACAAAAGAAGGAAGGTATGTAGAAAATGATAAAGGTCTAGCTGACTGCCTCAATTAATATTTTTGATCAGTATTTACAGATGAAAATGAAGGAAAGGGGCCTCAGTTAGGAAACAGGACAAATGAGTAATTTTACATATGGGTTTACAGAAGAGGTTCTATTTCAACTGTCAAAAGTAAAGACAAATAAGTCAGTGGGACCTGATGGAATACACCCAAAGTTATTAAGAGCTATTAACAAAACTATTTACAGATTTATTTAACCAATCATTAACAGGAGTAGTCCCTGAAGATTGGAAGCTAGCAAATGTTGTGCCCATTCACAAGAAAGGTAGTAGGGAGGAGTCGGGCAACTATAGGCCAGTAAGCCTTACTTCAGTAGTGGGGAAAGTGATGGAAACCATGTTAAAGGATAGGATTGTTGAACATCTAAAAACACATGGATTTCAAGATCAGAGACAACATGGGTTTACTTCAGGGAGATCATACCAAACTAATCTTATTGATTTTTTTGATTGGGTAACTAAAATTATAGATCAGGGTGGTGCAGTAGACATTGCTTACCTAGATTTCAGTAAGGCTTTTGACACTGTTGCACATAGAAGGCTTATCAATAAACTGCAATCTTTAAGTTTGGATTCCAATATTGTTGAATGGGTAAGGCAGTGGCTGAGTGACAGGCAACAGAGGGTTGTAGTTAATGGAATATATTCGAAGCTTGGACTTGTCACCAGTGGGGTACCTCAGGGATCTGTACTTGGACCCATTCTCTTTAATATTTTTATTAGTGATATTGCAGAAGGTCTTGATGGTAAGGTATGTCTTTTTGCTGATGAAACTAAGATATGTAACAGGGTTGATGTTCCAGGAGGGATAAGCCAAATGGCAAATGATTTAGGTAAACTAGAAAAATGGTCAGAATTGTGGCAACTGACATTTAATGTGGATAAGTGCAAGATAATGCATCTTGGACGTAAAAACCCAAGGGCAGAGTACAGAATATTTGATAGAGTCCTAACCTCAACATCTGAGGAAAGGGATTTAGGGGTGATTATTTCTGATAACTTAAAGGTAGGCAGACAATGTAATAGAGCAGCAGGAAATGCTAGCAGAATGCTTTGTTGTATAGGGAGAGGTATTTGCAGTAGAAAGAGGGAAGTGCTCATGCCATTGTACAGAACACTGGTGAGACCTCACTTGGAGTATTGTACACAGTACTGGAGACCGTATCTTCAGAAGGATATTGATACCTTAGAGAGGGTTCAGAGAAGGGCTACTAAACTGGTTCATGGATTGCAGGATAAAACATACCAGGAAAGGTTAAAGGATCTTAACATGTATAGCTTGGAGGAAAGATGAGACAGGGAGATAGAAACCTTTAAATACATAAAGGAGGAGACTATATTTAAAAGAAACTACCACAACAAGAGAACATAATCTTAAATTAGAGGAGCAAAGGTTAAAAAATAATATCCGTAAGTATTACTTTACTGAGATGATAGTGGATGCATGGAATAGGCTTCCAGTTGAAGTGGTAGAGGTTAACACCGTAAAGGAGTTTAAGCATGCGTGGGATATGCATAAGGCTATCTTAACTATAAGATAAGGCCAGGGACTAATGAAAGTATTTTTAAAAATTGGGCACACTAGATGGGCCGAATGGTTCTTATCTGCCGTCACATTCTATGTTTAGACACAAGAATATCTACATAAAGCTGTAGTTGTTCTTGTGACTATAGTGTTCCTTTAATTCTTTCCCAATTAGGAGTTCAATAGCTGTTTATACAGCTCCAGCAACACCTCTCCTAGCGGACTGTCACCATTACACATTTCCTTTAATTTAGTTGATCTCTTACCCTTTTAATAGCCTGCAGGAGTTTCATGTGTAATATGCAGGGGTCACTTAAGTGAGAAATAAAATTGAATTCAAAGTGAATATCAAATTTAAGGTCAAAATGGCTGATCCTGTAGTGTTAAACCCTCCATCTAGCCCCTCCTGCCTCCATAAATATAGTAAAAGTCTTACTGTATTCAAGCCTGAAGCTGTAACTCTGCACGCTGTTTGCCTCAGAAAAACAAGCTGTCTGCTGACATCATCAGAAGTGGTAGCATAATCCAATCACAATGCTTCCCCAGTGGATTGGCTGAGACTGACAGAGGCAGATCAGGGGCAGAACCAGCATGATTCAAACACATCCCTGGCCAATCAGCAACTCCTCATAGAGATGAATTGAATCAATGAATCTCTGAGGAAAGTTCAGTGTCTGTATGCAGAGGGAGGAGACACTGAATGTTTGGATGCATTTTAGGCAGCCATGACCCAGGAAGGATCTCTAACAGCCATCTAAGGAGTGGCCAGTGAAGTTATCCCTAGGCTGTACTGTAAACACTGCATTTTCTCTGAAAAGACAGTGTTTACAGCAAAAAGCCTGAAAGTAATGATTCTACTCACCAGAACAAATACAATAAACTGTAGTTGTTCTGGTGACTATAGTATCCCTTTAAATTTTGAACTCTTTGAATTCTCACCTTGCTAAAGAACCCTGTTAAATTTATATTCATAGACCAGGAGATATGAACTTTTAAAGTAAACACACTGTTCTGTAAGACCGGATTGAACGGCAAACCATATTTAAAAAAAAAAAAAAAAAAAAATATATATATATATATATATATATATATATATATATATATATATATATATATATATATATAAATTTTTTTGCTGGGGCTGCATAAACAAACAAAAGTGATCTAACTCCTATACACCACAACTGCCTTATTAAACTAAAGTTGTTTTGTTGCATGGCATGTCTAAGTTAACACATAGTTGGTTAGGTGAGCTAAAGTAAACCTATGGTTAAAAAAATGAAGCATGCTGTGTAACACTGTTTTTACCCAAAACTAAAGTAGAACAATGAATAATTTGTAAGTTTGTGTGTTTTTTACAACTTTATTTAATGGTTTCTTTAATTCCAGATCTTCTTTGCCCTTCTTTGGATCGGATTGCGAATACGAGGTAAAATAGTTATAGCTATATAGTTTAATGGCAGGGTGCCTAAAAGGTAGATCCCCAGATGTTTTTAAAAACGACAGCTTCCATGATGCTTTGTCATGCTAAATTATTTTAAAGGCATGGAAAGCATAATGGGTAGATCTGGAGATCTACCTATTGGACAACCCTTGTCTAAACGAATGCTCCACGGTACAAATCACAAATTTGCTCTTGAGTACATATACCCAGATGAATACATGCATACATTTAGTCATGGGTGGTATTTTTAAAAAAAATAAAGCTTGGGGTAGTCACTGGAGATCTTGAAGCAAGCCATGCCATTGTCAGGCATGCTCTTACTTCTGAGAGAAGGCTATTGCACTCTGGCAGAGAAAGCATGCCACTACAGTTAGCTCAATGGTGCTAATGTAGGGAAGACAAATGTTTCTTAATTGATTACTAAAAGTACAGATTTCTCATGGAAATAGGCACCCTTATTAACTGCATTGAAATGGGATGATAAAGCACTTTGGCAAACTGAAGAGCTAAATAACTTTGTGGATTCTCTAATAGGTTGAAGGATCACTACGCACAAATACAGATACTTGTACCATATAGCATTGGGTGAAAACAATATTAAATTGCCACCTAGGAAAATTTTAATTAAGAAAATAGAACGAAATACACGAGGCATAAATGATGGACCCAAGTATGATGAACCTATTTTTCTTGCATGTTTGTTTCATATTGTTCTCGTCTAGATTTTCTTGAAAAAACTTGTCATAAACCTCTTCAATGAAGGAAATGATTTGTTCAGAGAAGGTCGTACAAATGACTCTGTAAACCAGTACTCTGAAGCACTGAGCATTGCTGACTACGCAACTTCAGAGGACATCTCAATCCCAAAAGAGACATTGGAAAGACTGTATTCAAACCGGGCAGCATCCTACTCAGACATGGTACTTATGTTTTTTTCTGTATAGAGGACAAACTATCGCCAGCATAAACCTGCTTGTCTATTACAACGCCAGCATAAACCTGCCTGTCTATTACAATGCAAATGTATGTCTATGTCATTAGTTGCAACCAGGATATTTTGTAGTCTATTTGTTAAACTGACTTTCACCTAATGAAATATTAAAAGGGTAACTATTTTAAATTCAGAAATGCTTGCCAAAAATCAGTCTGCAGTTTCATAAGCACCCTAGATGAGCCAAATTTCTCTTTTTTTCACAATCCTTACAATTTGTATAGTATGTGTTCCTACAAAAATAAATCTAAATTTAACATAATCCAGAGATGGGAATAAACTCAAACTTTGAGCTAGTCTTTCCTTTTTAAGGGTCACTCAGAGCACTAATATAGCTTTGATGTATTTAATACATTTTGGCCTTATTAATATGCTGTATTTATCTGCATGCTCAAATCTTTGTAATTGCACAAAAGTTCTGTGGAATGCTGTGCCATAGGACTATTTCCTTAGCCACGCCCACCCTCTCAAGAAAAATACTTCCTTACCAATCTGCACGAGTATCATCACTGAGTGTTCTAAACTACAATGCAACCTACTTTAGGAGAGGACACCCTGGGATCTGTTGCATGCATTTGATGAGGATGTCTTTCTGGCTTGAGGGGATGGTGTGGCATGCTGCAAAACCTTTCAATTGTTTTTTTTTTTTTTTTTTTTAAACAAAATAATTGAGCATGCAAAAAGACCACATATTATTAATGAGGTCAAAACCAAATACATTAAAATTGTATTGCTGCAGGAGGGTCTGTTTAGAAAGACTCGTAAGGTCAATGGAAATTCCCAATACCTATTAAATATGCAAGCTCATTATAAAGATTTTACTCCTATAACACAGAAACAAACACTAAATACACCTTGATGGTTGCTCTAGGCTGTATTAAAGGCTTTACATTACTTGCAGTAAGTGGTTGCTGTAAATCAGTGGCGGAACTGCAGGGGTCGCAGCTGCGACTGGATCCACCACTTCAGGGGGCCTGGCGACATGGTAGAGCCGCTAGGGCTGCATGTTAAGGGACGCAGAGCATGGGCCACCCTATAGAAATGAATTTCCAAGGGGCCCAGTCAGCACTGTGGCGCTTTAACAGTGCGACCGGGCCCCGTTAGATGACCTCACAGCTGGGCGGAAGTGACTGCCTCTGTCACTTCTCGTGCGGGAGGAAGAGGAGGGAGTCAGAGTGGAAACTCTGACTCCCTTTAGGCTGAGCCACCACTGGACCTCAGGGAAGGTCACCCTCCTGCACCTAAAAGGTAGGAAACAGGAGGGTGATTTAAACATTTTGTATGTGTTTGTCTACATGTGTGGGGGCAATGTATGGGAGGGGGCGGGTAGACGTATGGGGCGGGGGGGAGGTAGGTGGCAGGGGGTAGACGTATGGGGGCCCCAGGGCAGTTGTCTGCACCGTGGCCCCATGGTTTCTAGTTATGCCTCTGCTCTAAATATTTTACTATTAGACACTTTTTAACATGCATTGTATATTAACTTTTTTTTTTGCTCTGCTTTAGGGTTTTCATGAAAATGCATTAAAAGATTGTGAAGCTGCCTTAAGCTTGAATCCTGGCAACCTCAGAGCCCTGTACCGGAAATCAAATGTTCTGTACATGTTGGAGAAATACAAGGAAGCTTATGATGCAATAGCCAGCTGCTCCCTCACTGCCCCGCAGGTAGGACTTGCAAAAGAAGAATATTTGTTTCCTGGTTCCTTCTTTGTTGTTAAACTGATTAAATGTCAGAGAAAAGTAAACCTTGCAGTTCAATGCATTGTAAGACTATTTAATCACTTTGTCTCCCTTCAGTCTTTAAAGGACATAGTGTAGCTCATCAACCTTTATGGTAATTTAATATGTAAAAATATTTATTTGTAGCAACACATTTGTGGGTACATAGGAAAGCATCTGACATGTTTTAGGAAAAGGTTTCAGACTTTACATTGAGATGTAGGTTATGGAATAGCCAAAAAAGCACATAGTATTTTACCATAATCCTAGTGAGTCTTAACCATTTTTACCTTTTGCACTACCAGGTCTTTAAATAAACGTGGGGAATCCCTTTGCACATTGTCTTATTCAGGCCGCTATGTGTAATCAATCTATTTATCAACAAAGTTTATCAAAAGGCAAAAATACTTATCAGAATGAAGTAAGTTGAGAATAAAAGGAAAACCCTTTTTTCTATGAAGTTCGAAAGTGACTGAAAATGTCACCATTCTATGGAAACACAATGACAGGTTGAGTCTTACAAACCTGAACAGTCCCAAAACTGCACATCTTAGAGAACCATATTCAGACAGATCCTTTGTTCACCAGGAAGAGGCTCCACCAATTGGAAGCCTTTCTCATCTTAGGTGTCTGGTACTATCCCATAATCAACTCTTCATCAGAAGTTAATGTTTATAAGTAGTTTTTCACCCATCTGTTCCACTCATAGATAAAGTTGAGTGGAACTGTTTTATGAACAAATTGCATCCAAAAAGCAGCTATCAGTATTAAGGAATTCCTAGAGAAAAAGTGCAGGATACTCTGTGCCAAAGTCACATAGTGCTTATGGAAAATAATTACTAAAATTTAACATAAATTTGCTTAGAATTTCTGCACAAGTTGTGCAACTAAACAAAATATCTCAAAATAAATCTGTTTACTACTGGTAGTGGTAGGAATAACAGGAACAAACCGCAGAAGCCACACATAGAGATCTGGACACAAGTCTTCAGGAAGTAACAGGTCTTTTATTTACACACCGATTGGGTCTCCGATGAACTCCTGTTCCAAAAATATCCGAGAGGGAAAGCATGGTGCAGAGGACTTTTGTTAGCAGCATATCTCGTCCCATACAGTATAAACCCCTCCTATATTCCTCAGACCAATCAGCACACAGGATATTCAGGATCACCTTATATGAGCAGACCACATGGCATTTACAGACAAAAGAATGTACTATCCACTTCCACACATGCTCAGTATACTGATGACTCATCCAACTGTTTGTAATCAGATACGATTTAGCATATGCCATGTGGAGATTTCGGCCTACTAAATTTTGACCATGCTGGAATCCCATCACAGTAGTTAATATGCCTGATTAGTTCAGTATTTCAATATATTTTAAGAAGTTATGAAACAGATATTGTAAATAAATGAGTTTTAACCTTTGCAAAGTTTGGGCAAGTTACAAATACGCACTTGTGTATAGTGGTTTTGTATCTGTAAAATATATAGGGTTGTAACGAAGTGTTTTGACACTTTAGACATCTAGTTTATTTTTATATATATTTTTTTCCCCCACATGCCTTTCAATGTCATTGGACAACACAAAGGATTATATATACCTTTTGTGTTGTCCAATGACATCCCCTGGCCAATCAGCAGGTCATCAGATATGCATTGAATCAATGCATCTCTCTGAGGACGTTTTTAAGCTTCTCCATGCAGACGGTAGAGACACTGTCGCTAGGTGGTAGCCATCTGAGGAGTGGCCAATAGATGTATCCCTAGAATGTAATGTAAACACTGCCTTTTATCTGAAAAGGTGGTGTTTACTGCAAAAAGCCTGAAGGGAATAATTTACTCACCAAAACAAATACAATAATCTGTAGTTGTTCTGGTGACTAGTGTCCCTTTAAGACTTTGGTGTTCCACTACTGGAAATACCCCCAGAATACAGCAACAGCCACCTTGTAAAACTGCCAGATTTTTGAGATTAAAGACAAATTTATAGACCTGCCAATTGTGCCCTACCAGGCTTAATGGTCAACCCATTTGAGAACGTATCTGGCATCTGCTATTAACCTCATGCTGTGTCCTTGGAAGCTCATGTATTGTAATAAATGTGGAGGTGTATAATTATTAAATATAATATATATTTTCAGGATGAAAGTGTGGTGAAGTTGACCCAAGAACTAGCAGCAAAGTTGAATCTGAAAATCAGAAAAGCGTATGTCAGAGCCCAGGTACAGACTTTAGTGGTGGTATGTCTTCATAACGAATAGTAAGAGTTAATATATTTTTTTTTTTTAGTTTGAATAACTTTTATGCATCATGTCTTCCAGCCGGATCTGCAAATGTGTGCTATTGATGTAACAAGTAAGGTAGTGTATGTGCTTTGGCTTTGATATTCTTTGGCAAGAATAATCCAAATTGGTTGCATTGTGATCTTAGTGCATCTGGATCAAGTTAATAACCTGAAAGCTGTACTTGAAATTTATTTAGAAGTATATTAACATAATTCAGAGTTGTTGGATGGAAAGCTATTGTATGGCATGCTACAATAGCAAATTTAATGGTGTTTTCAAAATTGTCTGCTTTTATGCTGCCTGCACAGCTTGTAGTTTCCTCCCCCCCTGATCACCACCACTTCGCACTTCATATTCCAATAAGCATTGGTTGATTAATCTTATATCTATGTGGCAGTCTCTTCCTCTAGGCTCTGGGGCAAACTGTACTTGCAAGCAGTGATAACTGATACTGTGAAATATGTACTGCATTTCATGTCTTGTTGTTGAACTTTTAATCCTAATCTTTTCAGTGCTGTTAGTGTTGTGTCTGTACTCTTTCTTTCCCTGATAAATATTGAAACAATTGGTGGTTATCAAAGTAGTTGTATTGAGAAATATTCCCCCTCCCCTTTCTGCAAGAGCATTAAAAACTGCTCATAATGCTGAATTTTCTGTATTGTTTTGTATCAAAGGTACTGTTGCCAAGTGTGTAGTATGCAAATTGTCTGTATGGCGATCTATGAATTATCTAGAAATCAGTTGTGACTTTTTTTTTTTTCCTTGTACTTAAAACTTTCATATTAGCAGTTCTAGAGCTTGTACATAACCCCCTTGTTTTTCTTAATGTTGGTATTCCTTCATTACTTCAGGGTATCAAATTTTATTTTTATTTGCAGACCCCAAATACCCTAGCAGAACAAATTGAGCCAGGTGAGCATTTTTAACTGTGTGATGTATTCTATTGGCCATGAAAATTCACGTGTTTGAATTTGTTTTGTAATTTTAAAGGGTAAGTCTAGTGTGGGGAAAAAAGACACATTATTTTTATGCATTATATGGGTAAAGTATGGAAAAATGTGCCAAGAATCAAAAATAAGTTGCATAACTTTTTAGTGTTCCTCTGTGCACTGGTTACTGGGTAGATTTTAAAATTGTTGGATCACTTCCACACCAGACTGAGACACTGGTCTTTGCTGGGCAAATTTGTGAGTATATAATAATGCATATAACATGCAACAAAAACTTTAAAAGAAGACTTGGCTTGTAACCGAAGGCCTGCAGTTATGCTGCACTTGTTACTGTACTTTTATTATGGCTTCTGGGTATTGCTTCATAGTTGCCTTTTTTTGAATTACTGTAACTGAATTTATTTCATCATAAATTTGCTCTTGCAGACATAACTGAACTTACTTATGAGGCTCCTTTTTCGTCCTTTCAACCACTGACCGTTGCTTCTGACTCGAGTGATTTTGTTTCAAATCCAACCTCTATTTCACCCAACGTCCACTCTGATTCAATGTCTTTCCCATCTGCACTTGCCTCTAATGGAGCTTCATCTTCCTTTTCAATGTCATATATGCGTGATGGAGATATAATTGGTGATGAGTTGGATCACATCCTTGATTCTGTACCAGATTCTAACAATCTAAACCTGGTAAGATTGATGTGATTGTGCATTGGAGAAATTTCCAATATATTACAGAATGTTTGTTTATGCAATCTATAAATATAATCTATATTCCCCTTCACATGTAGAAATATAATACAGGGTCATAGACAATATAAATGCAATGTAACAAAGAATCCTAAAAGTGCCTCAAGGCCCACGATAGGCTTGGACATCTTCAGTCGCAGACTTGCACCTTAAAAAAAATTAATAAAGGTAAAACAATTTACTTGTTTGAAGACTTCCATGTTTTGTTTACACTTTTGAGTGTAGGGGTAACTATGATAAATAAAATCGTCCTTAAATTACATTTTTTTTCCTAGTGTGATAAAAGTAAAATCTGTGTCAAGTTATTTGCACCCAGGAAGAACACGTTACATCTGTAGTCTACGTATTCATCCACCCTCTATGCAAATGTAGCTTCATTACTTTATTATACTATTTATTCCAAAATATAATAATGGTAGGTTAATTGAAGATTAGGTATTTAATGCTGGATGTTAAAGCAGAGCCCATTGTAATCTTATGAATGCAACTCATTCTTTTTTCAGTCCAGTGGTTTAGTGCCAGCACCACTATCCAGCTTTTCCAGTGACCTGCCTGATCTAATGCCGGGTTTTCACAGGTTTTCATTATCCGATATATACTCCCATTCTCTGACCTCAGCATTTGACAGCTTTTCCCTTAATTCCTTGTCTTCAGTGGACTCCCAAGGAGGTAATGGCATTCATCCAGTCAGTATGATTTTTCATGATTTACAACTTATTAAAAAGCTTGTTCTCACATCCGTCCTTACAGTTGGACTCTAGACCAAGTAATTTAAAAGAACCATATGACAAAATTTTGGGCTTGACCAATATCTGCGATTTGGTAAATTGTGATATTTGCTTTGTGTTTTTATCTAGGGCTTTGAGAATTTGTATTTTTTATTTTAAGAATAGTCATGGTTACATGTTAACATGATTTTCTGTCTTGATTCACTTTGAAATGCCTATACGCTGTATTAAAATGTTGGCTTTTAAGGCATATTTGATATGATGGGAAAGTTTCCATAAACTCCCTTTTTATGTTTTTAAAAAAAGGGGGAAAGAGGAAAGTCATCCATAGACACCCCCCCCCCCTCCCCCAGCGTTAGAAACATTTACTTGCCTCTAATGCAATTTCAAGACCATCTTCTCAACACATCTCTCCTCTGTCCCAGGAGACAATCACTAGTAATATTCTCTGGGCTAGTGCAGTGCTTCTCCTAAAGAAGCTTTGGATACAGGGAACTTGTGCGACAATCCCCACAATCCACTTAGATGAGCATTTAAATGTTTTTTCTATGGGAAACAAAGACCACCCTCACAGCTGTCTGGTTAATAGCAATGTGCTGATTTCTCACTTTACATATTCAGTGACTTTCAGTTTCCTATTATAAAATGTATTTCTGTTTTAAATGCCTTTTTTTAGGTCACCTGAATGGAGCATTGAATTCATGTTTGATTGACCCTTCTAGTTTTACAGTGAGTGATTTTTTTTCATTATAAAAACATATAAAATGTGTGAAATTAAAGGGACACTAAGCACCATAACCACTTTACTTCTTTTTTATAAACCATTGCTTAAAAAAAACAAAAACAAAAAAAACCTCCCTTCTGTTACTGATTCCTGCAGTTGTAATCCCCACCCCAATGTACTGTCATCACATGTTCCCATTATCCATAGTCAGTGTAGTTTGTGCTTTGTCCTCACGAACAATCCATTATTGTAACTACTTGGCTGCTTGAAAAGAAATTGCTGAAAACCTTGTGCTGTCGTTTTGTTTTATAGTTTTAAAACGGATGCTGGAAATAATGCATTAATTTCTGGAATGTCACTTCACAGAATGTTATTAAATCAGTAAGGTTCCTTCACAAACTGCTACCTAGAGATTTGATATTACTCCTTGTTTTTCTTCCAGGTCACCTCATCCTATTTCTCTCTACCTGAAAGTCCACCCAGAGCTTCAGAGAACATGATGAAAACCTCTATGCTAGAAGGCTTGGGCAATGGAATGTCATCTGTTACATACTTTAGCACTCACTCAGTCCACAATCCACTAGAGGATACACATGAGTTCAGACAAGCTTGTCAGTTGTGCTTGTCCAATGCAGGTGAGTTTAGATTAAAGTATGTAATAACTAAATATTCTAAACATTTACTGTTAATAATTTTATTTTTGGTTTGTCCTACCTGCAGTCCACTTTATTAGACTACTAGTTCTACATGGAAACACTTCTGTAAGCAGGGCGCACCTTTTCCCTGATGCTGACATTTTACAGAAATAAAGGAACAATTAATTCAGCAAATGCAAGATGTATTCACCAAAGAAATATCACAGCAACTGCATTGCTTGCACTGCAGTTGCTGTGACAGCAGGCGAACCACCATATGGATGATAATTCTCCCCCTTATTAATGGAAGGCTATTCATTGGCATTTTAATAAACAAGATCTCTTCAATGCACTGCTTTTTTTCAGTAGACATTATAAAATCCAGGAAATCTTATTTCAAGTGTGTTCTTTGTATTTTATGTCAAGATTGTGTTCTGTTTTTAGGCTTAAAATTTCAATGTGTCAATGTTAATTTAAACTTGGATCATAAATGCAAAAAGGACATTTTTATTGGAAGAATAAAAAACTCTATGGACAGTTCATGGAAAAGAATAAGACCAAGACCAACAAAGAATCAATATGTGGGACCCTTCTATATATGTAAAGGTACAGTCATTTTAAATTACTCCATTTGAATTCCCACTACATTTCTTGCCTTCGTATAACTTTCCACCAACATATTAACTTGGCTCAACAAACTATTAATGATGTGGGAGGTTGACTCCTCATCCTGTCTATTTGAGTTGATAAAACAAAGCTGTTATAAAATTGTAGCAAAACCATATTTTTAAGTTTGAAAACTGTTTTATGCAGCTTTCCAAACTAGTGTAAAAACTGGAAAAAATATATAAACATATGTTTCCAGTGCGATTTTAAAATGCCATTTACTTTGCCCTCGTTTGCTTTCTCAAATTGTCGTAGAATGAACCTTCGTTTTTCATTTCCCCCTTGTGATTTTTAGATGTTGCTCAAGGAGGTGAATGCACATACCCAGGACACTGCACATTTGCCTACTCGCAAGAAGAAATTGATGTGTGGACGCTTGAGAGAAAGGGGACGTTTTGCAGAGAAACACTTTTTGGAGGAGATGGCAAAGTCCGCCTTACAATCCCATACTTACTGCAGGAATACCCTGGAAATTTTATGTTTCTCTGTGAGGTAGTTAAATAGAAATGTCGCAAGTTTGCTTTTGAACCGTTCAAGTGTCGTTTTTCTAAATCAAAGTTTAATTTTTGTGCATTTAGTGTAGCACAAATTATTTTATATAATGCTTCCCTAAAGGGTGCAGCCAGGGCATTAATTTTAATGGAAAACTTGGCTAAGTTTCCTACACTTATCATACAACTTGATAAAAGTCAAGGTGACCTGTAAGGTTTTATAGTTCGGAAGGCATGCATACATACTTATCCTTTTTCATATGGTGATTCACGCAACTGTTAAATAGAGAAACCTTTCCGATTTTGCACCTATGCTGTCTTTATGAAGATAAGTGTATACATGTGCTTTGTAACTCCTTTGTTCTAGTAAACCACAACAATATAAACGCATATATGGATGTTTCCACTACTTTTAAATCTAATCTGATCTTTTTAATGTTTGGTTTGGTTCCATTCCTCTTGAATGACAATCCCCTTTAAAGTTTAGACTCTTAGGAGTTATTTTATGCAGCAGCCAAAGGGTTATACTTCCCTAAATCACTGCATGCATTTCGATGTATGAACCAGACTGTCTCTCTAACAAATTATTCGAAGGTAGGTTTTTAAAACCAGATCAACCGTTTTGAGAAAGTAATGTCCTACAAATGCAGAGGCTTGGGGCAATGGAAAACAGAATGTGAAAACTGACAAACCTGTAGAACCAATTGCATCTTTTCCTTAAACCACAATTGATAGTATAGTAAATGTGAACTTAATAAATCTTGGTTTTTGCATTTTATTTTAATTTGGTAATGTTCTCTTGTATTCCAGAAATGTTTTGAGCACAAACCCAGAATTATTAGCAAAGAAAACAAAGATTCACCACAGTATTGTTCTCATCCTGCTTTAAGACATGATTTCAATGATAACAAGTAAGTATTAACCAAATAAATTCCTTAGTCCAATCTTGGAGTGAAAAAAGGACTCCTCCAATATCAGTGTAGTAAAATGGTGCAAATTCCTCAATGTAGCTAAAGTGATTAACTGGGGGGGGGGGAATCTGAGGCTGAAGCATTTCAAAACTATAGTGTTAAAATGAAATATTATATGGTTGCACCATGACTACAGAGTTTTGAAGTGGTCATGGTGCCTGGACTTCGTGTGTGCAGCATTTCCCTATGGCTGCACATGGAGTTATACCCTGTCAAAGGGGTTAGATAAAAAAAGTTAAAACCAATATCATACACCAGCCAGTGGTTATTAAATTGTATACTTCTTAAGAGTATTGGATATCCAACTGTGATGTGTTCAGCGAGAATCTATAAAATGCAGAGAAACATAGTGCAGTGTGTATATTAAACACAGTGACAGTATGGGTAACACTCAGGCTCTATATTAACAGCTTCAGGGTACCAATTCTGGCTTAAGGTTGTTAACAGCGACTTGATGCTTCATGAGGTATTTATTTGATATTAATGTTTTTAAATATTTAAAATATTAACGCTCTTCGACTGAAAATTAGTTCATATATAATTTTAATATAAACGCTATGCAGAGTTAGATTTATTGCTGGAGAATGATCAGATGATGCTCATTACCAGGAAACGTGGCAAGGGTACTATAAGTATGTAGTACTTATGCTGTTTGGAGTAATTCTTTAAAAAGTGAAAATGTCACTAAGGATGTTGTGGACTTGCTTTAAACATCCTCCTTTTTATTGAAAAGGGAACTCAAAAGTATTTTTGTCTTCACAAATCATAGTTAATATTTTTTTATTTTTTTGTGTAAAAAAAAATAAATATATATATATTAAAAGTATAAAGTATTGTGCAGATCTGTCTCTCTAATTTCATTGTAGGTGCCTTGTTCACATCTTCAAGGATACTGCTGTAAAATATTTCAAGATCCGTCCATATAATAGTAATTTGTTGTTCGACTTGTGTCGTCATGAAGTTCGCTATGGATGTATGAGAGAAGATGAGTGTTTTTATGCGCACAGTTTAGTGGAACTCCGGGTCTGGGTGATGCAAAAAGAAACCGGTGCTTATCCATTTTTTTTTTTTTTTTTTCTCTAACCTCTATACTATTTCTCTAAAATGGTTTGTTTAAGCTATATTCAATTAGATTTTGTGACACCTGTTGTAGCCCCTTGTTCCTTCAAAAGTATATAAAATGGCTAAGATACAAGGAGTGGGCTGTAAACCCTGAAATTTTCTCTAACATAATCATTATAGGAGCCTAGAAATATCACCTTTATGATAAACGTCCTCTCAAAAAACTGGACAGTGTTCAATGACCATTTTGAAAAAAAATATTTAATAACCTTTGAACTTGGTCTTTGATATTGGTTTCATGAGCTAAAATAAAGATTAAGGCAATGCCATTTACAGTTTGCACGGCTTGATTATTTTTTTTTTTTAATTTTTTTTTTAGTTTAGTCTAGTTTCTTTTTTATGCATTAAGTGTTCCCATACATACTATGTTGTCAGGGGTGGAGGGGTGAGATTTATTTGTTTTTTCCCCTTTCTGCTACCCTATAAAAGAATTAGCCTGCATGCCACAATACACACAGTATCTGCTGTATGTTCACCACAACGCGAATAAGGCAGCACAGATGGCTGCATTAGGACACTCCAGCTGGGGGCGCAGTGTCAGAGGATAATCTAGTGCCCCATTAAAATCGCCAGTATATTAAATTAAAAATCTTATTTGGTGGTCAGATGGTGGAGCACATGATCTGCACTTCTACCTGGTGCAGACCAAATTAATTTATCTTATTCCCTCGTCTACTCCCACCAATATCGACCCCCATACAAACCTATTATATGAATGAAGGCATCATGTGTCCACATATCATGTAAAATACTAAACTTTTATTTTCTTTCCTTCTACTCTGAAAAGCAAAGTGCTCATGGCATGAAATGTTAAAACATTATTTGTCTTGCAGGTATATCCCTTAATGCTATTGTGCAGGAATCTACAAAATACTCTGGTGTTCCGTCTAGTGTCAGTAGACAGCAGGTATTTGTATTTTTAAGCTTATTTTTAAAATCCTAGCTTGCCAAGTAATTTAAGATGATGCAGTGTATATTCATGTATAGGTAGATTTTTATTTAATACTAAGTGAAACTTTTTATTTCAAGCTACTCAATACTCCAAATCCTGGGTATCCAATTGCCAAAATAAAGTTTGTTTGTGGACAATGCTGGAGAAATGGTCAAGTGATGGAGGCAGATAAAAACAGAAAATATTGTAGTGCAAAAGCAAGGCATCCGTGAGTAACCTTTTATGAAACAATCTTGTAAATTCAGTGAAATTTGAGTTATGTATTTCCCGCCACCCCCGCTTTGCATTTCTTTCCTTGTAAAGGTGGACCAAAGATCGTCAAGTAGTCTTGGTTATGTCCAATGAACGAAAAAAGTGGATGACTATTAGACCCTTTCCAACTAAGAAACCTGTTCCACTACAATTTGAGGTAAAAGTTTTTTTTTTGTTTTTTTTTTTTTTGTTTTTTTTTGTTTGTTTTTTATATAGGTGGGGCGGGGGTACAGGTTAGAGCTCACTAGATTTGTTTTGTTTCCTTTATAGTTGTGCAATCATATAGTGACTGGTAAAAAATGTCAGTTTGTGGGAAATTGCTCCTTTGCCCACTGCCCAGAGGAGAAGGATATCTGGACTTATATGAAAGAACATGGCAGTAAGTCGTTCCATTTGTTTTTAGTTTTTGTCTTTGGCGAAAAAATTAACAAGCACTCCATTTCGTCGGCAAGTTTATGCCTTTTATTTCCGTTCCTGACATTCTCAATGTAGCGAAGTTGCCGCACTAAGAACCTCCAGAGAAGTGAACAGACTGACCATCTGTATTTATCTCCTTTGGATGGAGCTGCAGTAGCTGATGGGGAGTGGGGAAAGTCAGAAGTTCAATATCCCCTGCCTCTGTCTTCAATGTGGCACAGAGGGGGATGCAATATGACCTCCCAGCAGGAAAGCAGCCAGCACACACGCATAGCCATCCTAATACAGAGCAAATGGAGAGTGGCTGAAGTGCCTACATAGAGAAGCAGAGCTGCTGTGCTAGAAGTCAGCCACCCTCCGGTACGCGGAAGGGGGCTGAGGAGAAACTATATTCCACTCTCCCTCCCAGTCAGATGGGCCGATTTTAGTAATCAGTCAGCCAACCTCCAATTCCCTTGTCTGGGAGGGGGGCTGGCTTCTATCACTGAAATCTTCCCAGAGAAGAGCAGTGAAAAGCAATCCTCAGGGGAATAGCCGCACTTAACACTTACTATATATGTCTGTCAGACCGTATATTTTGCTGACCATATATTTTGGGGTCTAAGTGTGTGGATATGTCTCTGACAATTTATATAAGTGTGTGTCTGTGTTGCACTGAATATTGAGGTTTGTCTTTCTGGCAGCTGCATCAGCAAGTATCTGGAATCTGTTATTGCTGATGCAACTGCCAGAAAGACAAACCTCAATATTCAGTGCAACGCAGACACACAGATATAAATTTTCAGACACCGACATATATACACACACTTAGACACCAAAATATACGGTCTGACAGACTCTCATATATTGCTTTTTTGGGACACACTGCTAAAGTGTGTCTCTTTAAATTTACACTATAGTCACCTATAATGTAGTTGTTCTGGTGATAATAATCCTTCCCTGTAGGCCTTTTCATGCTAACACTGCACTCCTTATATGGCTAATGGAGGTGCCTCCTAGGGCACTGCTGCTGTTCAGTGTCTCTACGCTCTGCTTGGAAATACTGAATTTTCCTCAGATTAATTGATTCAATGCATTCCTATGAAGAGATGCTGGTTTGCCAAGCCAGCATTTGGACCCACCACTGTCCTGCCTCCTTGCTGATTTCAGCCAATCAAATGATTTCCCTATGGGAAAGCATTGGATTGGCTAAAAATCATAAATTCTGATGTCAGCCAGGAGGGGGATCGCAGGTGGGGACAGTCTTGTCTTGTTTTTTCTTCAGGGGCTAACAGGGAACAAACAACCCAAATGGGTGTAACACTATATGGTGTTCCTGACCCTATTGTCTTTAAGACCTCATGGGCACACTTTTCAGGGTGATCAGGAAGAAATAACAGCGATTTCCCCCTTCTACTGTGGCCGCACGGACCTCAGTAGAGTATCTTCTGTATCCTTTATCTAGTCTAACTGGAAGCACCTAACTAATACTGTCAGACTGGGTAGAGGATACAGAAAATCTACAGTGGTCCACGTTGCCATGCTACAAGGTGGACCAAAGGAAGAGATCAGTCTCCTCTCTTCAACTCAACTTTTAATTGGTAGGTCAGTTATTAAAATCTTATTCTAAAGGTGTGGCTTTTTTTTTTTTTTTTGCAAACTATAACCAGTCCAGTGACATTGCCTCTTTTATATACAAGAACCAAGCAGTACATGTGAATTGACACCAAAGATTGCATTAAATGTTAACAATGAATGAGATCAGTAAAGTGTTGTATGGTCTGGAAACCTTGGAAAGTTTAGCATTCCTCAGATAAGCTGTTTGTGTCTTGTCTTTATCTGCAAGGCTTTTTTTTTTTTTTTTTAAAGTGACTGTTTCTGTAGACTTTTTAATATGGATCTTGTATTCTGTTATTCCCATAACGATGGTAAGTCAGTCTTGGATAATGCTATTCAAGATTTGTGTTTTTAATATACTTAGTCCTATATCATTGTACATTTTCTGATTTGAACCAAGCTTTGATTATTTTTAATTTAATGACCGAAGCAAGTTTTGTTTGTGTTCAGCCACAATTTCTATATTTCTCATTTATTGCACCAACACAAACAGGGTTTTTTGTTTGTTTTTGTTTAAAGGAGGCATACTGAAGAGAGCTATGTAGCTGTGAGGCTTAGTAGGCCAGTTACATAGGCTGAAAAAAGACTTGTATACATAAACTTCAGCCTTTATAACATTTTAATTCTGCTGTTGATCCAAAAGAAGGCAAAAACCCAGTTTGAAGTGCTTTCCAATTTTGCAATACCAGGGGAAAAAATAATTCTCAACCTCAGAATTGCAGTCTATCTCTCAAGAAGCTGTTAACCCATATCTTACTTGCATCCCTGAATATTATGCTTTTGCATGAATTAATCCAGTTGTGGTTTAAACATCTGTATAGACTTTTATATAAACTCCTCTTCAGGCTGCAAATTCAATCATTCTTACTGTTAAGAACCCTTTTTTCTTTGCCTTATGCTAAATCTAATTTCTTGCAGTATAAATCGGTGAGCTAGTGTTCTGTGTATATTCCTATTTATGAATAAATCTACAGGATAGGATTGGTTTTGGCCCTGAACACATTTATATAATGTTATTACCACTCTGAGGCAAAATTTAAAGATTTACGTTTGTTAGCCTTCCTTTATAAGCGGCACTGTCATGCCGAACTTACCTTTCTTCAATCTCTTCCTCTTCTCCCCCTCTCTCAGGATCTGTTCTTCTTTTCTTCCGGTCTTCTTTAGTTTTCTTTAAAATCATAAGACAAAGTAGGGACTCTTTGCCTTATGGAGGTTTCCTCCGATTGACCAGCGGAGGAGCAAAGTGTGCTTCATTAATGCTGGTCAGAGCAATTTTCCCATGATCCTTAACTTTCCTCCCTGTTCCCACGATGCTTCCTGTCAGTATTGCCAAACATCCTGTCACTTAGACAGAACGTGACAAGAATTACATCCTTACAGAATGAGAACAGTTTCTCCATTCGTGTTCGGACGCAATTCGGGACTTTGTTCGGATCGCAATTTCATTCAAACGAATGAAACTCTGATCCTATTTGTGCTGTGGCTGCATCTTGCAGCCGCTTAGTAGATAAATCCCTAATTCCCACGTTATTAGGGAGTTATCTACTGAAAGACCTAAATTGGTCTTTCAGCCAACTTTACTAATAATAAGTAAAGATTACTTGGTATTAGTAAATTCTGCCCCTACTCGCTATACTGTGATTAGGGGCATGTCTATTAAACAGTGAGCAGCCTGTGGCTGCTCACTGTTATAAAAAAACCAAAAAAAAAACCCTACTAACTGATAACAATTGGGGGGGGGGGCACCTATTGTCCTCCCCCACCCATGGGTGACAGGTGGGGGCCCTAAATGACAATGAGGAGGAAGGCCTACTGTCCTTCCTCCCCCCCACCCCTGAGCGGTGGGTGGGGGCCCCACTAAAAACCACAGGCTGGCTCACTCTTTAGTGGACATGCCCCTAGTCGCGGTATAGTGAGTAGGGGCATTGGGGAGATTTTAATCTCCCTCATACTATTATGGGGCTCATATTGACCCCCATAGAGTGAGGGGAGGACCTGGGGGGCTTATGAAGTGGCGGGGAGCACTGCTCCCTACCGCTTCTATGTTTAAATATTACAAGGAGGGAGCTGCGTGCCGGTAGCTCCCTCCTTGTAATAAACTGAACGAACAAACGAACACTGATTCAGTGTGTTAGTCTGACATTTCTATTCATTCATTCGGCTTTCTAATGAATGAATAGATGAAATTCCAGTTTGTATATCCAAGTGTTTAGCTGGGCATGTGCAGAATTCTCAGTCTGTCTACCCACACAAAGATGGCGGCGCCCTGAATATAGATCGGAGCAGAAAATATTAAATAGGTAATATGGGGGGCTTAGGGGCATTTGGGGGTGACTAGGGGGTCAGTTAGAGATAGTGGAGGGGGTTTAAAAAAAAAACTGGATTCGGCAATGACAGTGCAGCTTTAATCTAATTTTGTAGCCCGTCTCGGCACTTTCTATTGCCAGAATATCAGCGTTTAGAACAGGTGGCCAAAATTGGACAGCATACTCTTGCTTAAATTTCTATTTTCACCATGAGAATTATTGGCCCTTTTTGTTCTTTATTGGCCTAGCAACTGCTGATTGACATTGGACTAGTTTAACATTGCCTAGATTATATATTTATAAAATTCGCTCCAGATGTGAAATATACACCTTGGCTTATTCAAAGCTCTAGTGTAGCTGCCACTGGACTAATGGAGAGCTACTATATAATAGCACATTCTAAAAGGCCAAACAGATCATTAATAAATGGATGTTCCATTTGACCCACCTGTAAAAGTAATATTACACTTTCTGTTATTTTAGCTGTTTAATACCATCTTTTAATTATAGTCTGAATACATGTGACTGCAGAAGAGAAGTATAGCACACTTGAGGGATCTTACTAGTGTCCACTCAATGCCCTCTGTACTGGTAATGTGGTTCTTTCAGGTTAAACGGTCCCCCTTGTTGGTGGCAGCAAAAACTGTACAACATTTTGCAACAGGCATGCAAATCTAAATTCATGACAGAGGCAGATCTAGTTTTTTATTTTATTTATTTGGGGTGCCTTATTTGACTGGAGGTCAAAACCTAGTTTGATAAGTGTTCAAAACTTGCCCCATTACAGTCTATAATGAATGCGGTGGCGAGGCTCATCTTCCTGTCCGCCTGCACCTTCCACACCTCCCCCTTTGTCAGTCCCTACATTGGCTTTCCGTTTGATATGGGACTCCCATCCTGATATTTGCTTACAAATCTCTACACAATGCTGCTGCGACCTACTTATCCTCACTAATACACAAATGTCCCATCTAGGCCCCTACGCTCTGCCGGAGACCTACATCTAACCAGTTAGTACTCCTACCTCTGCTCACCTTAAAGACTTCTCTAGGACTGCACTATTCCTATGGAATGCCCTTCCCCCCCTTTCTTAGAATTTTACCCAATCTCCAATCCTTCAAAAAAAACCTTTGAAAACGTACGTTGGGAAACAATGTCAATTAAACTGTAAACAGCTTTCACTCCCTGCACCCTGAATCATCTACTGAAACTCATCAAAACAAATCACCTCAATCAACCTTATCCTAGCAACCCACTTTTCTACCCTACCCTTACCTTTTGTGTCACAATACACCACTCCCTCTAGCATGTAAGTTCCTTGAGCAGGGCCCTCAGCCCCTCTGTTCCTGTGCATCCAGCTTGTCTGGTTACAAATACGTGTCTGTTAGTACACACATTGTACAGCGTTACAGAACTTGTTGGCGCTTTATAAATAATAAAGTATTAATGTCTGATTTGATTCTTATCAGTTCAGGACATGGAACAGTTGTATGAAAACCTGACAAAGAGCAAGAGGTCTGGAAAAGAGGTCACTACCCAAACGACAAAGCAAATTGTTCTTCCCACTGATTATGCAGAAACTACAGTAAGTAGCCATGTCAGAATGGTGTCCATATGGCTTGACAAACATACATGTTTTTTGAATGGGACCACAGCTTTTTAGTGGTTCCCCTGTCCAAGGCTTAATATTTAGAGAATCTGAGCAGCATAAGGACAGGGGGGCAAGCGATCAGGCACTGGATACTGAACTTTGGAGTTAAACCATTTCAGAATGGTTTAACCCAGTGGTTCCAAAACCTGTCCTCAAGGCACTCCAACCAGTCCAGGATTTGGGGATTACCCGGTTGTGTGTAAGGTGTCTTTAGAAAAAAAAAAAAACACCTTGGACACAACTGGGTAATCCCTAAATCCTAGACTGGTTGGGGTGCCTTGAGGACTGGTTTTCGAACCCCTAAAGAATAGGAAGTGCCAGGGATCTCCTGGCACCATAGCAAGTGTTCCCAGTAGTTGATATAATGTGCTTTAATACTTCCATATGTGTATGGTACATATATCTAATCGTTGTACACTTTCTGTTTGTTTAGGTTGATTTTCATTGCTGGCTCTGTGGCAAGAATTGCAATAGTGAACGCCAATGGAAGATGCATATTTCTTCAGAAAGGCATAAGGAGAAAGTATTTCACTCAGAGGATGATCAAAGCATCTGGCAGCACCGCTTCCCTACAGGATGTTTTAGCATATGTGAAAAGTAGGTATTTTCCTGCAAACATTTTGCAAAGTATTTAGATGCAGTAACAGATATTGATGGACTACCATTTTCTATTCATTTCAATCTCATCTGTTAACCTTAAAGGAGTTCCATCACTGACACACTTTCCTTCTTCCCCCTTGGTTATTCTTACCAGTTTCCCTTTATCCCTTTTGTTTCCTCATCTTTCCAAGGAGGTGATGACCTCAGACCTTGTGTCTAGTGTGAGCCGAGCTGGGCTAGTATTTTTTATTTTATTTATAAAATATTTTACCAGGAAGGATACATTCTAGATTTCTCTCATTTTCAAGCATGTCCTGGGTCCACAAAACATTGCATTGGTACAATAAAATACAAAAAACTATTAATACGCAAGATATCATTTTTTTTAACATAGAACAGGTAAGAAACATATATAATTAACGATTACAGGTGCATTCTGTTTTGAGCTATGTAGAGCTGGATCTCTCAAATCTTCCCCAAACCTAAAATCCTTTAAGTGTGCGGGGGTCGTTCCATAATCGCGGCTGCTTTCTTTTTGTATTGAGGTAGACTAAAGAGCTGGTACTGGATCGGAGGTTATAGGAGATGGGAACAGCCGGGGAGAGCATTCTGCTCAGGATGGGTGGGAGCTTCCCAGAAAAGCTCTTGAACACAAGGCTGGAAAGCTGAAGGGTGCGTCTAGATTCCAGCGACAGCCTGTTTAGTTCCTTTAGCATATCACAATGGTGGGTCATATAATTGTACTGTAGCACAGTGTCAGAACGAGTTATACAATGTATTAAGCTTATTTAGGTGAGTTTGTGGTGCAGGTGCATATACTACATCCCCCATAATCCACGTATCCAAGTATTTGAAAGAGTGGACTGCAGTCAGTGTGCTATTTGATTTTGTTTTGATTCGTATTTGCAGACATTAGGCAGATCATTTATAAATGTGAATAGTAGGGGGCCAAGAATGGAATCTTGGGGAACACCACACGTGACTGGCAAAGCGAGGGAGTTGCTGTCCGAAATGGACACCTATTGTGATTGATCGATGCATATGATCAAAACTAGGTTAGCGGACGATCACCATTACCGGAGTTTTGTGGTTATTTTTTTTTTTTTTTTGTGCAGTAGTTTGTCAAAGGCCTTTGCAAAATAAAGGAAAATGGCTCCGGTTAGGTCTCCTTGTTCCATGCCAGTTTGGCTGTCATTGCAAACTTTTAAGAGGGCAATTGTAGTTGTGATTCAGGTGAAAGTCTGATCAGGGGTCAGTTTAATTGTTGGTAATACTCACATGGTTGCGCATGGACAACTTTTCGAATATTTTTGACAATACTGGGAGCAATATGTGGCGATAGAAACCAAAGTAATGTCACCACTTTTATGGATAGGCACTACTCTTGCAGTCTTCCAAAGTATGGGTATGTATCCAGAAACTAAGGATTCATTAATTAGGGTTGCAATAGGTTTAGGAATTGTCGGCGCACTGAGGTTTAACAGCATTGCTGGGGCTTGATCAGGTCCAGACTGGTTTTTCATTTAGATTAAGGTGTTTCCTAATGACATTAATAGGTACAGGTCTAAAAGTGAACATCTGTATATTGGGTTTTTGCAAGCTCAGTGGGGCTTGATCCATATTTGTAGTTTCAGGATGTCATGTATTGGCTTGGCAATTAGGGTGGTGGAGCATCCAACAAAATTGTTAAAGGCATTTGCTACATGTAAGGGGAGTTGCAGGGCTGGGTTGTCCACTTTAACAGTGGAGGGTTGGGAGTGGATTGGGGCAGTTTGTAGGTGATTTATGATTTCCCAAACGTTTCTAGGGTTTGAGGTTATTCATATTTTTACTGAAATATTGGTTCTTTGCCAACTTTGTTTTGTGCAATTTTGTTTTGTATTAAGTCAAGCATGACCTGCTGGATAGTTTTTTCTTGTCTTTCATAGACTATACAATGGTTAGATATCCTTTGGCATTCCAGATGTTGTGGTCTAGATCTCCTGCAAGAGCATTATGGCCCTCCATAACATCAGGAGTGCTGACGTTGCCTATCCCTGGACTAAACTAAGGGGGTCTTAACAGCAAATAGCAGGCTAGATCTTCCTAGTTATGTTCAGGCAAAAGCTAGATGGAGTCCTGCACTCAAAACTAGAGAACATGCTCAGCATCTGAAATTCTAATAAACAGTGTGTTGCTCCCATCTTTGATTAGCTCAGGCAAAATACCAGCAAAGAACTGACAACTCACTGAAGGTGGGTCTGAAAATAAAGTAAATGTTAAATAGCTAATTAAGCCTTGGACTGATCAAGAAGTAATGGCTCTTATTCCACGTCACCAAACTGAGTGTGACAAATGGGTCTGCCTGTCAGCACTACTGGGTACTTTCTGACATTACCTAGTTATTGCAGGTTGATTACTTTGTCCTTCTGGGTCAAAGGCTAAACTCCCTTTGCTATAATCAGGGTGAAGTTGGGAGTTATCAAGACCATTTATTCAGTTTTTGAAAAGAGAAAATTACAATTAACACTTTCGGCAGAGGTATCAACACCATATGTGGCATAGTAAGTTAGGTTGAATAAAGTTCAACCTTCTTGAAACCCATTCTTTTAAGCCGTTGATCCAAAAGAAGACATAAAACCCAACTATAGCAATTTGCCATTATGCCACAAAACAAGACCTCTAATTGCAATTATGCAGTCAATAAATATTTCCCAACTTGCCCTCCCCTCCCATTCATAATGGATAACCTCTTGTCTGTTTTATATTCCTGCTAATGAACAGGTTGGCACATAGCGGTTTGTATTGACAATATATATTTGCCAAACACAGATGTTGAGCTCACAAGTCTATACTTCCTCTTTTGCAACTGTCACTAGTCTAATACTATCCTTACCTTTTTGTCACTTTACCCCACTCCCTCTAGCATGTAAGCTCATTGAGCAGGGCCATCAATCCCTCTGTTCCTGTGTATCCAACTTGTCTGTTTACTACTACGTCTGTTCGTCCACCCATTGTAAAGTGCTGCAGAATTTGATGGCACTATATAAAAACATAATATACTGTAACCGAGTAAACTTGCAGAAGCCAGACACAGAGATGGATGCAGGTCTTCAGGAAGTAAAAGGTCTTTATTAACATACCGATTGGGTCTCAGATGAACTAACGTTCCAAAACAGGTCTGAGGGCCGAACACATGGAGTACATGCTTTTTATAGAACTATAGCTCCACCCGCACATACCCTTAACCAATCGGTGGACAGGATCTGGATTTCCTTATATGGGCAGACCACATGGCTCATCCGAAACAAAGGAGAAAGGAATGTGATTTCAGTTCCTGCATTCCTGCACATACTCAGTAGATTGATGACCGTATCTTAGCTACATGTAACTGATACAACATACACGTATACTTATGCCATGTGGAAATCTCTGCCTACTAAATTTACATTTCACCGAAATTCCATCACAATACTTTCCTGGTTGAACTTGTACACGTTTATATTTGGAAAAAAAGTAGGAAACTTATTTTTTTCCTTTTCAATCCTCTATTTTCACTTTTCAGGGATCATACCAATGGTATGGATATTTCTACAATAGTCTCCCTAAGTAACTAAGCCATTTTGAAGCCCCTCTTGGAATGCTTACATTTTTAATGTTATTGATCATTCTGACTTAAATGTTTTGATGCCCTTTATTGTTACTTGACTGGCCTCTTTAATAAGCCACACTGGTTTAAATGTGCTAATTCTAGAATTGTTTCCAAATCTTATGTAATATTGCAGAAGTGATGCTATTGGTAGGTGGCAAAGATGACTTGACGTGCTAAAAATATTTGAATTCACAAACAATTGTATAACAAAACTTATCTACTTAAATCTTTTACTTTAGGTTCCTATCTGGTACATGTTCTGATGGAGAAAAATGCAAATATGCCCATGGAAATGCAGAACTTTTGGAATGGAATGAAAGAAGAAAAGTTCTACGCCAGAAACTATTCAAAGTTCGCAAAGATCAGCTGATTAATCCAGATGATAATGACTTTGGAAAATATAGTTTTTTGATTAATGATTTAAATTAAGCTCAAGGATAAAAGATTGAATAGAACCAAAGCGCTCCCAACAATGTCAGAACAGTAATCTTTGATGAAAAGCATTATGTAAGGCAGTATAAAGTGTATGAGTTTGTAACTTGCTGTAAGAAGAGCAAGAACAAGGCAGTGCAACTCTTCGGTGTGTTACTGGTATGGTTACCAGCAAAGAGAACAGAGCAATATTTTAATGTGCCATCTCAAATGGGTATTTTAGAGGTAGTCAGTTTTATTGTGTTGAATTAACAAAACTGCTGTAATTCAAAGACTTAAACCGCATTTCCTTGAATGAAAGCACTTTTGTTTTAAAAGATTATCCCCAATCAGGCAGTTGACAAAATCAAAACCCAGAAAGACCATTTATATAGCGGTATTGGTAGCACAGATTTCTAAAGCTTTTTTTTTTTTGCATATATCGCAAATTGTATTGAGTATGCTAAATATTTTTACTTTTTTCATATATACTTGATTTTTATTTTATATTTTCCCTTCAGTTTACACAAGTATGATAGAATCGTTAAATGGCAACCCTTTTATTTCGATCATGAGTGAAGGGAAACCGTACAAATAGTATTTACTCTTTAGGATTACTATACTTAATGGTTTTGTTTAATCACCTATAAGCTTTCACTTGTATCCAAAGCAAGGTAAATCACACAAATATTGGTCACTCTGCTTTTGGATTACTACTCTAGTATTCTCTAACCATTGCAAAATTAGATGTTAATTGTCATGGGGACTTAAAACTGAGGGATCCATTTCACTAAATGATACAAAATATTAAGCTTTTAAAACATGCAAAATGAAAACCCTTCCAGTATTTTGTGCAAAGTTTCTGTGATGCAGTTGATGAAAGGACATCTGTAACTTAGAAGAGAACTTGAAGTGTGCTGTAATGGTTGTGGTGCCATGAGTTCCCGGCTTCCTTTCCCTCTATAAGGAATTGGTTTACTAATCGTTGGGCAGTTTACCTTGCTTCTGTGTGGTTCTGGTCACTTCCTCCATTGAGATCTGGATATTCTGCCTGGCTTTCATGAGCCATGCCAAACCTGCTCACTAGCTGAGAGTGTCACCCAAGACTGGCTCTGTTAGTGCAGGGTTTAGCTCCATTAAAAGCTCCAGCTCTCATGAAAGAGGTGACCGCACCCAGCTGACTCTGGTGCAGGATGGCAAATGGTTTGACTACATACAGTTGGGGAGTGCCAGGCACCATAACCACTACATCACTTTGTGGTTATGGTGCTTGCTGTGTTTAAGATTGAGTGATCCACTTAAGTTTGTTCTGCATGTAAAACACAATATACTGAGGATTTTAATGTTGTATGGGTAACTTCTGAGATATGCAGTTTGATATAAGAAAAAAGTAATCACAGAAAATGATGTGGAATCTTGTTCAGCGTGTAAATCTGTAAAATATACTGAAAGAATTCTCATTTGGTACATATTTTGCAAAGACCCCCTAAGTTTATATTATCGCTTTGCTTTTACCCCCAGGAAAGATCATGTGATAATGTCAAGGTCTCTCTCACTGAGGCTGCTGTCTCAGTCCATGGTAACTCTAAATTGCATGCACAAAAGTAAAACCGAGAGATCTATGGATGGTGACACAGGACTACAGGATCCTCCATAAAAACTAATCAATCTCAATGAGATGCAGGTTAACAGAAGTTACCTGCAAACTGACAAAAGTAGACACTGGATGCACTGCTGACGCCAAGTTATGCCATCCTCTGTTTTCCAATATAAGGTAGATCCCATATTCATATTTCATGGGGAATTTATAATAGTCAAATATTCTGAAGTGACAGAGCTTCTTTAAATTTCATGATCACTTTTTATATCCTTCACCTGAGTCTCTAGAACCTCTGGCTAGGTTTATTTTATCTTGTCATTTAGTTGCTAAACATTGTATGTGGTTCTTGTGTTGTCCTGGCAATAATGCTCATTCCTGCACTGCTAGATGGTAATGCTAAACTTTACATGTGTAGCTTTAGAATGTTACTTGTATTTTCGTATCAAAGAGTTTGATTTATGAAAGTACACTTCCGTTTCTCTTTTTTCTGCAGTATTGCTTAAATTTTTATGATCTTGTACATGATCAAAATGGCAATATGCTGATCCCTATTCAAATACATATTGTTTTTAGTACTGTACCTGGTTGCTTTTAGAGTATCTGTAAAGACTGTATTTTGGGTACTTGGACCCACACATTTTTGTAGAATTTTCCATTTTACTTTACAGGAAGTGAATTTCCAAGTTGTGTAAAGCATGGATTTGACACATTAAAATGAAAGACGTTTTTTCTTTATATAAGTGGGATCAGAAAAATATCCGAATGTCAGTGGGCCAAAAATAGAAAATTGTTTTATTTGCAGACTGCTTTGCTACGGAGAATACAAACTGCTTTTATATAGTTGGTTTCATAAATGGGAACGCAGCGTGTTGTAAGAAATGTACACAAATACAGTATTGTTGGCTCTCGTCACGCTGCTTCCAGACGTTGTGCTCTGTAGCTGTGTGGGAAGAAAAAATGTGTTTATTGGGAAGAGGTCACTTGAATCCTGTACTGTTATCTTGTATGTTTTCCAGCCGCACATCTAGAATTTTTTATGAACGTGTTAACAATTTTTTACGTTAAAGGGATGAAATGTTGAGATTTAAGAAAATGTCAACCATGAAAACAGATTTTTAACATCTTAATGTTTGTATTTTATAAGCCATTTAAATTCTGTAAAGCCTAAAAGTGGTTATTTTAAACACACTACTACTTGACATGTATATTAAAGTGTATCTGATAAACACAAACCTAAAGTATTGATACCGAATATGCCATATTCTAAGGTGTAAAATCCTGCTACTGTAGAAATATTTTAAATGTTTGTTTTTAAGTGCTGTGTGAAATGACCAAATCAGTGTAATAACCATTTTACTTTTTCACTTTGCTGTTTAATAGTTTTCTTTACTCTTGCATTGTTTTAACCATAAGAATGTAATAAAAATATCATGCTCCAATATGTTGTTTTCAAAGTAATTTATGTGCAAATTCTTGGAGGTAATTTTGTTTAGATTTTCAGTTCTATTTTCAGTGGCTGGATGTACTTAATATGGCAGGAAAAAATAAAGGGAACACTTAAACACATTGTAACTCCAAGTCAATCACACGTCTGTGAAATCAAACTGTCCACTTAGGAAGCAACACTGACAATCAATTTCACATGCTGTTGTGCAAATGGGATAGAAAACAGGTGGAAATTATAGGCAATTAGCAAGACACCACCAATAAAGGAGTGGCTCTGCAGGTGGTTTTGGTCACTTTTGAATGCTGGTGGTGCTTTCACTCTAGTGGTAGCATGAGACGAAGTCTACAACCCACACAAGTGGCTCAGGTAGTGCAGCTCATCCAGGATGGCACATCAATACGAGCTGTGGCAAGAAGGTTTGCTGTGTCAATCAGCGTAGTGTCCGGAACATGGAGGCCCTACCAGGAGACGTGGAGGAGGCCGTAGGAGGGAAACAACTCAGCAGCAGGACCGTTACCTCCGCCTTTGTGCAAGGAGGAGCACTGCCAGAGCCCTGCAAAATGACCTCCAGAAGGCAACAAATGTGCATGTGTCTGCTCAAACGGTCAAACACTCCATGAGGGTGGTATGAGGGCCCAACGTCCACAGGTGGGGGTTGTGCTTACAGCCCAACACCATGCAAGACGTTTGGCATTTGCCAGAGAACACGAAGATTGGCAAATTCGCCACTGGCACCCTGTGCTTTTCACAGATGAAAGCAGGTTCACACTGAGCACATGTGACAGTCTGGAGAAGCTGTGGAGAACGTTCTGCTGCCTTCAACATCCTCCAGCATGACTGGTTTGGCAGTGGGTCAGTAATGGTGTGAGGTGGCATTTCTTTGTGGGGCCGCACAGCCCTCCATGTGCTCGCCAGTGGTAACCTGACTGCCATTAGGTACCGAGGCGAGATCCTCAGACCCCTTGTGAGACCATATGCTGGTGCGGTTGGCCCTGGGTTCCTCCTAATGCAAGACCATGCTAGACCTCATGTGGCTGGAGTGTCAGCAGTTCCTGCAAGACTAAGACATTGATGCTATGGACTGGCCCGCCGGTTACCCAGACCTGAATCAAATTGAGCACATCTGGGACATCATGTCTCTCTCCATCCACCGTCACATTGCACCACAGACTGTCCAGGAGTTGGCAAATGCTTTAGTCCAGGTCTGGGAGGAGATCCCTCAGGAGACCATCCGCCACCTCATCAGGAGCATGCAAAGGCTTTTTAGAGTTCATACAGGCACATGGAGGCGCCACACACTACTGAGCCTCATTTTGACTTGTTTTAAGGACATTACATCAAAGTTGGATCAGCCTGTAGTGTGTTTTTTTTTTTTTCCCACTTGAGTGTGATTCCAAATCCAGACCTCCATGGGTTGAAAAATTTGATTTTTATTAAATTTTTTGTGTGACTTTTGTTGTTGGCACATTCAACTATGTAAAGAACAAAGTATTCCAGAAGAATATTTAATTCATTCAGATCTAGGATGTTATTTTTGTGTTCCCTTTTATTTTTTTTGAGCAGTGTATATATAATATTTTGTTGGTATAGAGTGTAAATCTGTTAATTTGGGAAATTAACTGCAATTTTAAGTTTTTAAATACGCAACCAGACCTTTCAAGGTACCTTGGATCCTCTTATCCCTCTTCACAGCCTCTAATGTTCCAAGTTACTCCTGAAAAGTCACATTCATTAGAGGAGGGTTAGGGACTTTCCAGATTCTGGCTATACAGAAAAATGGACTACAATGGATATATGCAAACATAAAACACACTTTTTCTAACTTTGACCCTCAAAATCTGTTGCGCATCTACAACCGCCAAAACACCCGTGTTAAATAGTTTCTAAATGCTGTCCTGAGTTTAGAAATACCCAATGTTAACATGTCCTTAGCTTGTTTTGTTTTTTCAAGTTTTAGGGCAATAAGTACAAGTAGCACTTTGCTATTTCCAAACCATTTTTTATTCAAAATATATTTTTAAAAAACATAAGGTATTAAACATGGGGTATTGACTCTTTTCATGCAACCATTTTACCACCAATCTATGCCAAATTTAAAAAAGGGGAAAAAGTGTTTGGTTTTTGACACACACAGCAATTTAAGAATACATGTACTGAGAACTTTAAGGGTTCCTGCCAAAGAACACCCAATATGTGTTCAGCAACATCGGAGTACAGTGATAACACCTATGCAGTGTTTTGGTAAATGCAATGCCAAACCTGAGTTTGTTTTGGTTTTTTTTTTTTCCCCTTCTATCTTCAAATTTGACATCTTTGCCTATCTTCTTTTTGGTATCATTTTTTTTACATATAAATTTATTTTCTTGCCATGAATGTACATATATTTGAAAAATTGACACCCCCAAGGTATTGTGTGTATATATGGAGTGTTTTGATGCCTTTGACTAGTGTGTGTGATATTGCTTGAAGCAGTCTCCAATGCAGAGTCCAGGGCAATCAGGACAGTAAAAGACAGTGTAATTTCTCTACCCTCCTTCGTAGCCGGGTGCATGCAAGTTGTCCTGGGAAACCTGCACAGTTCTTTCTGATTGTACCACAAGCTACTTTATCAAAATAATACAGTAGCTTGAACAAAGCTACACTTGTATAAAAATCAGGGATTCATCCACGCAAATATTCCTTCCAGGTGTATAAGCTGCTGCAAACCTGGCAGCAAGGTGGGTAAGCGGGGCTGATTTTATACAACCTGTCAAAAGGGGGGGCACAAGCTGTTGCGGAAGTGCATGAAATGTAGAATCATTTCATACCTCTTCCTCGACATAGTGGGAGTAAATGGGGAGGTAGAGCAGATGGAGGGCTTCTATATGATGCCCATCAGCATAGTCAATGCCCAGAATTACTTTTTAAATTCTGGCAGATCGAGGGGGGCCCATTGCTGCTTTGCTAAGAGAGTCAGGCTTTGAAGCACGGAACTGATGGGCTTATAAATTAGTTTGATCGACAATGTTCCCTGAAACATCCTCGCCCAGAAACTATTGCGGGCTAATTCCTGCGACTTACACATTGATGCTAGGATTTGCAGTGAAGGGTGGGATATTTGGCCTCTGGCGATGAGGCGCTACCCACACCTCAGCAGCACTGCCAGCTGGAGCAGCATGTTTCTTACTGGCAGGGGGCCTAGCAGTCACAGATACATCACTAGCAGCAAACACTATCTATTGATGTATTTGAGCACCTGGCATGGTCAAAATCGGGTTTGGAGTCAAACATAGACGTGTCAGACTCTAACGCAAGGATGGCCTACACCTCCTCAGCGCCATACAACCTCTGTGACATGATCACAATCACTTTCTTTAGTGATCTATCAAAAAACAATTAACCCCCCTACCCTCCCCCAAAAAAAATTGTAAAAAGAAAAAAAAAATCACACACCGCAAAATAAGTGCTGCTGTTCAAGAGCCAGTGATCACTGGCGGGATAGGGGTTAATAGCTTTGAAAAGAGCCTTTGGGTCTCAAAAAAAGTTACTAATAAAATAATTACAATAAAATGCACAGACAGCAAAAGTGCTGCTGTGCAAGAGCCAGTGATTTATAGTGATCATTGGCAAGATGGGGGTTAATGGCTCTGAAAAAAAAGCCTTTTGGTATCACAATTTTACAAATCTCTACCTAAAACTACCTAAATCTCTCTCAAACCAAAGTGAAGGGAGGGAGGGAAATCCACACTGATCAGAGCCAATATTTACGAATATTGACGTGACCAGACAAATGGGTATCATAGTAATAATAAATATTATAGGGGCAAACTATGATTGGATGACCCTAGCCTGCCTCTATGATGCACTGCCTTTAGAAAGGCAGCGCCGTATTGGAAGTCTCATGGCAAGGGGATTAACTAATTTTATTACCGTATATACTCGTGTATAAGTCGATCTCATGTATAAGTCGAGTGCAGTTTTGTGACCAACAATTGTGAAATATGCTATGCCTCGTGGATAAGTCGAGGGTAAAACTTGGGGCTATGAAATTCTGTGATTTTTATAATTATATACACACACACATACAAACACACTCTGCATTATATATATATATATATACACACACACTCATACAAACACACACTGTGCATTATATACACACACATATAATGCAGAGTGTGTGTTTGTGTAGTGTGTGTGAACCGGGTGGGGGGAGGGCATTTTTATTATTTAAATTTTTTTATTTTTTATTATTTTAATTTTTTTTTTGTTCCTCCTCCCTGCTTGTTAACTGGTCAGGGAGGGGGGCTATCTTAATCCCTGGTGGTCCAGTGGCATGGGCTGTGAAGTGGGGGGGCCGGCAGGAAGCATTTACTTACCTTTCCTGCAGCTCCTGTCAGCTCCCTTCTCCTCCGTTCCGGTCAGCTCCACTGTAAGCCTTGCGGTCTGGTTGCCGCGCGGATTGTTGCCATGGCTCTGACGGCTGCGGCTCTCTAAGTTGCCATAATACAGACAGTGACTCGAGTATAAGTCAAGTGGGGGTTTTTAAGCACAAAAAAATGTGCTGAAAAACTAGACTTATACTCGAGTATATACTGTAGTTTAATTGTTTTGTTTTTTTAATAGCTCTTACTCTCGGTGTCTGTCATTAAGGGGTTAAACCAAAGGTACCGTATGCTAAGAGATTTAGGATATGGTCCAGGTAGTAAATTTCACTTAACATGTATATAATCTTTAGAAATAAGATTTGGAGTGAATCCTATCTCAAAAGTACCTCTATTCTAGAACACAATAACCACTTAATTACAGTACCTCGACATGGACCTCGTACTCTAAACAGCCTTGGTACTAGGTACGTTCACTGTCCTTAAGGACCGTTTTTTGTCGGACATACCTAGTACATCCACGGTGCTTGTTAAAGTATTGGAAAAAAATTAACTCAGGTCTCTTTCCTATATTTACATATAAAGTGGTTTGGAGTTACTTGAAGTGAATGTCAATACAGAGTAACATAGAAAAAAAGTTAAGTCTTAGTCAGGGAAATTACCTGAGGCTTAACCACTAAAGAGGAAAGCTCATGTACATTTGAGATATGGGGGACATAAATTGGTAAAATATGTAAATACAGATTACCAGCTACCCACACATATAACTATAGTACCCTATACTTCTCTGATAACCATGCATAGAGTATAAGTTTCTGGTCCTCCAATAAATCATTAATGCTAGCTACACCCATGAACAGGCAATCTTTAAGAGGTTACGTGGGGGACAAGAAAGACCACGAATAGAGCAGCATGACATGGTTTTAATCCTGCAGGAGATATTGGTCCCATATATTTGGTTTTCTGTACTCCTATAGGTAACCACATATAATCCAGCAGTGTGGTATGAGGGATATAACTTTCCCATGTGTATCCTCTGAACAGTGCTATCTATTGCATGCAACATAATAGCTTGTGATAAAGATAGAAAAGTCCTTATAGTATTCTCATATTTGTACACCCATGCCTGGAGGAAAGGGTGGCATTCTCCATTCTTGGGCCTTTATGTCCCCATATGAATCTTCTTAATTGTTAGATATGAAAAAAGGAAGCGTATGCAAGTGTAACAAGTGAAAAACGAAGTAACTAAGGTACAATCATAATTTTCCAAGTGTTCCTGACGTCTAGCAACAGCGTAAGATGCTTCCAGGAGTGCAAGTACCTTTTTGTACTATTAAGTGGGAGATAATTAGTGATAAACCTATATAAGCGTCTAATGTAAAGAGGGTAGGCAATAGTGGACACGCTAATCTAGTTCTATTGGTTATTTAAAAGGGAGTATAAGTAAAACCAGAGCAATACATTTTGGGTGGTAGGATCAGAAATTAAGTGCCATAAGTGCTTTGATTATACCTGGGTGGAACCCATAGGACGTCAATATTTTAGTCATATACTGCCAATTGTGCTGATCAAAGCCTTTTTCTGTATCTATGACCATAACCAAGCCAACATGACCTGAAGCACGTTGAGTAAATTTAGTAACTTTTGTGTATTATCAGATCCTTGTCTAGTCTCCACAAAACCAGTTAAAGGGAAACTATAGCATGAATCTTGGGATCATAAGTAATGCAATCAAATATAGGAGCAATCATGAGGCTCTTTACCATGTTTGGGAAGATTAAAACGAGCTGCCAAGAGCTCTGAGAGAAAGTAGCTAGATTCCACTCCTGCTGCAAACAATTTAGTAAGCTAAGGGCTTAAAGAATGTGCAAATGGTTGATGGTAAATGTTTGAGAACCTGTTCACGTCAGGAGTTTTATGTTGAGATAAAAAAGAAAGATCACTTTTAAAATTTCAGCAGTGGTCACTAGTGACAAAAAAACAAACAAAAAAACCCTAAGATTGTAAGTCAGGTGAGGAATACAGAGAGAGTTAAGGAAATGAGATACCTCTGCCTGAGTTAGAATCATCCCTAAGGGGGCGGGGCCTGACTGCCAAGCAGGACGCATGCTGTATGAGCTCCTCTGCATATTTTATGAAATTGGCCCATAACTCGTTAAAAGCTACGACCTACCTGCTGAATTTAAATCCTGATTTTAGGAGAGAGCCTGGGCAACTCCTGGACCGAGTTCCATGGTTCTGCTAAGAGTTCTGTGGGTCCTGAAGTTTATTGAGGCATGCTATCTATTCTAAGGTGGGGGACGCGGCCGATTTCCCACCTCGTCTGCATATTGCCTACAGTCTGGGCCACGCTTCCCCCTCTCTGGGCTGGTGGGGGTTATCCTGGTCCCCACAGAGTGTCCGTCACTAAACAACGTGGTGTGAGGTGTTGATTAGTGCCAAGCGACAGAATCTACTGGGCCGCATGCTTGCAGCAAAAATTGCTGCAACTTTATCTCTGGGCTCCCCACGAGGACCGCATAGCAAAGGCCTTTGCTTACTTCTGGGCACAACTATGTACTAAGCTAGCTGAACAGGCACAGAGACAAGCAGTCGTGGACAACTCTCGACAGCCCACTGCAACAAGTGAACCGAAACCAGCCCCAAATCGCACAGTCAAAATGCTGACCGTAATCAAGCGAAAGAGGAAGGCGCAGACAGCACCCAGACTCATGAGTCGCCACCCTGCCATCAGCCGTCACCTAACTGGGCCTCAGATCACATGGCAAAGGTCTCCCACACACAGCTCACAGCTGCCCCACATAGATAGCAGCGGCCAGCGAGAAGTTTCCAAGACCCAGCCCAGACCATCCACAACATTCCGATACGTGAGCATCATGTGCTGGACTGTGCTGGGGCATGGGGCAGCTATCGAGATAACCAGTCTCTCCACACACCACTAGGCAGGATGCAGTGGTCAATGGGCATAGGCTGTCCACCCTTCTTAAAAACGGGCCAGGGCTCCTCCCTTTAAGCCTCAAAGCTCATACTGAGCTATGCAGTGTAGCTCTGAACCTTTGTTCACCCACCTTACACCCTCAGTTGTTAATTATAAATATGTTAAGCTCAAAGAGATGGCTCCAGTGGTACCACAACGTACCTAGCAAGTTATATACAGCTACTGTTCCTTACTTTATTATTACTACATACCTGTGCTGTTTCCTGGTAGTTTGTTTACACCAGCTCTGATTTTATAGAACTCAATCGAAGTTTATCTCTAACTACCCAAGTGTCCCCTATTTACATTACACATATGACACTGTTCCATTGGTATCTCACATGTGGCATTTTGTCTTATTTCACTTCTTAAAAAAAAAATAAAAAATGTACAGCTACTCCTGACATCTGTGTTCGCATTCAGCTTGAAATTTTGTCATTTCACACCAAATGTCACTGTCGATTTATGTATGCATATCTTCACAACCAAAATAAAGAATGTAAAAAAGAATCATCCCTAAGATTATATAATTTAGAGTAGAAAGATGCAAAAGTGGAAACTATTCTACTGGGGTTAAAGGAACTGTGGCAGGATGGCCAGGCTCTTCACAATAAACTTCAAATGCAACAGTCAGGATAAAATAGTACTGCAGTTTATGTCACTTTCCACAATATATACAAGGTTGTGCTCTCCCACAAAAAAAATAAAACAAAAAGAAAATAAATCCTACTCCAACGTGGAGACTTACTAAACAACAGTATTACTAACTATTCAACTGGCCAGCTAATCTGGTTCCCAGTTTTAAACAAAATGAAATACAGCACTTTAACCCCTTAAGGACTGGACTGTTTATGCGACCAGGCATATTTTTACACTTTTGTGGTGTTTTTGTTTAGCTGTAATTTTCCGCTCTCTCATTTACTGTTCCCATACAAATTATATATTGGTTTTTTTTCAGGACAAAATGGGCTTTCTTTAAATACCTTTATTTACATAATCTCATGTAATTTAATTTAAAATAAAATAAAAAATATGATGAATTATTGAAAAAAAAAACATGTTTTTTTACTTTTACTTGAAAAATATTTTATTCATCTACAGAAGCGAATCAAAAAAACTGCTAAATAGATTCAAAATTTTGTCCTGAGTTTGAAAATACCCTGTGTTTACATGCTTTTTTTCCAAGTTATAGGGCTATAGGTACAAGTAGGATATTGCTGTTTCAAAACATACATATTTAAAATGTATCAATAGTGACATTATAACACTATTATCTTTCATAAATCACTGAATAACACCTCACATGTACATACTGTTTTTAAAGTAGACAACCCAGGGTATTCAATATGGGGTATGTCCAGTCTGGCCAAAGTTAGCATTCATATTTGTTTGTGTGTGAAAAAAGTAATAAACTAAATTGAACGCTAATTTTGGCCAGTATTTGTGACTAAGTGGTTACTAAAAAAGACTGGACATACCCCATTTGCAATACCTTGGGTTGTCCTCTTTTGCAAATGGTATGCCATCATGGGGGTAATTCTCATTCCTGGGCTACCATACGCTCTCAAAGGCAACGTAACCACCCTGGCCATTTTCAATGTAAAAATATTTGACCCATATATTTGACCCTGTAACTTTCAAAAATGCTATAAAACCTGTACATGGGGGGTTACTGTTATACTCAGGAGACTTTGCTGAACACAAATATTAGTGTTTCAAAACTTTAAAACGTATCACAACAATTATATCGTCAGTAAAAGTGCTGTTTGTGTGTGAAAAATGCAAAAAAAGTCATTTTCACTGACAATATCATCGCTGTGATATGTTTTACTGTTTTGAATCACCATTATTTGTGTTCAGCGAAGTCTCCTGAATAAAACAGTACCCCCCATGTACAGGTTTTAGGGTGTCGTAGAACGTTACAGGGTAAAATACAGTGCTAGCAAATTAAATTCTCTGGAATTTCAGCCTGGGTTGGCAGGCAGGTCCGTCAAATTGCAATCAATAAAATTACTTAATGATGTAAAAATATTACATAAATACGCACGTAGAATTTAAATATATATGCATATTTATATATTTGAAGTCTATGTGTATATTTATATAATTATTTATGTAATTTTGTATATGGACATATGTATATTTCGTATTTTTTATTTATATATACATAGAAATATATACAAATTCATTCTAAGTGTATTTTGATATAAATATATATATATATATTAATTTTAAAATACAGTTAGAATAAAATTTCATATAGATATAATTTTTTTTAAATTTTTTATTTAAAAAATTATTTAATTTAAATTACTTATTTATATTTTATAATTATATATACAATATATAGTTATTATATATATTATATACGTGTGTAATTTAATTATAAGTGTATTTTTATATTAATATAAGTACATATTAATATAAAAATACACTTAGTATGACATTATATATATGATATATAGACATATATTATATAGATATAATATATGTCTATATATCATATATACACATATATAATTATTTTTTTATTTTTTTATTAACATAAACTTTATTTATTTTTTATGATTTTACACTAGCAGGGAGACACTAGGACACCTATTGTGACCATGTGATCGCTGTGTTAAGCGATCACATGGCCACAGGGGTCCTAATCTGCCGTGGGGAGACTGTCTGGGCTGCAGGCAGTCTCCCCACAACCGGAGCCACGATGATAGCCGCCGGGGGAACGACGGCGATCAGGTAAGTAGCTCTGACCGTTCGGACGGTTCAGGACCGTCATCGGTCGGCAACGCAAAAATGCCGATGACGGTCCTGAACCGTCCTCGGTCCTTAAGGGGTTAAGCAGGTTTCACACATTACATTTTTCTCAGAGTCTCAGGCTTAACTGCCTCCTCTCTCCCAGCTGTTAGATCCCCACATGTCTTCAGAGGCTAACCTTTTAAAACCCTAGTGCTGGTTAATTACATTCACCTGGTTGATAACATTCAAGGGGTGACTCCCACCAATTAACCCCATCATGCTGGGAATAGAGAGCGCTCCAATCTATTACTAACATTAAAAGCCTCTCTGACCCTGCCACAGAACATTATAGTCACCAGAACAACTACAGCTTAATTTAGTTGTTCTGGTGAGTATGCTCAATCCCTTCTGTGAGGATTTATGGGGTGATAAATATAAGAAATAATATTTTCATAAAAATTATCAAAAAAGAATTTAATCGGGGGCTGAGCCTGGAGCCGAACCTGAACTGTCGAACATTCACAGAGCTCCAAGCAATCGACAAAAATCCAAGTAAATCTGAGACACCAGGGTAACATCAAGCGAATCAAACACCCTTCCGAGCACCCTCGGATATGAAGACACAAGCGGATGCCGTTTTTGTTCGAGGTACGTGACAGAGACCCCAACGTTCGATATCCGCAACGGCACCTATCTACTAACCGACCCCACAGAATCGGGCAGTCACACCATGCGGCGCAGGTCCCAACCTGAACTGTCGCACATTCACAGAGCTCCGAGCAATCAACAAAAATCCAAGTAAATCTGAGACACCAGGGTAACATCAAGCGACTCAAACACCCTTCCGAGCACCCCCGGAGATCAAGACACAAGCGGATCCCGTTTTTGTTCGAGGTACGTGACGGAGACCCCAACGTTCGACATCCGCAACGGCACCTATCTACTAACTGACCCCACAGAATCGGGCAGTCACACTACGCAGGTCCCAAAGGCCCCCACAAGCCGGCGGCAGAGACACGCAAGATATAGGTGGCATGCTACAGCGGCCGAGGGCCAGAGCGCTCACCAGCCCCTATAGACGAGGGGGAACAGAATGGGGCCGGATTAGAACCATCCACCGCTCCTCCAGCTACGGAGATACCGGCCAGCCAAACACACTCACCCCGGCTACCAAAAAAAAACATAGCCGACCTTCTTATGGAAATGAGAAGAATGCATGCAGCGGATCTCAATCGCATTAAGACTGAAATGCAGGCGATGACCGCACACACACAGGCCACAGAGGAGGATATTATAGACCTTAAAAGAGAGGTGAGGGAGCTAAAAGACACCTGTTACCACATACAAGCAACACAGTCCACCCTTATCACAGGAATAGACCTAGCAGAGGATCGCAACAGACGTGCCAACATAAAAATAAGGGGGATCCCAGACAGCATTGACTCATCAGAACTGCCCCACTACATCAGACGCCTCACGGCAACTCTCCTGCCACCCATGCAGGCAAAAAAGTTTGTATTGGACCGCTGTTTCAGGATCAGAAAAGCCAGACAAGCACCGACTGACACCCCCCAAGATGTCATCATTTGGTGCCACTCCGTGTCAGACAAAATCAGGCTCCTCGCGGCAGTCAGAGGAAAGACCTGGTTCACATTTGAAGCTTCCCAAGTCACCTTTTACCAGGACTTGACACGCAACACGTTACTGTGGCGCAGGTCCTTAGCCCCGGTCTCAACTCAATTACAAGACGCAAAGATGGACTACAAATGGACATTCCCGAGGTCCCTGACAGTGACCAAGGGGGCACCACGCTCAGTCTCTCCTCGTTACAAGAAGCAGAACCATTCCTGCGGGCACTAGGGATACCAACCCAAGCCCAACCACGGGCGAACCCCATGAAAACACACACTTAGGACCCAGAGAGAACAATCCTTTTCAACCCTAGAAACACGGAGAGATGCAGGGCCCTGAGCTGAACTGTCCTCTGAAACAAACATAATATGACGTATTGCTTTTGAACCCCTTTGTTATTCCCCATCCCTATGGTTTCTTATGTTTCCTTTGCAGGTATGCACCCATAGCTGTGCCAACGTTAATCCACGCACGGGCAGTTCACCCACTAGACTCGGCACAATTGGGCTGGGGGACAATGCCAAGCTAACTCACACTCACCGACAACCCTGGCCCCAGATAGGAGCTAAACACCCCTCCCCCCCAAAGACCCCAGGGTAAGGGGTCAACACGCAATCCACCTGATGCACACACCTGACAGCGCCTGACAGGCGATAAACGCCCATCTGCAGGTCAGTAAGGACCTACTGACGTCTCACAGTCCTGACTGTAACACCAGACTTACCCCCAGCTAAACCGAGGTTCTCACTCGCATGGACGGCACTAACACAGGCCATATTAGGTGGCACAAAAACCTAAATCACAATAGGTCACCCACTGACAAAACGGAGGCCTGTCTGACCACCACACCACTAAGCACTTAAGGTCCTTGTTTAAACCCCTAATAGTTGCTCAGCGCGCACCACCCAGGACCGTACTCGACACCATGTCCATCATGCTAGACTGACATACACACGTTGGCAAGGCACAAGCGGGTTTAGCTGGGCATCAGGTCATTATCCTCAGCTCAACAACTGTTAAAACCTTCTTTAAATTAAAAAATCGTGCTGATTCCGCAGATAACTTAGAATGCATCTGTCTGAAGCACACAAGTCTATACGCTAAATACTGTCACAAGGTAAACTCGAACCCTGGAAGGCTGTTGTGGCCACAGGGGCTGTATTGTAGTCTATCATGCACGAAAATAAAATAAATAATTATAATTAAAAAAATTAATTTAATCATTTTTATTATATCAAAATTGATATACTGTATTGGCACTGTTCCTTTTGATTATTAATTTAAAGCTGAGAATTACCCACTATTTTTAATTCTCATAGATCCCGGAGTACGTTTTATTAGTGGATTTTTATTTCACACATTAATCACAAACTAATGATAAAAATACAATTTATTGTGACAATAATAATAATAATAAGTAACATGCATGACAATAATCAGTGAATATTTAGGTATAGCATAAGTATACAATATGGCAGTGATTTAACACAATTTATAGATAGTTCAATCTATCAACATTATATCGACATGTATGCAGTTTCCAACAAGATTTAGGACATCACCTTCACATCCCCCCCTCCACCTAGACGCAATGAGAGGAGATTAGGAAAATTAACAAAGGAAAGGAAGAGAGAGAGACGACAGTTGATCAGATAAGAAAGATGTGAATTATTAAAGAAAGGAAGATGAATTTTAAATATAATTTCTACAGTTAATATAAAGAAAGAGTAGCGTGGAGAGGAAGACTATTGAGTGTACAATGAGTATTAGAGGGGGAATAGGAGGAAGGAATTATCAACGTGGGTAGAAAGAGAGAAACCTGCTCCCCAAAGTAGACCTCGGATATGCCATTGTTTAATGGCAATTATTTGGATGCCCCTGGTTTGGGTAAGGTACCCACAGGGACATCTTGGTACCCCAATATTTATGGGGGGTTTTGTGTTTTTTAATTCTTTATTTTGTCACAGTCAACAAGATATATATATATTGCATGTAATACATTCAATGAAGCAGATCACTGTTTTTACTCTTCTGCATACATTGGTGGGATAGCGATGTTGGCTGTGGTATTTTGTTTTATGGTAATGTAGCTTGTTACTGCCATGGTCATGTCTTTAGCGATGGTTGTGGTTAGTGTAGGAGTCTGGGACATGTATGGCTCTGTGGTTTCAAAAAGTGAGAGAAAATGCGATATATTTCTATGGCGGGTTGGGTGCTGAGTGGGCACAGCTCCGCTTTGGTAGAGTAAGTGTAAGTGGTTCCTAGCGCGGAGCTGGGGGGGTAAGGTGTTCGTTAAGGAGCTAATGTTTCTGAGTTATGACTTGTTTAGGTCTGGGGGGTTTTGTGTTTTATATGTGTTTTTGTTGTTTGGTTTTTGGTGGAAACTGAATATTTTTGTCCAGATTCGTGGCGGGGGGTCCCGGTGATCAGAAGAAGGAAATAGTTAGGGATTATGGTTAGACTTTCTTCGATAAATGTTCAGGGACTTAATTCTCCTTTCAAGAGATCCATTCTATTGGAATATTTGAGGAAACAGAAAATTGACATTTGTGGAATTCAAGAAACGCATTGGAGAAAGATTGATAATATTAATTTAAACAACGATTCTCTCCGCATCTCTTGAACACAAAACAAAACGTGGAGTTGCTATACTGATATCTAAGAATCTAAATTTCTGAAACATATATATACAGAACTAGATTACGAGGGAAGATTTATTATAGTAGTACGTGAGATTGATAACATCACATATACATTAACTAATCATTATGCTCCAAACCATTCCTCATTATCATTTGTATCAAAGGTTTTAAAAAGGATAGATATGGTCAAACAAGGAATTTTGGTGACCTTTGGGGATTTCAATTTAGTATTCGATCCATCTTTAGACAAAAAACTATTACAGGTCAGATAACAGACAGAGGACTCTTTAAACACTCTGAAAAATTTAGACAGTTAAGTCAAAACTATTTTCTATTAGATATTTGGCGCATTTTTCATCCAATAGATTTAGATTTTACCTGCTTTTCAAAGTCCTATTATGCATACTCCCGCATTGATTTTGTGCTGGGAAATATTAAACTAGCCCAACAAACAAAAGCCATCGCAATAAATGAGATTACATGGTCAGATCACAATGCAGTTATTCTGGATGTTAAAGATACCTTTGAAATCCCAAGGCCAAAATGGAGATTAAACAACTATATTTTGTCAAACACAAACAATATAGAATTTATTAAGACCGAATACTATTTTAAAGAGAACCAAACTTCAGGAGTATGGTGTTCATATACTATTCCATAACCTTCAGGGGTATGGTGTTCATATAAAGCTGTGATAAGGGGTTTATTAATCAAACTAGCTTCTGAAAATAAGGAATATAGAGAAAAAGATTTAACAAATCTACAAATTCAACTATATAATCGCTCAAGAGATAATAAAATATCCCCAACTGAGCAGTTATCCAATAAAATTTATATTCTACAAGATAGGATTAATGATTTGCTAATAAAGAAAGTCTCCAAAACACTTGAAAGATTAAAAGCAACATTTTATTATAGAGGTAATAAGGCAGATAGATTGTTAACCAACAGACTTAAAAAAGAAATTAAACATAAAAAAAATCTCAAAAATTATATATAAGGGCGAGACCTGTCTATCTCCAGAGAGAATTGGGAAGGCTTTCAATGCAGACCCAAAGGATTTAAAAAAAAAAAAAACATGATTATACCAAAGATCTCAGAATCCCAACTAAAGGAATTGAATGCTCCGATCTCTTTACATGAAATACACACAAGGATAGAAATTTTAAAACCTAATAAAGCACCAGGGATCTTCTTTAGACTATTTAAAAATGAAATATCACCCAACTTAGAGACTACTTTTAATGAATTCATATTAAAAACAAAAATTCCAGAAAAATGCTTAAAGGCAACATTGTCCCAATATTAAAAACAGGAAAGAATCCAGACAAAGTAGACAGTAACCGACCAATTTCCCTACAAATGAAGACATCAAGTTATATGTGGGAATATTGGCAGATAGAGTTAAACGAGTGGTTACTTTCTATTAACCAAACAAGAAATATGATTGGAATACTGGAACAGGCCAGAGATGAATGGACGTCCATGCTGACCCTGTCATTGGATGCCGAGAGGGCATTCGACAGAGTCAGCTGGGCATTTGTTAGAGAATCCCTGTTATGCTTTGGGTTTACAGGCAAGATACTCAGTGCCATTATGGCCATATATAGTGATCCCCAAGGTAGAATTGTAGGCCCTGGTATTAAATCTAAATGGTTTAGAATTACAAATGGTACACGCCAGGGTTGCCCCTTATCACCGCTTTTATATATTCTATCGATTAAACCCCTGGCTATTGATATAAGGGCTAATCAGGATATAAAAGGGCTTAGAGATAATAATAACCAAAAAATTAAGATATATGCTGATGACGTTCTGAAAACTATTAAAAAACCTGAGGAATCTATTGACCATGTTGTGCAAATCATTCAAAATTATAGTAATTTTTCTAATTACAAGATAAATAGAGTAATATCTATGGCACTATATTTAAATACACCTCAAAATAATATTGATAATATAGAAAA